CTCGTGCCTTGTTTATGGCAGGATTCGTAATTCATTTCAGCAGTCTCTCTCACTGAATCTAGACGGGGCCTCAGCACTTTCTCAACTCAGTGAAAGATTTTCACCTCATGTGCCAACGCCAATGACCACTCTTGGTCTACTGAATCTTCTCGTGAAAAATTTCTAGCAACTGAACCCTGACGCATGGATGTGTAAAACGCGTTCACTCAAACAACCCCATTGTCATCCTTGAGTAGTTCATAAGCAAGAAACAGACTTGAAAATCCAACTGACCCCCACGCCCCGATCCACCCTTATTTCATTGTGGTCTATAGTTTATCTTACTGACATAAATGGGAATGGGCCCCTGTGACTTCAGGTCTTCAAAGCCCAGAGCGTTATAGTCAAACTGCTGTGACAAAGAGCTTTTTAGAAAAATACAGTGGATTTATTTTTTTTTGGTCTTTAGGTTGGTGGGACACCCTATTCTGGGACCCAGGTTCCTTGCATCACCTGCCTGGCCTCTTTTAGGACAGGTCCCATTCAGTGACTGTGATGCTGGGCTGAGAGGAGGCCCACCCGCTGCCTAAGGCTACGTGACTTGAGACAGAGTATATCAGACACAACTGAAGCATCTGAGCACGCACACAAGGCCTTGATGAGTTGTCCCAAGAGCACATTAGAAGGATGTTTCCTGAAACCCCTATCTACATGTCGTCTGCTTCTGACCTGGCAGCCAGCTGCACTGGGACTAGTGAATGCCTTGCTGTCCTTATAAGGGATGGTGTCCTCCCAGGCCTCTCCTCCTGGGTCCCCACTTCTGACACCCTGGCAATAGCCAGGAAAGAAGGTTGACATCGTGAAGGTAGTAGGAGTATCGATGGTTGTGTGGGTCCACACAACTCTACTTGTAGAATAGAGAGAGGGGAAACAGCATCGTCTCTCTGACCTGGTGGGGACTTGTCCATAAAGGAGGTATTTCTAAAATGGTGCCGAAGATTGCCTAAGAGTAGCTGGTTTCTACCTTCATAACTGCACCCATTCCAGAATGCTGCTTACCAGGACTGGGGAACTGATGTGCTGAAAAGATGTGAAAACATCCCATCCTAGAATTTGTAATAGCTTGAGTTTAATTCTCTAGCTTTAAACGCCTCCTGCCCAAAAAAACCAACATAAAAGCAATAACATTACCCTCACTTAAATGTAACTCAGGCTCATTCTGAAGGTTTCAGAAGGTATGTTCACGGAAGGTGTGTGTGGCTTGAAAGCTAGTGTTGTCTGGAGCCTTTTATATGGGGACTATGATTGGTTGAATTTGGGGAGGAGAAACTTGTGGCCAGTTGCCAACCTGATCTAAGCAGATTCTAGGAGATTGGGCGTTGCCTTATTTTATTCCTGAAAGAGGCTCTCAGTAACTCAGAAGGTGGAATGCTGCCCAAGAGACTTCCAGCTGACCTGGCTCTTTCCTCTTTTTACATCTCTGCTCCATGTTTACACTTGACATAAACATCACAGAGCATGTTCACGGCTGCAAATTCTGTAGTCAGCTGTGATGGTTACACACGGACACTGTGACGCTGTGTAGCGGTTCATTTTCAAGGCGCAGGGCATCTCCTATTTCATGTGGGTGGGAATGGGGGAGGCCTTTTGGGCAAGTCGCCATCTTTTTATTGTTCCAAGAGCTCGGTGAAGCTTTTGAACTCTCACCTGTCAAAATCGCTTTTGGCGTGAGGACCGCTCTCCCTCTAGCTTCTCAGAATAGCAGAACGAAAGTATCATTTATCCCAATGAGACCTTAATGGAGGCTTTCCCGTTTGAACACCCACCTTGAATTCATTGGAAACAGACGTTCTGGGCATTGTACATTTCATAAATTTGACTCCGAGTTTTACTGGGTCATATTTCCCCCAAAATCGTTTTGAGAAAGACTCATGTCTCATTCCTTTAAACCAACATGTGTAAGCTGGGTAAAAATAGAGCAAACTGGTTTCATGTTTTGATTTATGGATGAAATCTGCAAGTTTATATTTGAAAAGCATTTAGCACATCACTCAGGAAAGTTTGAGCTTTGCACGCTGATTCCCGTGGCTGGGTGATACTCTGACCTGTTCAGATTCTGCCTGCTGCAAGATCTGACCCCGCCCGGTACACCCGTTTCCCTAGCAATAACTACGCATACTCTCTGTTCCTCTCCTCTCCCTTCCCCCCACCAGACTGCTCTTTGCCCTTTAAGTTGGCCGTAAGGAAATGGGCATGGAAAATTGTTTGACCCGATTTTTTTCTTTTTTGCCATCCATAGGTAGTACCTCACTAATCAGTAGCACTTTAAAGATATACTTTTAACAGGGCATCTAATCCAAAAATCTCAGTTATGGTCAAAGACTGGCAGTTGGTCCAGCAGAATGAGTATGAGCATCCTTGGATGCTCGTATTCTGTGGAGGGGTCAGTGTTTCATGCAGGTCTCTGCTCCTTTATTGACCGCAGGACCTCAGAAGCAGAGCTGGCTTCGTGGTTGCACAGCCTGGGCAGCTGAACAGGGCCGCATACTCACGAGGGTCCTGTGCCTGATTTAATGCTCTGCTATTGCTGTCTTGATATTCTTAATCCTTCTGGACAGAAGAATCCTGAATTTTCATTTGTCACTGGGTCCTGGAATTATGCGGACAGTCATGTGTAAATGTTAGTCAAACAGTTCATCACGTAGAAAATCCCTGGTACCTTAACTTTGAATGAGGATCACTTACATTCAGTGTGTCTTACCAGCCAGTTCACGATAATCTCTACTCTCTCATTTTATGTGATCAAGTCTTGTTGTGACTGAATCTGTAACCATGAAATTACCTTTGATTTCTGTGGGTTTGGGTGTGGGGTTTTAAGAGGGTTTTTTTTCCCCCTCTTTGTAAGAGGACATAACAATAAACAATCAGTTTGATTAAAAACAAGAAATCCCCACCCTTTCAGTTTTGAATGGCATGCCATTTACTCCTCCGGAGCATGTGAGTTTATTTTTCATGTGGTTGCAGCTGAGTTTCATTCAGTGGAGTTTGACGTGTGTTTAACCAGCATTCAGGTGGCTTGCGGTCAGTGGGTGGGAAGGACAGGGCGTGGGGCACTGCAAGATGAAGAAGGCTCAGTTACTCCCCGCCCGGTGCTCCCAGCCCTGGGGGTTGGAGGAGACTAAGGGTAGAATGGCCCTTGCCGTAAGAGGACCCTGGTGTGAGCACACGTAGGCTGGTGGGAATGAAGTGCACTATCTGTTTTTAATGGATATGGCCCTTGAAAGATGACCCAGGCTTTATCCTGCAGGAGGTTAGGGTAAAGGTCCTTCCCATCAAAGGGGATACAGAACAGGTGGAGGTGTCCAGGGGGTTCAAAGCAAGATGTGCTTCAGGAATGGGGAGTCTTTGAGCCTGGATTGTGGGGTGTGGTGGGTGATGGTGACGGGGGTGGAAAAGCAGGCTGGGTAGAGGTTATGTGGGTCTCTCAAGGTGCTGAATGCTCAAAGAGTTTGACTTCGGGCAGCAGAGACCATTGGTGAATTGGGAAGCACATAGGTACCTTACCAGAAGGATGGTTCTGGGTTCTGTGAACAATGGTGGAGTTTCATGGCTGTTGAGGAATCAGAGGGCAGGAGGGGCCCCATATTTGGGGGGACAGTGTAGAAAAGGATTTCCCAAGAGGTAGGGAGGGAGGGAATTGTGGGACTGCACCGGGGCTTTGGAGGAGACTCCAAGAAGTTTCTGACATGTTCACTTTGGGGTCCTGGCAGAAAGGGGGATCGCAACAGAAGTTGTTTGATGGGAAAGGGGTGTAGGAAATGGAGAGACAGACAGACAGACAGTTATCTCGGAGATAATGTTTGAATTTTGGTGGTTGGAGCTGGAGGTTGGAAAGAGGAGAGGGAAGCCAAGGGGAGTGGCAAGTAGAAACAGTTTCAATGAGAGTTCCAGGAGGGGCTAGCCAGTGGCAGGGCATGTCCTGTTAAGCTGGGAAATGACTAGAAAGAGGGCATGCCTTTGTCTAGTCACCTGTCCTCCTGGCGACACTTTGCTCAACTGTTACTGACTTTCTTTTATGGATGACTAACTTGTCGGAGAAACAGAGATGAACATGATTGGTAACACCCAGTATTGGTGAGATTTGAGGGAAAATGGCCTCTGAAACCTGTAGATGGGTGTGTAAACAGAAACAACTCTTTTTTATTTTTTTTTTTAATTTATTTGTCTGCACCAAGTCTTAGTTCTGTTATGTGGTATCTTTTTAGTTGAGGTGTGTGGAATCTAATTCCCTGACCAGGGATCAAACCTGGGCCCCTGTATTGAAAGAACAGAGTCTTAGCCACTGGACCACCAGAGAAATTCCAGAAGTATCTTTTTATAGAGAAGAGATATCTGTGACATTGTGATTAGTGAAAAGAAAGATTTTAAGACTGATCATGTAGTATAATACAAATTCAAGACAGCAAACACACATATGTGTATACACAATCTGTTAGATGGTATACTGCCTAGTTAATAGGAATGCAGCCACCTCTTTTTATTGTCTATATTTCTGAAATGATTTCTTGAAATTTAAAAAAAAAAGATTTTTTTGTAATGGAAAATTTCAAGTGTATGTGAAAATAGAAACAATGTGGGGTTGGGGGGGGGTGGGCTTCCCTAGTGGTCTAGTGGTTAAGAATCCACATTTCCAGTACAGAGTGTGGTTTTAATCCCTGGGCAGGAACTGAGATCCCTTCATCTGTGTGTCAAAAAAAACCAAAACAGTGATCAAAATTAGAGACCACAGAATAATGTGTTCTCATGTATTCATGATCCACTGACACTGGTTAACAACATTTTGGAATCTTATCATCTCTGCACCTCAGGTATTTTGAAACTGATGCCAGCATTACATCCTTTCACTCTTAAATAGCTCAGTGTGGGTCTCCAACAGTTGGGGTTTTTATTTACTTTCTTACAAAGACTGATTCACACCTGTGTGACTAGAGGCTTGACCCCGGCTGTGTTTCTCTGCTCAGACAGCAAAGCCATCGTGGATGGCAATCTGAAGCTCATCTTGGGCCTGGTGTGGACGCTCATCCTCCACTACTCCATCTCCATGCCCGTGTGGGAGGATGAAGGAGACGATGATGCCAAGAAGCAGACACCAAAGCAGAGGCTGCTCGGGTGGATTCAGAACAAGATCCCCTACTTGCCCATCACCAACTTCAACCAGAACTGGCAAGACGGCAAAGCCCTGGGAGCTTTGGTAGACAGCTGTGCCCCAGGTGAGTGCCCGTGGCTGCCTGAGCCATCTCTTCCAGAGTGGGGGGGTCGTTGACCCCTACACCTCTTGGTTTTCAGTGGGAAAGCTAGGTTTGCTGTGACTGCTGTATTTGTCCTGATTTTTAGCTGATTGCAAGGTATCTAAAGGAACTAAAAATAGCTTCATTTGCCTTCTGATGGAAAGTCTTACAAGACTTTCCATAGACTTGTTTGAGCATGGAGTTATTTACCCAAATTCTGAATGAAGACCTTCATGCTCTAGGCAGACCTTGGGTTTAGCTTCCAGACCCCAAGTCCTGCTTCTTCCCCCTCTTCCCACAGTGGGTGCCTAGTTTCCTGCTGGCTTCAACATGTGCCCTATTAGGTGGTTTGGCATGAAAATCTAAAAACATTTATTGAGTGGAAAGTACCCATTTTTATCAACCACTGGGTTGACTATATATGGCTTTCTCCACCCTTTTCTTTCTGCCTTGCTGTGAAATAGTTCTTGGTCAGGATCCAGTTGGAGCCTTTTCCACCCTTGATGGGCTTCTCTTTTCTGAGTGGTTGAATGTACACCAAGGTAGTAATTACCCTCACTGGAGGGTTTAGATTGATGGGTAGAGTTTGCTGTTACACTCTCAATAGAAAAAGCAGAGCCTGTGTTTATGTGCACCTCCAAAATTGTTTTTAATAAGAAATCTGCTCTAACAATCATATTTTCCATTTACTGATTGCTTTCTATATGCTGGGCACATTAGTATTAAGTAAGTTAGTAGTTCTCAATGTGCTCAACTAGCTGGTGTCAACTAGAGAGAGGGAAGGAGGACTGGTCCCAGGCCCCAGTCTTCCTTGAGAGCCTGTAAGCTGTGCCATCCAGAAGTAACTAGAAGCTCAGCATTAGTTCATTTCCCAGTGCCCTCTTCCTTGCTTTCATGCAAAGACATATTTTGGGATGCCTCTTTCCAGTTTAAACCTGGGGATTTTTAGTCCAGTCCTGTACTTCTTGTGCTTACAAAAGATTTTGAGATGACTCTAGATTTAGATCTTTGAGCAAGTGAGTGTTTTAAGAATACAGGATGCTAGTCCAGTCTTTGTAAATATATCCACAAAGATATATATATCTTTGTAGACATATATCCAGGCTTGGGATAGTGAAATTATAACTTATAGTAAGAAATATATGTTTGGTCTTAGTCCCCTTTCCTGGCACAGAGCTCTTAAAACCCTTGAAATTTACCAAGTGGTGTCTTTCAACCATGCCTGAGTTTATTAATGAGGTAACTTTTGGAATGCCCTTAAGAATGGGGGCTGGGTGTTAGGGGAATCAACCAGTGATTAGAGGATTGGAACCTTTGCCCCCTGTCTCCTGACCTCCAAGAAGGGAAGAGGGGATAGAGGCTGAATTAGTTACTAATGTTAGGTGATGTGATCAGTGCATGTAATTAAGCTGCATAAAAATCCCTGAACTACAGGGTTTGGGAAGCTTCCAGTTGGTGAACTTGTGGTCCTGGGAGGGTGGCATGCCTGAAAAAAGATGGAAGTTCCTTGCCCCTTCTCCCACCTTGCCCTATGCATCTCTTCCATTTTATAAGATCCTTTATAATAAAAAACCCCCAGTAAGTAAACTGTAAGTAAACTGTCCTGAGTTCTGTGAGCCACTCTAGGAAATGATCCAATCTGAGGAGGGGGTGGTAGGAATCTCCGATTTGTAGCTGGTTCGTCAGAAGCCCAGCTCTGAAGTTAGGGGTCAGGGAATTTTGTGGGACTGAGCCCTTAACTTGTGGCTTTTGAAGCTATTTTTAGGTAGATACTGTCAGAATTCAGTTAAATTATAGGACACTCAGCTGATGTCAACCCAACACATTTGGTCACCAGAGTAGAGAAATACGAGTGTGATGTGTCAAAAAAATCTCACTTCCTAAAAGACACCAGGCCCAAATGGTTTTATAGGCTTTGTTTGTTTATTTAGACCACCCCATCAAGGAATGGATAACCTCTATCTGAATGCAAGAATAACAACCTGAAGAAGTCTCAGCACAGGCAGACTGATTTCTACCCTGGCATAGCTATACCCATGATACATTTGGCCCAGAAAGCATACAGTTCACTGAGATTTTTGGAAGAAACTGTTCTCTCAAGAGACTGAGTGAATTTAGTTTAGGCACCGAGTTGCTTCCACCTCTTGAGTCAGTTAACACCAACAGCATCTCTTGTGTGCTGATAACAGGTCTGTGCCCAGACTGGGAATCCTGGGATCCACGGAAGCCTGTGGATAACGCACGGGAAGCCATGCAGCAGGCAGACGACTGGCTCGGTGTCCCACAGGTACGGGTGCAAGATGCACGTCCCACCGCGCTGTTTCCTCCGATGCCCCGTGAGTGCCTTGTGGTTTTGCAGGCAGTCTGACCTCCTCAGTGGTCAGCTTTCAAGGACCGTTGTCTGGGGCCCTCTTCCATCTTTCTCAGTTTATCCATTTTAATAGATTCTCACTGACTTAGATACTTGTCTGTCTGTCCGCTCGGTCGTGTCCAATTCTTGGCGACTCCAGGGACTGTAGCCGACCAGGCTCCTCTGTCCATGGAATTTTCCAGGCAAGAATACTGCAGTGGTTTGTCATTTCCTACTCCAGCCAATCTTTCCAACTCAGGGATCAAACCTACATCTCCTGCATCTCCTTCATTGGCAGGCAGATTCTTTACCACTGCACCACCTAGGTACTTGTAGATTCCCTAAAAATCTTTCTGTCACATATGACAGATTGTCTAGTATATTTCTACTCCAAAGATCACAGAGGCCATGTTTGGAAGCCAGACTGCAAATCTTGACCTTAACCATAAGAAATTGCCAATATTTGACCATTTTTTAGCTGTTGAACATTTTTAAATTCAGTATCTTGAAGAAAGTCACTTAGAACTTTTAAAGAAATGTAAACCAAGGTAATATGCCATTAACAGAAATTGTGGGAGAATTTGTATTGTCCATAATCCTAACACAGGCATATAACAAGGGAACTTAGAAATTGAATGTCTTGGAGACCATCTGCTGTAGCCACGTTGCTTAGTTGAGGCCCAATCTTCTAAGCCCTTCCAAAGAGTTTAAATAGCATCTCCTGACATCATGACTCCCATGTTCAAAGACTAAGAAAAGTTATGGGTAGCCAGTGCCAGGCAATGTATGACCCCATTACAGACTCCGTTAAGGTCTTAAGTTGGTATTCAGAGCTGAGGTCAGTGTATTTGTATCAGGATCCCTTGGAAGGCAGAAAATCTTGCCTGTATTTCTTTGGTTTGGTTTTGGCATCATGTCTCTGCTCCAAGACCCATTCCTTGGCTCTTCCACCTTCAGGAAGTGGTATGATTTGTTTTTCATCTCCCTTTAAACTGAAATCCATCTCCTTTTGGTGTTCTTGTGATGTTGGCAGTGTGTAAAATTGTTGAAGGAGCTGCCTAGAAGAAATGCCAAATCAATGCACATCCTACATTTTGTGGAACGTATTGGAGGCAAGTGTACAAACCCAAATAGCTATCTTATTGCCGCAGGCTAATTATCAGAATATTTCCTGTTTGGTTTTTTTTTTTTTTTTTTTTTTTTCCTTTTACCATGGAGTGAGGGAAGCTGGGCACATAATGTTCATCTGAATTTGGTTGATCTGGTGCATGAGAGACTTCTGTTACTCCGAAGAGGTATGGCTTATTGGGTGCAGGAGAACTTTTTTTTTTTGCTATTTAGGGCTGGATCAAGTGGTGGAACTGGGACTATGACACCTTCAGGGTGTCCACCTATTTAGAAAGGGTCTAATCTTGCTCCTAAGCTGAATGTCAGGAGAAATTTTCCCCTTTCCTATTTTTAAAACGGCCTTAAACGTCTTGAGACATGTCTTAGCTCAGGCTGTTAGAACAACACCATTGACCAGGTGGCTTAAACAACAGACATTTATTTATTTCTTAGTTGTGAAGGTTGGGAAGTCCAAGATAGAGGTGTGCCAAGAAGTTAGGTTCTTGGTGCAGGCTCTCTGCCTGGCTTGCACACAGCTGCAAGCTGACTTCTGGCTGTGTCCTCAGGTGGTGGTGAGAAACTGAGCCCATCTTTCTTCCTCTTCCTGTGAGGGCGCCAATCCCATCATGCGGGCTCCACCCTCACGGTCTCATCCAGACCTACTCACCTCCCAAAGGCCCCACTTCCTGTTACCATCACACCGGGGATTAGGACTTTCACATATGAATTAGGGGAGGGCACAAGCATTCAGTCTGTTTCTTAGACCACATCTCTAATGTCATTGCATTATCTCATTTTGCTTTTATTTATTAATTTTTTTCTTTTAGTAGAAGCTGAGTAAATAGAAATGTAGACACTAGATAAAAGAGTGAATATTTTTGTAATGTGCTTTAATCCTGTGTGTTCTTGTTTCTTCTTCTTCCTTACTTGATAGAGATTAGTCTTTCTGGAAAGGAGAGTGGGTAGCCTTTTTTGTGGGGAGGTTTGAACCTCTGGAAATTACATACAGAATTGTCTGGAGAGGGTCCTTAGCTTCCAAAGGGAACAGTGACACCTCTAAAAGGTTTTTTTTTTTTAAAAAAAACAAAACAAAACAAAACAAAATAAAACTAATTTTGGCATGCCAGTTTGATGCAGTTTCACTTTATTGAGAGACTGACTCAATTTCTTTATACTCATAGTGGTTGGTTTAAGAGATGTTTGCAAAAACTTCAGTAGTTGCAAAATGCTATGTTCTGGGTGTTCATCTATCCTGTCGTTATTCTAGGTCATCACTCCTGAAGAAATTATTCACCCGGATGTGGATGAGCACTCAGTGATGACTTACCTGTCCCAGTTCCCCAAAGCCAAGCTCAAGCCTGGAGCTCCCCTTAAACCCAAACTCAACCCCAAGAAAGCCAGGGCCTATGGCAGAGGTAAGCACTGGTCATGTTGGATTTGAGGCTTGTCCTCTGGTCTTGATTATTAATTTTTATTTATGTGTTTACTTTAAATTTATTTATTTTTAATTGGAGGATGATTGCTTTACAATGTGGTGTTGGTCTCTGCCATATAGCAACGTAAATCAGCCACTATGGTCTTGATTATTCAGGATCGAGAATGTGTAAGCTTAATATTTAAAGACATCCCAGGCCTCCTTTGTCAGATAGCTTTTTTTTTTCTTCTTTACCTAAAGGTCCTTGTGTTTATTTTCATCCTTTTCTGTCTTGTGAATCTAGGCTTCCAAGAACAGTGCTGCTTTAATGTAATGGAGATGGATGAGTTTGTACTTTGTAATTTGGATGCAGTAACCCTGAGATAAAGGACTATTCTTTCCATTTTTCAGATGAGCAATCAGAGGCCCAGTCCACAAAGGAAAGGGGATGTTGGAGTGGAGGGAGAAGTGAATGGGGAGGTCTCCCAGATTACCATGGTGGGGTGCAGCAGGAGCCTAGGTCTTCTGACTGCTGATTCATTTCTCCTTTTGGTTATGCGAAAGCTGTGCAGGTTTTCAGATGCAGTGGGAGCTATTGTTAACCCCTGGCAGATACTTCCTTGCTAAGACATCCTGTTTATAATCTCCCAGCCAGCTGCCAGGAGTGTTCTGCTCAAAACGTTAGGGTAGGTCAGAGGCATTCTGAGGAATTTGGTTTTCTGGTTGGCACCTGACTTCAAGCCTGTTAGCTTTTTTAAAGAGAACAGTTACATTTCAGCCCAGTGTGGTTTCTGGTAAAAATTAGTACAACAGGATACAATTTATTCTCTTTTCTGTGGTGAGGGGGAAGAATACATTCTATTTTCATAATTGCAATTAGGATAACACACCCACAAAGTATTTCCCATGTTTTCCCAGATTTCCTATAATCTACCTACTGCTCTTAACATTCTAATGAGTTCTCTTGCTCTGTGTGTGTGTGCATGTGTGTAATTGTTGAACAATTCAAAAATATATTGCAGGCATGGTAACATTTTGCTCCTCAGAACATCAGCAAACCTCTCCTAAGAATAGGACATCCTCTTATGTAACCACAGTATTCATTATCACACACAAGACAATAGGACAATAATTTCATAACAGCTCATATGCAGTTTATAATTAAATTTCTCTCTTATCCTAAAGTTGTCTGTTTTACAAACCAAGATCTGATTAAGATTCACTTTCTACATTTGCTTGTTACTTTATCTGAAACTCTTAATCTAGAAAAGTTTTCCCTAACTTTCTTTTCTTCTTCTTCTTTTTTTAAAGGCATTGACTGTCTAAAGATGCACAGCACTTGTCTGTCCACTCATTCCCTTTGAAGTTAGCAGTGCCCTACTTGGCATCAGCTTAGTCCTGAAGTGACACACGACCAGGGCAGCGGTGCTGAGTGTGCGCTGTTCTCAGCCTCATTCTCGTCTTTTTCAGCATGATTTAGACCACAGGACAGAGAGTTCTGGAACAGACCTACTTGCCATTTGAAGTCCTTTTGGCAGTGAATGGGCTCTGTGCCATCATCTGTGTTATATCGAGACAGGGGACTTTGTTCAAAGCCATACCCACAGTGCAGTTGAGTGAGGGTTGGCGTGTCCATGCATGCTTTAAAAGTGCTCTCTCTAAGCCATAGTCAAAAACACTGGCAGGAATAAGGAATCTGATTTGAAAGGTTATGCTTCCCTTAAAGGCAGAAAAGTTGCAAACAGCCAAATCTCTTTGTCAACAAAATTGGTCAAATGGATTGAATCTAATCAAGGCATGAAGTGCTTGTTTGCAATAAGCTTATCGCTGGTGTCCAGTTTCCCTGTTGTTAATGTGAAACGGTTTCCTTCCACAGTGCTGTTTTCTAGAAAATGACCTCTTGCTGCAGCTAAGGAATGTGGCTAGTCATTGCCATTTCCTTCATTTGACTCTGTAAGTTTTATATACTTAGGGAGGAAACACACACACATATATATGCATATGTATGTATCTTTTGTGTTTTTGTGCCATGGTATAATGCCTATAACATAACATTCACTAATTTAACTCTTTTTAGGTGCACCTAAGTTATTAAGTATATTCATATATTCACTGCGTTGTGAAACCATCACCTCTAGTCATCTCCAGAACTTCTGCATCTTCCCAAATTGAAACTCTGTGCCCACTAAATGTAACTCTCCATCCCCTCCCCCCCGGCAAGTGCCATTCTACTTTGTTTCTGTGTTGCTGTTGTTGTACAGTCGCTGAGTTGTGTCCAACTCTTTGCGACCCGGGGGACTGCAGCACAGCAGGCTTCCCTGTCCTTCACCATCTCCCCAAGTTTGCTCAGACTCATGTCCATCGAGTTGGTGATGCCATTCAAACATCTCATCCTCAGTCATCCCCTTCTCCTGGCCTCAGTCTGTTTCTGTGGATTTGCCTCTTCTAGGTACCTTGTGAGTGGACTCATTTAGTATTGATATTTGTCCTTTTGTGTTTGGTTTACTATATGTAGCATAGGGTTTACAAGATTCATTCATATTGCTGCATGTATAAAAATTTTTCAAGCTGAAAAATATTTCATTGTCTGCATATTCCACATTTTGTTTTTCCATTTTTCTGTCAGTGGACATTCAGGTTTTTTTTTTTTTTTTAAATACCTTTTAGCTATTGTGAATAATGCTGCTGTGAGCATATGTATACAAGTATCTGAGTCCCTACTTTCAGTTTTGGGGGGATATATGTAGAAGTGGAATTGCTGGATCATATGGTAATTCTATGTTTAAATATTTTTTAAGTAGAAAGACAGAATGGTAATTTTAGGGAGCAGGGCCACATGTGAGGCCACATGGGCAGCACCTTAGGTATTGCCTTGTCCTTGATGAAACAAAGGTTCTGCTGACAGAACCAAGACATAGAGAATGTTTCATCTTCTAGTTTTGGTGTTGGTGTTGATCAAGTTGCAGTTACCAGCTGGTCAGTGTTTGCAGATCCAGTCACTGAGACCCATTAACTCAAAGGAGGGAAGGCTGGGGTGATGGAAACCTGCAGCCACAAGCAGGTCTTTATGACGGGCCCCCTGGTAGAGCCCAGCATGCTGAAAGTGTGTATCCATGGGCAAGCAGAAACCTTTAATAAAACCTTCTGTATGGAGCATCCACTGCATAGTAAGCCCTCAGCACGTTTAGTTCTGAGTAATCCTAGGGAACAGTGGTTTCTCTGCACGGGAAGCATTATCTCCAAAATAGATGTGGTTCTGCTTCCTAACCAACCATGGTTAGCCCAGTCTCTGGCCTTGGATAGGCTGACTCTGCAGGCTGTTGGAGTTAGATGGAGTGGGTATTTATAAATATTTTAAGTGCATGATCATATCTTTGTTAAATGACATAATTGTTATAAATTTTAAGCAAAAGAAAAAGTTAGAAAACAACAATTGAAAGTCCCATTTCCTCGCTGCTAGCCCTATTTTTTCCCTTCAGAATTGGAGGTATTTCTTTCCAGCCATTTTTCTATGCTGAAATGAGTTCAAACTGTATATTTTCTTCAATTTGCATTTTTTTTACTTAACAGGGTGTGTTATATAACTATCTATCACCAGTTTTTCTTAAATTATTTATTGGAAAGCTAATACAAATCCAGATATAGTAACAAATGACCCAGTGTCTTCAACCCAGACCAATGGGAAAGAAAAGAAGAGATGAAGAGAAATCTAGGGAGTAAATGAGGTTTAAGAGGTTTAGCAACCAGTTGTAACATGTGAACGTTATTTGGTCCTATTTAAACTTTAAAAAAATTCATTATACTTTTTTTTAAGATTCAGAGGACTTTGAACACTGAAAATTTGATGTTATTAAGGAATTTCACTTGATTTTATTAAGGAATTATTTTTTATTTTTTGATGTGGGCATTCTAAAAATATCTTTTAAAGATACGTAGTGAGTGTTTATGGATGAAAACTAAGAGGACTAGGGTTTGTATCCAAATAATACAAGAGGAGAAAAGAGGTGAGAATGAAGTGGTGAAACAAGACAGGCTGTGGGTTGACAGTAGTTGAAACTAAGTGATAAGTATGTTGGATTCATTTTATAGCTCTCCATGTCTGTATAGGTTGAGGATTCTCCATAGTAATAATAATAAAAACTTTTTAAAAAGTAATACTTCTGGGAAGATGGAGTAGAAGTACTTTTTCTAATGCTTCCCACTAAGTGCAACTAAAACCCCCCGGGAATTTTCTACAGGGTCAATGTAAGGAGTCTCAGAAAGAGATTAAGGCAAAGCAGCTAGAGATCCTGGGTCTGAAGACTGGCACTGTAGTGAATTCCTTGAATGGTTGAAAAATTCCTAAATTTGGAAAAAAAAAAAAAAACCAGAACATAAACCTACAGCTTCAAGAAACTGAGAGAAACCCAAGCAACTGTGCTCCTTAACATTTATCCAGAGGGATAAAAGCTTAACATTTCCACACAGTCCTGTGTATGAATGTTTATAGCAGCTTTATCAGTAGTAGACAACTGAAAACACCCAGATGTCCTTCACTGGGTGAATGGTTAAACAAACAGTGGTGCGTCCGTATCATGTAGTATTACTCAATGATTAAAAGAACAGGCTATTGATACAGGCAACATACTGGATGAAACTGCAGAGAATGATGCTTGTGGAAAAAGCTAATCCCCAAAGGTCATATAATGCGTGATTCCATTATATGACATTATACAAATGATTAAATTAGAGATGAAGAACAGATTAGTACTGCGAAGGGTTACAAAAGGGATGGCTATGAAAGATCACTATGAGAGTTCCCTGTGGGGTAGAAGTGTTCTGTATCTTGACTGTACCTTGACTTGTGATGTTGTACTAGAGGTTTTTTTTTTTTTTTTTTTTGTACTAGAGTTTTGTAGGATGTATCCATTTGGGGAACTAGGTAAAGGGTATTGTTAATTCTTACACTTGTATGCTACTCTATCTCAAAATAATTTGCTCAATCATTCAACTTATAAATTTAGTTAAAAATAAGTGCAATATTTAAAACATTTTAAGTAATACAAAAATGATCTTTAGAGAATTCTCTGGTGGTCCAGAGAAGCTGATCACAGCTTTCACTGTGATGATTTGGGTTCAGTCCCTGCTCAGGGAACTAAGACCCTGCAAGCTGCATGGTGCAGCCAAAAACAAAACAAGAAACAAAAGTGGTCTTTAATAAAAAATGAATCACACTTTGTCTTCTTCCCCAAGGCAAGCCCGATTTCTAGTTACCACATCATTTTCACAGTCATATAATGTAGCCTTTTGACTAAAGTTCTCTGAATATTTCAGAACTGAATATTCAAAACTGACAAGATTTGAGTTATTTTAAAAAATTTATTTGGATGCATTGAGTCTTAGTTGTAGCATGTGGGATCTAGTTCCCTGACTAGGGAACAAACCTGGGCCTCCTGCATTGAGAGCATGAAGTCTTAGTCACTGGACCATGAAGGACATCCCCAAATTTGTGAGTTTTTGACCTGATTATCCCCGTCACAGTTTGTCACCATCTCCCACATGGCAGAAGCAGGAATGGTTCCCGGTCTCATTTCCCTGAAGGAGACACTGTTGGGGCCTGACCCAGTTTGTAACATGCTTGTGTAAACCTGTGAACAGGTATCGAGCCCACTGGGAACATGGTGAAGCAGCCGGCCAAGTTCACCGTGGACACAATCAGTGCCGGGCAAGGTGACGTCATGGTGTTTGTTGAGGACCCAGAAGGGAACAAAGAGGAGGTATGTTGGAGGAGGCTGCCTCTGTCAGTATCCCGTGGAACCTTTGGCTCTTATAACAGGGCCAGAGACTGTGTCTCTGTTTTTCTTATTAAAGCTCACAGCAAAAGCTTTTCTTTAAAAAAAAAAAGAATCCTGAGTCTTATAGCAATTAAATTCACTTGCTTGCCTAAGGGTTGTGTTTAAAGTATCATATAAATTGATACCCAAGGACACACATTATATAATACAATAAAATATTGCATGTAACTATTGTTACTGATAAAATACAGTCCAGTAGCAATACTGATTCCCTACTCTTTGCCCATGCTGATCATCCTCTGGTTCCTCCCTCAAGACCTTTGCACATACTGTTTCTTCTGTCTACTTAAGACTGTACTTTATTCCTAGTGCTTAGCACCATCTGAAGTTCTACAGTTATCAGCGTTAGTTGTCTGTTTCTCCCACTGAGGCAGGAATTGTGCCTGATTTATTTTTGGTACCTGTCCCTGGGTTTGGTGTCATAAGCTCTTAATAACTACCGGGTCAATAAAGGTTTAGGTTACTAGCTTCATAGCCTCTCCCATCTGGAAAGGTAACAGCCCTGAGATGATGGAGAGGCCTGACTTGGTCATACCTGTGTGCCAATGTGACTTTGTTTCCGTGACTTAAGGCTGCTTCTCTCCTGGAGCTTCCTGCAGGAGTGATGGGCCAGAGAAGAGCCAGGGCAGGTTCCTGGCCTGGCACCTTGCCCTGGGCCCTTGGCGAGCACAGCACACTTTTACTCACACTGGTGCCTTCTCTAACTGTCACTCATCTTCCATCCTAGGCACTCGTGACCCCTGACAGCGATAAGAACAAGACATACTCTGTGGAGTATCTGCCCAAGGTCACCGGACTGCACAAAGTAAGATAAGACATCACGGCCTTTGCTTGAATGCTCTTCTGTGCTTGCTTTGATAGATGCAGAAGAAGCATGGTTTTCTTAAGTTCATGTCTATCTGTCATCCATCTATCTATGGTTGCACTGGATTTCCCAGTTGCCTTGTGCCAGCTTCTCGCTGTGGTGTTTTCTTGCTGTGGTGCGTGGGCTCGGATGCTCCACAGCATGTGGGATCTTCCCCGACCAGGGCTTGAACCCGCACTGGCAGGTGGCCTCCTCACCTTTGGACCATCCGGGAAGTCCCTTAAATTCTCTTCTGATTTCTCTTTCTGTTTATACAACTATCCATGTTCATTGTCAAAAATCTCAGATCCCTGTGAATCAATCTTGAGTCATTCACTACTCCATGCAGATTGGTTGAATTCCATTAAATTCTTTGCAGTGTCGTTAAGGTTTTTCTGACTCCACTGAGGTAACTAATAACTGTAACTGCAAGCCTGGAGTGTAAATGCTGAGCTTTGGGCTCTTTGCCTTTAGTGTTTCCTTAAATATCCCTCTTCACGGTGCTCCGGAGGCTCTGTCAGCATCAAAGCCTGAGTGCGGAGGAGGCCAGTGGCCCACCCAACCCGATAACCCTCAGAATTTAAGAGATGAGAACTTCGACTCAAAGTTTAGATAGAAATCTGTCTTATGTCTCAAATCCATGTATCTGAAAATGGTCTCGGTCCTTTGAAAAATACTTTGACTCTTAGATTTGAACTCCTGGAACTCTACATGACGTTCTACAGGGACATGGTCCCTTTTGCAGCTGCCTTAAAGAATCTGGTGTCTAGAGATTGAAGTGCTTGTGCATATGCCTCTATAGAGGCTAATCTCGGCATGTCTGACGTGTTTTAGTTGGCTAAAGGCCTGATGTCCCAGGCCCGGCTGTGTGGTTGGCAGAGTCAGATGGGAGCCCCACTGAGGCCACTTCCCCAGAGCTCCTGGTTCCAGGACCTTTATGTGTATGATCGGGAAGATGGAGGAGAAGGTGGTCTCACTGAGCAGGAAGAAGTGATGATGTCTCCCCTGCCTGTCATTTGTAGGTCACAGTCCTCTTTGCAGGCCAGCACATCTCCAAGAGCCCATTCGAGGTGAATGTCGACAAGGCCCAGGGAGATGCCAGTAAAGTCACTGCGAAAGGCCCAGGCTTGGAAGCTGCCGGCAACATCGCCAATAAGCCCACCTATTTTGACATCTACACAGCAGGTAGCACCTCTCCTCTTCCAGAGCCGGAGAGAATCCTTAGAAACCTGAGATGCTGGACTTTTTGTCTTTTAAATCGAATGGCCAGCGACAAAATTAGCTTCTTCAAACGTGTTGGTTATATTTCTAGATTTTTCAAAACCAGCTTTTCTTCTCTAAAATCTCATACTCAATCTTAACTTTGATTATTAATAATCAATTTCTGACTTGACTAGATAAATACTCCAAAGAGACTAAGGTTTGACAATCATCTCTTGGACCACATTCTATGCAAGGTCCGGTGGGAAGGAGGGGTAAGAAAAGGAATGAATAGAACACAACTCTTGAATTTTCATCTTTCTTTTCGAAATACAAATTTTAGGAAATAGGGACTGTGGGAAAATGAAAGTTGGTTATGATCCCCCTCCCCATAAGCAACTTTCCTTTCTCCGCCTTCCTTATTTCTGCTAGGAAACAGGTCTGGGTATGCACCTTCTGAATGCCTGTCTCCTATGGTTTGCATTTTATACCCGCCTTCGCTCTCATCAGCAGGGAACTTTCCAGAGGGCGACTTGGACTCACGGCCTGTTCTTTCTCTCCTAGGTGCTGGCGTGGGCGACATTGGTGTGGAGGTGGAAGATCCGCAGGGGAGGAACACCGTGGAGCTGCTCGTGGAAGACAGAGGAAACCAAGTGTATCGATGTGTGTACAAACCAATGCAACCTGGCCCCCACGTGGTCAGGGTTTCCTTTGCTGGGGACACCATCCCCAAGAGTCCCTTCGTTGTTCAGGTCGGGGAAGGTGAGTGCTGGAGTAGCTGACCGCCCCTGGTTCTGGCGTTCAGGCTGGCTGTGCATGACAGGGCCCAGCACTGAACTCAGACTTGTCATTTTGCTGCCGGGGCCCCTTTGGCAGGAAGTATCCTCAAGACATTAATAGTAGTATCTACTTTGTCCTCGAGATGCGAACACTAATAGCTTCCTATGAGCTGTGCAGTGACCTACGTGCTTTACTCATATTAACCTGTTTAATCCGCCCCCAAAACACTCTGCCAGGATTTATGGTCCTCACTGAGAGATGCAGGATGGAAGCTGTGTGAGGAGAGGGTGTCTGTGGCTGAGATTACTAGCAGTAACGTGGCCGGTCCCCTGTGGCCTCCTTTACTGGCCGTCAGGCACAGAGCGCAATGGCATCTAATCATGACACCAGCCACGGTGTCCCAGGGGCTATTGTTCCCAGTTGGCACCTAAGACACTGAGGCTTAGGTGTCATAAGGTGGGTCTGGACTAGACCAGTGGTCCCCAGCCCCTGGACTCGGGCTGCACAGTAGGAGGTGAGCGGCAGGCCAGGGAGCAAAGTTTCATCTGTTTTTACGGCTGCTCTCTCCTGCTTGCATTACTGCCTGAGTTTCCCCGCCTGTTAGACCAGCCAGCAGCATTAGATTTCTTAAAAGAGCATGAACCTACTGTGCTTGAATCATCTCCAAACCACTCGCCTCCACCCTGGGCCATGGAAAAATTGTCTTCCATAAAACTAGGCCCTGGTGCCCAAAAGGGTTGGGGACTGCTGGACTAGATGTCAGTAGGAATAGAACCGAGGTCTCGGTCAGCTCCTTAACCAGGCTGTTAAACTCCCTCTGCAGCCAGAAGCATGCATTTTCCTCTAATGTTAGACTCTTTCCTTCTGATTTAGTTACTCTTTTTTTCCCCCCCATCTCTGCTACCTTTTCTAACCAGTACTTGCCTTTCCCTGTTCTGTTCTGTGCATCTGCATCTGCAGACCTGGCTTCCTCTTCTGAATCCTGCCTCTTGGCCAGCCTGGAGCCTGAAGCTGTTGGCTTCCTAGTCGAAAGCACTGGGCCAGAGGCATCTCACTGGGTAAGGGCTGCCTGGGTGGGGTTTCTCTGCCAGTCTTCATGCTACCTCCGGGTGTCCACCAGGCCTGTGCTCTTCGTGACCTTGGGAAATTACAGTGCAGGTGTTAGCACCACCTATCTGGCCAGACCCTAGACTCATTCTCTATTTACATTTACACATCTCTAGGTCATTCAAGATGGTGGAAAATCCGGTGGTTTCCTTTAGACTTTTTAGTTCCATTTAGTGTTTATATGAACTGAGCAGTTTTCCTGCTGATGTTGAGACTCTTGCCCTTACTCAGGATTTCCATGGCTTTTATTTTTTTTTTAAAGACACATTTAAACCTTCCAAGGGAAGTCCTGTCATCCTGTTGTGACTTATTTTCTGGTATGACCAACATCTTTCCCCTTGACAAAGGGGGGAAAAATTAAATAAATGTATTCAGAAGGAGAACTTCATTTGACATAATGCAAGAAAGAATGTAGAACAGCTTTCCTAGTTTTAGTGATGTTTTCTGACTTCTTCTCATTTGTGGATTACTTTTTTCATTTCTGGCATATCCATCTATCACTGGTGCTAGTTAATAGTTAATAGAGTTTTTCTGTTGATGTACTGACCCCTCCTCCACTTAAATGATTTTACGATAAACAGTCTTGTCTTCTGGAGTCTGTGACCCCCTAGTGTATAGAGGGAGCCTGTCAAATATGCAGTGTCAGATTTGGAAAGGAACAACCTGACATTTTACCCATGAATCTCCTATTTCTGTATTTAATGAGAAGGTTGCTCATGTTACCAAAAAAGTCCCAGGGCACATCAATGTCTTTTATCAACCTTTGACAAACCCCATGGAATCGTTTTGTGAACCTCTTAGGTAGGAATGTTAGAAGCTACCTTTGCCCTAGACTTACAACTTTAGGTTTTTTAACTGGACCCAGAAATCAAATTGAGAGTGGGGTTTATTCCTAATTATAGAGTAACCACCCACATTCTGAGGTCCTTGTAACAGCTCTAAACTGTCTGCCTTGGTCGAGGTGGGGTTGATCTGGTCTTTCTTTGCACCATCCTCTGGCTGTTCTGGGGAAGAGAACAACATTTAGACTTTTAGAAACAACTGGTCCAAAGTTTAGAACCAGGTCAGATGTTTTCAAGTGCTACATTTTCCAAGTAGACCTGAAAAACTCCAGTTTTCCCAATTACTGGACCCTTGAGTATGGCAGTGAAGTTTGAGCAATGTCCAACCCTAGGTCTTAACTCTCTTTTACCACGGAGAGGATAAATGCCAGGATTCAGCAAATACCAGGAGTCCAGCAAATTCCCGCTGTGCACTCCTGCTTTCTTTGCCAAAGTAACTTTTCCCCAGTCCCTGGACAAAGTTATATTGTGTCTTTATTTGCTAGCCTGGTGTGCTCCCTGAAGGAGACCCCTGGTCTCCGGCAGCTGCTGCACACTCTACAAAGCAAACATTTTCTTGGCGGGTGGCTCAAAGTTACCTTGGCTTACTCAATTCCGACTGAAGAATAAAAGGTTGAATTGATGTTGAAACTGTGCTTGCAGCCTGCAATCCAAACGCCTGTCGGGCCAGTGGCCGAGGCCTGCAGCCTAAAGGCATTCGTGTCCGAGAAACTGCAGACTTCAGAGTTGACACCAAAGCTGCTGGAAGCGGAGAGCTCGGCGTCACCATTAAGGGTCCTAGTAAGTGCTCCTTTGTTTGCCTGTCTCAGTGTGATTTCAGCTTAACTTGACGATATGTGGGTCTCATCACACAGCCAGTTCTGATCAGTTTATCCCAGAGAGCTGGGATATCAGCACAGTTTATCAGTGTCAGAGATTGGAGGCTATCTCTGCTCCATGTAGAAGGAAACTGATTGTTTAGTAATGTTTGCCCTGGATGTGGGAACAGTGTTGGATTGACACCCTCGTATTATGTTAGGGCTTCCGGAAAAAGAAATAAATACTGGAGCTGGAACAGCAATATGAAATGGCCCATTTTTTTTTATTTTATTTGAGGATACCTAGGCTCAGAGAGGAAGGGTCTTGTCCACAGTCACAAAGTTTTTAAGCATCTGAGCTAGAATTCAAGCCCGATCTGCAAAGCCAGTAATTTTCCCCTCTACAGGTTACATTTTACAGGCAATGAAATTATGGCAGATACCTAATTACTTTGATAAGTGCTTATAGAAGGAGAATAAATTCCCTACGACTAAGTCTTCTCTGTAGATAAATGCCACTTGTGGAAGAGTGCATGGCACCTTGCAACTCCCTCTCGCTGTTTCTTGAGAAAGAAAGGAGGACAGGTATCTACTCTCTTCATGAGTTCCCCGCCCTGGGGCAGAGAAGCAGCTCAACATTTTCCAGTTGTGAGTGCAGTAGCCTCGGCGGTTTTACTCCCAAGCTTTGTAAAATCCTCGCTTCCTGCTCCGGGACTGTTCTCACTGCCCTGTGTTCCTAACAGGCTGGGGCAGGAGTGTTCTGAGCTCCAGAAAGTTAATATTTGATCTCAGAGCACTGAGCTTTGGGGCAGCTGTGCCCTGAGGGCAGCCAAGGTTCTAGACTGCCCAGACCTGGAGTGAGGCTGCTCTGGGGCTGGCCTTCCTCTTGGCTTGTTGCTACAGGAACTGAGGAGGCGTTCTTTTTTTTTTCTGACCTTGATTCTTACTTGACTAAATGGCTTTCCCGGCCAAACCTCAGGGCTCAACATAAAACAAGTTCCTGCCTGATGGCTCAGTCTGGAGTTTGTGGGGTAGCCTCTGAAACCTGTTCTCTTGGAGATAGCATACAAGAACTTTCTTGCTTTCATTGCCCAGCTTTAGTTGAAAAGGATATGCCAGGACCCTAATGCCAAATACTCATAAGCATTTACTCCTTCTACAATTTTTTAAAAAATTTCTTTCCTTTTTTAATCTTTATTTTATAGTGGAACTTGGGCTTTCCCCAGTGGCTCCTTGGTAAAGAATCTACCAATGCAGGAGACATTGTTGATTAACAATGTTGTTATATTAGTTTCAGGTGTATAGCAGACTGATTCAGTTATACATACATATGTATCTATTCTTTTTGAAGTTCCTTTCTCATTTGGGTTATTACAGAATATTGAGTAGAGTTCCCTGTGCAATTTTTGTGGGCAGCTTTTTGATCATTGAAAAATATTACCAGCCCCAGGGGTTTAGAGACCTCATAGGCCCCTCATACATGAGAAAGTTTTCTAAAGCCAGTGAGTAGACATGTGTCTGTTTTTGGCTTTGGAGTAAGCTCCCAATTTGGGGTGGGGGAACCCCACACTCGGAGACCATCCACATGGTTTTATTTTGTGGCTCTTGCTGTCTTTCTGTTCCTGTCTTGTGGATTCTTGTTCTGAGCCTGGACGGCTACTGGAAAGACCATGTGCTTCCTTCCCACAGAGGGTCTGGAGGAGCTGGTGAAACAGAAAGGCTTTCAGGATGGAGTCTATGCATTTGAGTATTACCCCAGCACCCAGGGGAAATACAGCATCTCCATCACGTGGGGGGGACACCACATTCAAAAGAGGTGAGTCTCTAGCTGGGATTGTTGTGTCTTCTCCCGAGGCATGCTCGGCCCAGGATAGGCTTGTGGTGCTCATTTCCCAGGCCGCAGGAGGGAAGGAGAGCTGCTCTGTCAAAAGCTTTTTTTTTTCTTCTTTTTTCAGAACAGTACACAGTCATTTGGCCTGTTCTCAAATGCAGCAGAAAGTCACTGTGGTTTCAGCTGCCTCGTTTCAAATCGAAAGCTGGCGGTTTAAAGCTGTGGGGAGGCAGACAAGCCAGAAGGAACAGTGATACAGAGCAAATGGGCTGTGTGTCTATACCCCTAATTTAAACAGATTCTCCTTCTTTCGATGTGTGCCTCTCTGTTCATGAATGCCATGGGTAAAATGGCAGAATCTGCTCTGGTTGACGTTAGAATCCTCGCTGTGAGCGCGGTCAGGATGCGAGGGGCACAGTCTATAGCTTTGCCTTGCGGGCTTCACTTGCCTTCCCTGTATTCATGTGCTTTCCAGCTTTCCTGGGGGCAACTTTAGGCTCTGAATAAATTCCATTTACTTCAAGAGATGTCTGTGTATATTTTAAGCTTCTGAGAATCTAAGCAATGTTTTTTAAATCTCCTGTGCCGTTTATTCATGAATAAAGCACGTTTATTCATGTTTGAGATAGAGCATATTCAGTCCAGTTTTCTTGTTTTAGCACTGGCAGCGGATGGAATGTAGGCACTCACTTAGCCTTCCAGGGCTCATAGCCTGGTGTGCATACACAGCAAATGACCAGGATAGTGCCAGGCAGTGTGGTTTGAAACAGTCCTATTACATGATAGTGTTGACATAACAATGGTTGTGGGGGAACCTGTATGGAGGAAGGGCTTGGTTGGAGCTTGGGGCTGCAGATGAAAGGATAAGGCCAGTGGAAAGAGCATGTATAAAGAGCTTGTGGTTGTATGTGGCCCTTTCTTCGCTTCTCTTTAATGCTTCCTCTGTTCCTTTCCTTCCAGCCCTTTTGAAGTTCAAGTTGGCCCGGAAGCAGGCATGCAGAAAGTCCGTGCGTGGGGACCTGGCCTCCACGGCGGGATTGTTGGGCGGTCAGCAGACTTCGTAGTGGAGTCCATTGGTTCTGAAGTGGGGTCTCTGGGTAAGTGGAAGTGGCTTCTGGTGGCTGAGATTGCAGGGTGCCTGGGTCACGTGTTAGGCTGTGTGTTGAGGCCTCTGAGCCTCTGGCCTCCTGACCCACCCAAGACCATCTCTGGATACTTCTGATGAATTGCAGCTCCGATGTTCTGCTTGTCCTCTGCCTCTGGCACCAGCATTCATTCATCCACTAGACCATGAGGGCAAAGGCTTCCTGTGGATGTTGTGCCTAAAACAGTACCAGGAAAATAGTTGACACATGGCAGATATTATTGACTGATCCTTAGTTTAGATGAATGAAGTTTGCCGAAATTAGAAATTTGGAAAGTGAATACTCTTTGGAGTGTAGTTGAGTGTATTTTAAATAAGCATCTGATGTAGATTTGATCATTTTAGAACAAGGGTCGGCACCTCTCTCTGTTAAGGAACAGATAGCAAATATTTCCGTATTGAAGGTCATATTCTCTCTGTCACAACTATGTGACTATCATTGTAGCCTGATCGCGGCCATAGATAATGCATAAGTGAAGGGGTGTGGTTGTGTTCCTTATTTACAAAAACATGCATTGGGTCAGATCTGGTTCAGCAGTTAAAGTTTAATGACCCCTATGTTAACAAATAGAAATAAGCAAAGAGGAAAAATTAGGAAATCAGATTCAATTTTTCTGTTTAGAGAAATGATAAACATCTTAGTATATCCTTATAGACTAGAAGCAGTATTAGACCTTTCAGCATATCCTTCTAGATTTTATTCCTGTACATAGGCATACAAATGTTGGTCTGCTGCAAAAGTATCTTTATGTCTTTCTGCCTCAGGCGAATATAGGACCTGTCTCAGTTTCCCATGGCATCTATGGAAATCCAAGGCATGGATATAAGTACTGTTAGGCCCTTCAGCAAAATAGCTGAAGAGTTCTGCTATAAAAACAATGCTGAATATATATCCTTGTATCTAACTGTTTACACACATCCTTGGTTATTTCCTTCAGATAAAAACCCAGAAGTGGATTTGGTGGGGGCAATGGGTGGGTATTGTTTTAAGGTTTTTGGCTCATGTTACCATATTGCCAACAGAAAGGTTTGCTGGTTGACCTTTCCGTTCAATGATGTTTTAAAAAAAATATGTAAAATCCAACCTTCCATCTCTTTTGAAGACTTAGTAAGCTCGGTTTTGTGGAAAAGGGACCCTAACAGATGGCAGTCTTCTGGCTAGCACTTGGTTTTCACAGAGGCAGAAGGAATGGGTTGGTAATAACCCAGACTAGATACCTTGTAACCAGAGGGTCTTCCTACCCTGTCCCCAGGGTTTGCCATTGAAGGCCCCTCGCAGGCGAAGATTGAGTATGATGACCAGAATGACGGGTCGTGTGATGTCAAGTACTGGCCCAAGGAGCCGGGTGAATATGCCGTTCACATCATGTGCGACGATGAGGACATCAAGGACAGTCCCTTCATGGCCTACATCCACCCGGCCTCGGGAGACTACAACCCAGACCTGGTGCGTCAGAGTGTCGTGTTCCTTCCTGTCCTCTCTCCTCTGGCTCCTGGCATTCTTTCCTATGCCCACAGAGTTTCCTTGAGTAGCGTGTGGAGAAATCACAGAGAAGAGCCTTTTAAAGCTTAGGAAGTTTCGAAAAAGACCTGAATTAGAAGCCTGGTAGTACTTCTTAGCGGGCTTCCCAGGTGGTTCAGTGGTAAAGAATCCACCTGCCATGCAGGAAATGTGGGTTCGATCCCTGGGTTGGGAAGATCACCTGGAGCAGGAAATAGTAATCCACTCCAGTATTCTTGCCTGGGAAATCTCATGGACAGAGGAACCTGACAGGCTACAGTCCCTGGGGTTGTAAAGAGTTGGACGTGATTTAGTCACTGAAAAACAAGTACCTCTTAGTACATTTCTAACATGTGGCAAGTAACTTACCTCTCTGACTTCTGTATCTTCCTCTATAAAGTGGGAATGATTCCAGTGGCTGCTTCCTATAGTTTCTGGCATGATTCAAAGAGGTAACATGAACAAAACCAGCTCTTATTAGCATAGTGCCTGGCCCACAGAGGGGGCTCCATAAGCTGCTATTTTTCTTGTACCCCAAGCATCCCATTTCAGTTTTACCACTTTCTATAGGTATTCTCTCAAGGTGCTCCTTAGATAAAGACTTGTTAATTTTTCTCCCCAGCTCCCCTTCTCTTAAGTTGGAGCAGTGTTTGCATTGTCTTCAGGAGCTTCTCTGAATCGTTTAGCAGGCTGATAAGCATGAAGTCTGAGCCAGCTGGGCTTTCGGCAGCCACCACCCACCCCACCCCCACCCCGCCCAACGTGTACTGTTTTTGGCCCACGTGGACAGCTGACCGTAGGCTGACACCAGTCCAGCCTGGTAGCTGCTCCTCTTTGTCCAGCTGCTGGTTCTTTGCTCTCTGGGGGCTGCAGACCATTGGGATGTTGTCAGTGGGAAAGACTCTGAACCTCCTCCAAGCGGGAGCATTGAAACTGAGCACATCCGGAGTCTGCGCACTGGTTATTGCACACATTAATACAGGGAGCACTGGCTGGTGTGGGGCCAGGTTTTACAGTTTTTCTCCTGCATGTTTTTAAGTTCCAGGTTGCCTGTGTGTGTGTGTGTGTGTGTATTCAGTCGCTCAGTCGTGTCTGACTCTTTGTGACCCCATGAACTGTAGCCCACCAGGCTCTTCTGTCAATGGCATTCTCTAGGCAAGAATGCTGGAGTGGGTTGCCACTTCCTACTCCAAGTTCCAGGTTACTTTAGCATTTTAACTACCATAACCATCCTCTTATGTAGGTACAGTAAGTCTCTTACATACGAATGAGTTCTGTTCCGAGAGCACTTTCATAAGTTGAAGGATGTTACCCTGAGTACCTCACTAACACAATCAGCTATATGGTACTGTACTATAATAGGGTTACCCAGGTGTCACAGTGGTAGAGCATCTGCCTTCCAATGCAAAAGACACAAGAGAAGCAGGTTCGATTCCTGTGTCAGGAAGATCCCCTGGAGGAGGTCATGGCAACCCACTCCATTATTCTTGCCTGGAGAATCCCATGGACAGAGGAGCCTGGTGGGCCACAGTCCATGGGGTTGCAAAGAGTTGGACACGACTGAGCATTCATGTACGTATGTACTGTAATAGGTTTATAATACTTTTTCACACAAATAATATGTACATAAAAAACAAACACAAAAAATAAACAGTTTTAATCATACAATACAGTAGCTTGAAAGGTGCAGTAGTACCTTACAACAGCTGACATACAGGGACTGGCACACACATTCCCATCTTTGAAAGTTCATATGTAGAGGACACTACCGTGAAGCCAGACTTAGCTTCCTCCCTCCCCCTTCCTTGGTCGCCTGTCTTCTGATAGTGTAGTTAGCGCATTACAAAGAAAGGGAGTCACTATTGGCCCTTTGCCCCAGGTGCAAGCGTACGGGCCAGGTTTGGAGAAATCCGGATGCATTGTCAACAACCTGGCTGAGTTCACTGTGGATCCTAAGAATGCCGGAAAAGCTCCCTTAAAGATATTTGCTCAGGTAAGTTGCTACCTGTGCGGGTAATTATCAGGTAACGGGATACATATAACAGCAAGTGACCAGTCCCTTGGATCTTCAGTTTCCTCATTCACACGTTGCAAAAAAGATGATTTTTCTCAAAGGGTTTACGTGAGGACTAAAGGGGATTCTAATATGTAAAGCAGGGTGCTTTTCTCATCTTTATGGTTTGAATTCTGTGGAAATCAGCCTTGTCTGTTTCAGATCTCCCCGTAAATATCCTTTAGTGTGGCTATGATGGGAGGGTTTGTAAACAAGAGTGTAGCAAATATGTTTGCCTCATTTAATTGAATTTTGGCCCCAGGATTTAAATGCAGGAATTACAGTTAAGAAGCACTGAGTGACCATGCCTTTCTTTGGGGAAACCATTTGTTGTTAGTAATTAAAGATAAATAAATGCATATAGTGTTTTACCACTTGTGTTCATTGCCTTGAGAACATGGCCCATCATAGGCGCTCCATGAAATTTGGTTGGGTGAGGGAGTGGCGATTTGGGAAGACCCAGTGACCCTGTTTGATGGAGACAGGGTGAGGGCCAGCTCTGTACTCGGCTCCTGCTCTTCTGCAGGATGGGGACGGCCAGCCCATTGACATCCAGATGAAGAGCCGGATGGATGGCACCTATGCCTGCTCGTACACCCCGGTTAAGGCCATCAAGCACACCATTGCCGTGGTCTGGGGAGGTGTCAGCATCCCGCACAGCCCTTACAGGGTAGGTTATGAGGCGGAATCCTGGTCGCGGTGTGAAAAAGCCCAGTCCTGAGGCAGGTCTGGGCTCCATGCTTGATGGTCAAGGCAGGTACCTGGAAACACCATGCTTGGTGTACCTTGGAAGATGGGGTGGCCAAAAGGGCCAGGTGCTGTAGATTGCCCCCACGTATGACATTCTAACAACTGACCATGTCTTTACTGGGTCCACATGCAGAAGAACTTGATTACAACTTTTCTCCCTGTCCTCTCTAGGTCAGCATCGGACAGGGTAGCCATCCCCAGAAGGTCAAAGTATTTGGGCCAGGAGTGGAGAGAAGTGGCCTGAAGGCACACGAACCCACTCACTTCACCGTGGACTGTACTGAGGCTGGCGAAGGTGAAAGGGGGCTCCACCCAGCAAGATGCTTGTTGCATCTTGGGAAGGAAGTTCTCTTTGTAACGTTTCAAGGGCAGTGAACTCTGAACCGAGAAACAGTCCGCCTGAATAGATGATTGTTCATCTAATGCGTGTCTGAGTCAGTTCGGTGGTGAGATCTTTGCTAATCCTCCATTCCTTCTCCAAAACCCTGATTTGAATACCATCCCTTTCTCAGGTTACTTACTGGAAAGTTCCCAGCTGCTTTTCTGGGGTGTGAGCTTGAGCTGGAAGTGATTGCATGGGACGTGCCGTTTCTTATAAACCAGTGCTAATAGGCTGGTCTGTTCCAGGTGATGTCAGCGTTGGCATTAAATGTGATGCCCGGGTGTTAAGTGATGAGGAGGAAGACGTGGATTTTGACATTATTCACAACGCCAATGATACGTTTACAGTCAAATATGTGCCTCCTGCCGCCGGGCGATACACTATCAAAGTTCTCTTTGCCTCTCAGGTGTGTGGGCAGGGGTTCTTTCTGGCCAGCTGTGTGTGTATTTCCTTTTATTTTTTTTAGCAACAGAAAAAGTATCTTGAGAACTCTGCCCAATAGTTTTCCTCTCTGGTTGCTTAAAACCAAGAAGGAATACCAACACCCAAAACTAAAATGTTACCACTTTCTAATGAAAGTAGGGATGCATAGTTAGTGGTTGAAAGCCAGGCTCTGGAAAGAAGTTAGATTTTTATAAACTATCATCAGATTTTTGAATGAATTGTAATGAATTTCTTGTTTGTGTCCTACTTCAGTGTCTTTGAAACAATGACCTTGGCCTCAGCCTTTATAGGAAGAAAGAATTTAGAAGTTTCAAATGGGGTTCATATTTATATGTGAAAATGAAGACAAGGAGGAGCAGTACCCATTTTAGGAACCATGGAATCTTGTTGATTCAGATGCATCTTACATAAACATAGGGACCTCAGGAGAAAGCTTTGTGCCTCAAATATTGATCTTGAGTTGGCTTCATCCATTTGACCTGTCCTGCCTTTATAGTGCAAGGTTCTTTTTCTAATGTCAGATTTATTATTTTTAAAAAAATATTTTGCCAGGAAACTTGACATTTGGGATTGTTGTTGCCCAACTAGGGAGTGAATCCATTGCCCCCTGCAATGGAAGCATAGAGTCTTAACCACTGGACCACAAGGGAAGTCCCTGCAGGATTCTTTTGGAAGCATTACAGTCAGTGCCTTGCTAATCAGTTCCTTGCATTCCTCAAACCCTAGCTCTCTGCTGTCCTTGCAGGACATTTCCTTCCTCCAATCCCATGTATTGTTGTTTGAGGTTTTATTCTTGGTAGTGTTTTTGCATCCTAAAAGTACTCAGCATTTGGTATTAAAGGCTGAGAGTTGTCTGGGTGGTTTGTGGACACTCAGGCCCTTTAACTGTGAGGTCGGATATCCAGGGACTCATGAGTGACCACTGATGGCCCTTACCTGATGCTAGCATGTAACGACTTGACCGATCGTTACTCAGAAGTTACTCACCACCCGCTAGACTGGAAGTACTGAGGTCTCCGTCTTTGCTTTGAGCAGAAGTTTAAGCTCAGGCAATGACTTCAGGGACTTTCCTCCTGAGACTATATCTCTGCTACAGGAAATCCCCACCAGCCCTTTCAGAGTCAAGGTCGACCCTTCCCATGACGCCAGCAAAGTGAAGGCAGAAGGCCCGGGGCTCAGCAAAGCAGGTAAGGGGGCGTGTGCGCGAGGTCACCCTGGAGGCAGTGGGCCCAGTGGGTCCAGGGCCGGAAATGACCTGCCTCCCCTAGAGCAGGTGCTCTGGCTGGGGCTGCGCTCAGCTGAGCTGCCGGTGTGGCTGAGCACCAGCCCCTGTCTCCACCTCCTGCCTTCTGGAAGCTGGTGTTGATGAACCTGTCAGACTGGTTCTAAAAGTGAAACTCCTCCGGCTGAGCCTGTCTCCTCACTTCACTGTCTCCTCCCAGGTGTGGAAAACGGGAAGCCCACCCACTTCACTGTCTACACCAAGGGAGCCGGAAAGGCCCCTCTCAACGTGCAGTTCAGCAGCCCAGTCCCTGGCGACGCCGTGAAGGATCTGGATATCATCGACAACTATGACTACTCTCACACCGTTAAATACACGCCCACCCAGCAGGTAGGCCCCTGCCTGCCTGGGCTGGGCCACTTTGGACACCAGGGGATAATCTCAGCTCTGATCTGTGCTCCTCTGTGAGAGGAAGAGATTCACCCTTTCCTTGTGAACCTCCTGGTTCTGCCAGGAGGGCCTGGAGGATTCCCCAAGGACCGGCAGGAAGCTTGCCACCCCTCCCCACCCCAATTTCCCACGTCCATCTGGGTTTTAGCAGAGAAATGCTGAGCTCTTGAAATTGGACCTAGTGTCTGCTTCTCTCATAGACATTCTCCCCTCCTTACCAGCTGCCTTTGAGTCTTTTATTAGTTACTCAGAGGTAAAGAATTGCCACACCTCTGTTTATCCTTGCTGGTCCTTTTGCCTTACCTCACCCTTTTTTTACAAGGTGGTACAGTGGGGTCTTTCTTAAAGAGCTTTTAGTTCCTCAAACCTGAAGTGGTACTTCAAGCTCTAAATTACTCCCTTTTACAGAATAGAGGAATACAGACCGGATTTTGTCATGCCTCATGCTTTGCTGTTTGTTCTAGAAAATAAGGGCTTACAAGTCTACCTCTATATGAATTTATGCTTACTTGTTTAAAATTTTGTTTTGATTCATGCCTATACCTCTAGGGTCTGTGAAGCACATACTCCTGTAGAAAAAACTAGATTCTACTACTTCTGCATAGTGTTTTAAACAGTCATTCCAAACCTCTGAGAAGTCTTCATTTTTTAAAACAATTTTTGACAATTATTATTATTTTTTGGCCACACCATGTGACATGTGAGTTCTTTGTTCCCCAACCAAGGGTTGAACTCACACCCACTGCAGTGGAAGCGTGAACTCTTAACCACTGGACCCCCAGGAAAGTCCCCCTTCATTCTTGAAGCAGAACCCCACTGTGTGAGAAATGCCATTTGTGAGAGAGGAAGGGCAATGTTTTCTGCCAAAGCACTGTTTGAGAAGCATCACTCCTGCCCCGGGCCTTGTCAGTGAGGACCTGGCTGGAGTGCAGTGGGGCAGAATGAGGGGTACAGTGAGGATGAGGGAATGGTGTGGGTGTCCTCCTGCGCTGGGAGCTACACATCCTTGGAGACGGAATCTTTTCTGTGAGAAGCTCCCTGGCAGTGCGAGGTTCTCTAGGGCAGGTTCTTGTGTGGCCTTTCATCTCCATCTCTGCTGCTTTTAGATCCTGTGTCTATATACCTTTTTGTGTTTCGACAGAGCTGCTAGAAATTAAGTTGCCGACATCAGGACAGGTTTTGACTTGCACCCCAAGGAAGGGCTTTGGAACTACCATTGCCCTGGATGCAACGGGAGAAGCCATAGGGAGCCCTATGGTTTCTTTCTGTCCTCTTGAGGGTTCATTATTCATAATGGTAAAAGGGAAGCTTTCATAGGTGAATGCCATTTTCTCATTAGGACACTCAGTGCTATGTAGGTCATTGTTTTCCTGCTGATGCTTATCAGGGCTGATGGAAGCCTTAGTACTGGTGACACCAGCTGGATAGCATCTTTGTTTTCAGTTCTCCACATTCCTGAGGAGGAGGTACATGGCCATGCTCACTGGTCAAGATCGCAAGATCAAAGGTTCTTCTAAAAACATTCTGAGACTCTTGATCTTGTATCCATAAGCCTTGTTGGGTTTCAGCTGAGCTGCTGGAAAGTAAGTAGCAGATGTCAGGGCAGCCTCAGGTTTTGACTTGCCCCCTCAGAAAGGACTTTTGAACCCAATGCCCTATTAATATATATATGTATATATTTTATTTATTTATTTATTTTTGGCTGTGTTGGGTCTTTGTCGTTTAGTCACAAAGTCATGTTTGACTCTGTGATGCTGTAGACTGTAGCCTGTGAGGGTCCTCTTGGGATTTCCCAGGCAGGAATATTGGAGTGCTTTGCCATTTCCTTCTCCAGGGGATCTTCCCAACCCAGGGATGGAACCCACGTCTCCTGCATTGGCAGGCAAATTCTTTACCACTGAACCACCAGGGAATCCCTAGTTGTGGCATGCAGGATCGTTACTGAAGCATGACAACTCTTAGTTGAGGCATATGGAAATCTAGTTCCTTGACCAAGGATCAAACCGGGGCCCCTTGCATTGGGAGCAGAGTCTTAGCCACGGGACCACCAGGGAAGCCTTGAGATGTGACACTCTTGGGGCAAGGGGCCCAGTGGTTTTGTGTAGAATCCATCCTAGAAAGTCAGTACTCTTTCCCTCATAGAGGCACCTCATTTTCATCTTGGCTTTTCCCGCCTTCTTTATTACAAAAGGAATATAAGCAAATATCCCATAGGTCAAAAGCTACACCCTTTTAAAACTCCATCTGCGACAGCTTTTAGTGGAGGCTGAATTCCAGTGAGCCCTCTGGGGATTCATCCCTCCTTCCCCCTTGCTTCCTCCCCTCCCACATCCTCTTACATGATACCCAGACATTTGAGGTGAGGACAGCCTTAATCCACTGAGACAGCTGTGGGTTTTCATGGGGCCTTGGTGTGGATGGAGGCACTCAGCCGACCATGGCGAGAGGAAGCCAGCAGTGAGTGGGCCGGGACTGGACGTGCCTCCGTGGCCGCAGGGCTGCTGGGGGGGATGTGCTGAACCTACAGGCACAGTCTGCCTTCTCACTGGCAACTCTTCTCTCCTTGACATCCATGTGAGAGTTTCCATACTGTGCGGGGGTCTTAGAACAGCCCCAGGCTAACTCTTGCAAATTCGTTTTTGCAGTGCAGTGGCCTGAAATCCCAGGCCATGGGAAAGAAAGATTTTGTTCAGTTAGAGGCCCCAATTCAACCCCTGCCTTGCCCTTGGCTGGGCTGGTCGTGTGTTTGATGTGAAGCCTGTGTGGCAGAGCATCTGGGACTCGGGTTCGGGTGCCACAGATGTGAGGCCTGGCTCTCACACTTAGGACAAGCGACTTCACCTCCCTGAGCTGTGGTTTTACTGCCTGGAAAAATGGTGACCACCTCTTAGCACCGTTTTCAGGTGGAATTGAGGAAATGCTTAAAAGCACACCTCAACAGTGTGCTCTTGAACCTCTTGTTGATAGTTGCTTTTTTTTTTCTTTTTTTTTTGTCTGATTTCTGCATCATTCTTGCCATGAGGCTAAAAACTTAGATATATTTGAGATGCCTTCTAAATCTGCTGAAGCTATATACCCTGCATCTCTGGGAAGAATGGAAATCCTGGAAGGCAGGTTGAAACATCAAGTGAGTCTGTTGGTACCCACACGTGTCCTTGGTTCTCTCTTGTTCCAGGGTAACATGCAGGTTCTGGTTACATACGGCGGCGATCCCATCCCTAAAAGCCCATTCACCGTGGGTGTGGCTGCTCCGCTGGATCTGAGCAGGATAAAAATTAATGGACTGGAAAACAGTAAGTGTGTCGAGTGGAGGGGGGGACGGGTCATTGAAGAGCAGGCAAGGTCCTTTCAAAGACAGTTCGTAGAAGAGCAGATTCTGCCATATGAGACTCTGCCGTCAGACAGACTCACGACTGAATCAGGGCCGTGCTGTGGAGTAGCTCTGTGACCCTGCCTGCCCCTTCACCTTTTCTCCTTTGTTCAGTGGAGGTGGGGGAAGAAGACTCACAGGCCTATTGTAAGAATTAAATGAGCCAGTAATTCAGGAGCTGACTCAGAGGCAGCCCTCAGTAACTGCTGGCCTCACAGGGAAGGTTTTTATAACAAGGAGAATTGGAGGCATGCTGCTTTCTGGTAAATGTCTGTTGTACCAACTGTTGTTGACCACTGAATCCACCTTAGGGTCAACAGGCGAGCGTAAAAACCAATTCCCAGGCACTCAGAAACCACAACTATGATGCTTCTCCCTATTCCCATCCAGATGTTCCTTTAGTTTGTTAGGGATCTTATTAGTACAAGCTCAATTCACTTAAATGAATGAAGCAACTGAATGAATCAATGATAGAGAATAGCATAATAGGGGCACTGATATGCTGCTCGCTCAGCTTCCCAAGTTTAACATATGATCATAGAAGTATTTTTTATATGTCATATAAAAATGCATGTTTCATCTAAAAACATCACAGACAAGGGCAAATTCTGCTTTAAGCATCACTTCTCCCACTCCCTAGAGTTGACCAAAGTCACCTGTTCGTTCTCTGACCTTCCACATCTTCTTTCAGCATCTGTACATACTTAATTGCCAACAGAAAATGTTTAGTAACATTTACCTCGCACTAAAGTTGCCCTGAGATACCCACATGTCTTCAGCTTCCCTTTTTGCATCAGTGTATCTTGGAGAACATTCATACCTCTATCCTTTTGTCAGCATGGTCACAGCCTTGCTGCATGTCAGTGGCATGCGTTTTCCTAGTTTCGGGGTCACGTGGGGCTCCATATACACCCACAGGACAGCATTCTTGTGCTTATGAGAGTTTCTCTGGGTTTGGGGGGAACCCTTGGTGAGCACCTTCAGGGTGCTGTGACCCAAACGTACAAGTTATGACTGAGGCCAGCTCCCAGATCAGGGGCTCTGAAGCAAGAGCTCGATGCTGGCTTTTATCCTTGGGGAGCAGACACTGTCTAATCCTTCATGTGTCCCCTTGGTACTCCTCTCTCCAGGACACTGAGGATTTTTACTTCAGACTAGGATGAGAACGAAGCCGATTAGAAAGAGTCTTTGGGATGTGGATCTCTGAGGCCTCTTTGTTTGTGGCTTGACACCATTCATCTTGGCATGCCCTGTATTGCCCAAGTCAGGACTTCCCTGGGTTGTGGTGGGGGCCCTAGGCTCCCAGTGCTTTTGTTTTGATTGAAAGTCCCTTCCTTGTTATTATCAAATGGAGCACATGGGTGTTCTGTGGCCCTGCTTTGCAAATACTTTTCAAGTATCAGCACAGTACAGAGAGTCACTTCTCAGGCCTTGCTTCAGTGCCTCTGCGTTGGCCAGCTCTGTGACTTCTGCCTTCTTTGGCTGTAGAATGGAATTTGCTGCCAAGAACCAGTAAATAAAACATTGGCTTCTGGGAGTGTTTTGACGCAAAGTTAATAATGAAAATAGGCAGAGAAGCGGCAAGAGTATCAGGTTGTAACTTACTGCAGATCATGGGGTCAAGTCAACTTAGATCAGTGTCCCAGTTTTGTGGTCTGTGAGATAGGTACCCCAGACAACTCACTTCACACCCCCTGCCCCCCAAGCCTCAGTTTCCCTATCTGTTAAATTCTTTGGTTACTAATACATATACTCAGAGTTTGATGAAAATGAAGAGAGATGATATGCTGTCCTCATGCCTGGTATATAAAATACATTCAGTGAATGATGACTATCATTATCATCAGTGATTACTTCATGTTCTTGTACTGGTTATTATCGAGGCTCGAATGCTGATTATTCTTATTCAATCTTGCCTGTCATCCTGAGTCAACCAACATTTGTTGCAGAAGCTGAGAAAACATTCCATGTCCAAGGAACCATCTCTGCTCTCAGCAGTGTTTTTCCTACAGGGTCAGCTCATCCTTCTGGCTTGTTTCTCTTTGCAGGAGTCGAAGTTGGGAAGGACCAGGAGTTCGCCGTGGACACCAGGGGAGCAGGCGGCCAGGGGAAGCTGGACGTGACGATCCTAAGCCCCTCGAGGAAGGTCGTGCCATGTCTGGTGGCCCCCATGGCAGGCCGGGAGGGCAGCACGGCCAAGTTCATCCCGCGGGAGGAAGGGTTGTATGCCGTCGACTTGACCTATGACGGACATCCTGTGCCCGGAAGCCCGTACATGGTGGAGGCCTCGCTGCCGCCTGATCCCACCAAGGTCAGCTTTTCGTGTTTGTTCCAGAACGTGTCGTCTCTTGGCAGATGTAACAGTCCTTCTTTGGTTCCGCCTGGTGAAAACCTTCAGAAAATTGTTTTGTGGTCAAAGTCAGTTCTAGGTTTTTCCTGGTAGCCCAGTGGTTAAGACTTATTGCTTCCAATGTAGGGGGTGCAGGTTCAATCCCTGGTCAGGGAACTAAGATGCTGCATGGCCAAAAAAAAAAAAAAAGAAAGACAATGCCCATGATATTAAACTGCACTAAAACCATTACAAAAAAAGAAAACAAGCGCCTAAGTCAGTTCTCAGTGACTGATAGTAGCTCTCTCTCCTGTAATCCAGCGTGAAGGGTCCCATGCGAAGCTGGGTCCTAGTCCTGCTCCTTCTCTCTCTCTGGCTGTGAACCTTTGGTGAGGGACTCCTGTCCTTCATTTATCAGCATCATAACAGTACTCCCTGAGAAGTGGGCCTTCAGGGTGAGGTCAGATGGTGGGTGTGGAAACCTCAGTCTAGCATCTGGCACATGCAGTGAGCTCATCCTACACAAGCTATTATAATGAAACTTGCCTAATACAAAGAAAAATAGATTCTTCTCATTATCATTTCTTCCTTATAGCCCTGAATCAAGGATTCCAAAGTATTTCCAGTGTTCTGAATGGCATGAATCCTATAAAAGTGTCTCATTTGTTGAATTTCACATGAAAGCCCCATCTGCTCCCTCTTTTAAAAGCAGGTTTTTTTTTTAATGTTCTTCTTGTTTTTTTTAAAATCTGACTTTATTCTTTAGAGCAATTTTAGATTCATCGTAATATTGAGAGGATGGCACAGAGATTCCCCTCGCCCCACGTATATGACCTCCCCATGCTCACCATCCTCCCCAGGGTGCTACAGCTGTTATAGTGGGTGAATCTATGTGAACATCATTGTCACCTAAAGTCTGTAGTTTATGTTAGGGTTCACTCTTGGGTGTTATATAGTCTAAGGGTTTGGACAAACGTATAATGACATGTACTCACAGTTACAGTTTAGTTTTTTATTATGTTGGATTTATTGAGGGAGGTGTAGCAGCCAAAGCAACAGTGAAATCCATGGAAGCCAGTCAGCTAGTGCCCAGCCGGGGAAACGAGTGCGTTTGTTGGACTGGATGTTCGGTGTCCAGCTCCAGCACCGGAGGCAAGGCTGGCAGGACAGAAGGGACCACGCCTCTGCCGTGCCCTTCCGCACTGAGTGAGTTCACAGTCGGGTCTCTCTTTGGCAGCCGTTTCAGCATCCACTGAACAGAACATGGCAGTAACTTGGCACTGTGGGTGAGCGAGTGTGACACGTCAGACCCCAGGGAGAAGGACCACTTCATCCAAGGGCACCTGAGTGCTGAGTGCAGACTTGGCTGTTGAAAGCACGGCTTACTGAGTGGCTGCTACCAGCATAAGGCCGAGTCTGACTTTTATTCTGTGTTCAAATAGGTGAAGGCCCATGGTCCTGGCCTCAGAGGTGGTCTTGTGGGCAAGCCTGCCGAGTTCACCATCGACACCAAAGGAGCTGGAACTGGAGGTCTGGGCCTAACCGTGGAAGGACCGTGCGAGGCCAAAATCGAGTGCTCGGACAACGGCGATGGGACCTGCTCCGTCTCCTACCTCCCGACAAAGCCCGGGGAGTACTTCGTCAACATCCTCTTCGAAGAAGTCCACATACCTGGCTCTCCCTTCAAAGCCGACATTGAAATGCCCTTCGACCCCTCCAAAGTCGTGGCATCCGGCCCAGGCCTCGAGCACGGGAAGGTGGGCGAGGCCGGGCTGCTCAGCGTGGACTGTTCGGAAGCGGGGCCAGGGGCCCTGGGCCTGGAAGCTGTCTCAGACTCAGGGGCGAAAGCCGAAGTCTGTATCGAGAACAACAAAGATGGCACCTACGCGGTGACCTATGTGCCCCTGACGGCTGGCATGTACACGCTGACCATGAAGTACGGCGGGGAGCTGGTGCCGCACTTCCCCGCCAGGGTCAAGGTGGAGCCCGCTGTGGACACCAGCAGGGTCAAAGTCTTTGGGCCTGGAATAGAAGGAAAAGGTAGGTTTCATGAAAAAAAGGAGGAGGCCACCAAAATAATAGGGAATGCCCCTGCAGCTCAGCATATCGGGGCCGCAAACTCAAATGTCTGCAGAGATCAGGCCAGGTAGAAGAAAACTCACCTGTGTTCTCTGCATCAGTGAGTGATAGAGGAGACCAGAGCGAAGGGGTGAGTGCGTGGTGTTTCTGATGCCCAATCCCCATTTCTTCACAATCCTGGCACTGTCCGCAGATTTCCCCCGCCTTTTTTCTTTCTGGCAAAGCTGGAGATCTTGATTTTTTTTCTTTTAAATGTGGATACAGAACATATTGCATTTTTTGGCACTTACCTGAAAAAGGTTTAAAATGTGCTGCTGGCTGATACCATTCTTGCTGTCTTCACCCTTTGACCTGTCCTGAATCTCATGTTTCTCTCAAGAAGTGGGCGGGTGGTTATGTTGTTACTTGGGGAGCCTACCCTGGAAGAATCATCTTTTGCCAGGGAGATGGAAGGTGGGGAGGCATTAATATTCTTGATTCTGAGACAAAGAAACTGGTTGTCTTGGCAGTCACTGAAATTAGAATAAAGTGCTGAGAACCATGCCTCTTGGGTTTGCTGCTGAATATGAGGTGTTAGCTACATTCTTTTTTTTTTTTCCTTCTTGGCCACACCACACATGTAGGATCTTAGTTCCCTGACCAGGGATCCAGCCCGAGCCTTCTACCGTGGGAACTCAAAATCTTTTTTTTTTTTTTAATTGGAGGATAATTGCTTTACAATAAGAAGCTCAGACTCTTAATCACTGGACTGCTGACACAGCCTCTGTCCAAGATATTCATTCTTTTTTAAAAATATTTTTAAAAATTTATTTTTATGGCTGTGCTGGGTCTTAGTGGCAGCATACAGAATGTAAGATCTTTAGTTGTGCCACAAGGGATCTAGTTCCCTGACAAGAGATCAAACCCGGGCCCCTGCATTGGGAGCTCGGGGTCTTAGCCACTGGACCACCAGGGAAGTCCCAGTCGGCGGCATTCTTACCTGTGTGATTGTTCAACAGATGTGTTTCGTGAAGCCACCACCGATTTCACGGTGGACTCGCGGCCCCTGACGCAGGTTGGAGGCAACCACATCAAGGCCCACATTGCCAACCCCTCCGGGGCCTCCACAGAGTGTTTCGTCACAGACAATGCTGATGGGACCTACCAGGTGGAATACACGCCCTTCGAGAAGGGTGAGTTGTCTTCTTGGAACATGATTCTTGCTTAGAGCTGTGCTAGATCACCTCTCCCGGTGACTGGAGCTAAGTCCTGCCCACTCCACTTTGCCTGCCTCAGCAGAAGTACGGGCAGTGACTGGAGAAAGTGGAAACCTGCCTCCCCAACAGAGCCCTCTGCCCGCTTGGTGCCCGGCGTTTGGCTCTGTTGTGTAGCAACAGTTGGGCTGACTTTAACCTCAGACTCCTCTGAGCAGGTTATGGGGTGATGTCATGGCATGTTGCTCATTTGTGCAATTTCTTAACATGATTCTTTCTTTTAAAATTTTATTTATTTTTTTGCTGTGCTGGGTCTTCGTTGCTTTTCTTGCGTGGGCTTTCTCTAATTGTGGTGAGCAGGGGCTGCTGTTCTCACTGCGGTGGCTTCACTGTTGAGGAGCATGGGCTCGAGGCCTGTGGGCTTCAGTAGTTGGAGCAGGCGGGCTCAGTAGTTATGGCCTGCGAACTCTAGACCGTGGGCTCAGTAGTGGCACACGGGCTTAATTGCTTCTTGGCATGTGGAATCTTCCCAGACTAGAGATCAAACCCTAGCCCCCTGCATCAGCAGGCAGATTCATATCCACTGCACCTCTAGGGAAGTCCAGTTTTTTTCTTAATATTAGGAATTATTAAAAATTTTGATAAAGCATAAAAAATAAAAGCACCATATGTCTTCATTCCCTGTATATATAATCCCTGGACATTATGATATAGATATTTTCAGTCTCTTTCCGTGAATGCTTGTCTATTTCATGGCTTTTCTTTGTCTTTTGATTAGTGACTTGGGTATTTTGTCATATCAAGATGGTGTGTTTAAGATGACTGCCTTGAAAACAAACATAGGGATATTTGCTTGGACAGGCCTTGTGTGTGTGTTAGGAAATGGGATTGGTATGTGATGGCCAAGTGAACAAAAGCATAAACAGTTTGTATTTTTTAAACTCAAATCATTACCAGCATTGCTATTTGTTTAACCTATCCTTTCCAAATCGCTTGAGGTAGCACATAGACTTGAATGCTAGAGTGCTATTTCCTGCCAACAAGTGCTTCTTGTGCGAGTAAATTTCTCTGTGTTGTGTTGAACAGGCCTCCATGTAGTGGAAGTAACCTACGACGATGTGCCCGTCCCAAATAGTCCCTTTAAAGTGGCTGTGACTGAAGGCTGCCAGCCTTCTCGGGTTCAAGCTCAAGGACCTGGGTTGAAGGAGGCTTTCACCAATAAGCCCAACGTCTTCACGGTGGTTACCAGGTAAGCAAAGGCCTGGGATTCGTGTGTGGACTCTGTAAAAGGAGAGTAGCCCTAGGTATTTTAAGTGCTCTCAAAACGTTTTATGGATGTATCATGGTTTCCCAATTTTTTTTTTTCTTTTGAACTTTTTCTTTTGTGTTGGGGTATAGCTGATTAACAACGTTGTGTTAGTTTTAGGTGAACAGCGAAGGGACTGAGCCATACGTATATATGAACCCATTCTCTGCCAAACCTCCTCCTATCCAGGCTTCCATATTACACTGAACAGAGTTCCACGTGCTATACAATAGGCCCTTGTTGGTTTTCCATGTTAAATATAGCAGTGTGTACGTGATCTTCCCAAACTACCCCTTCCCCCAAGCAGCCATAAGTTCGTTTTATAAGTGTGAGTCTCTTTCTGTTTTGTAAGTAAGTTCTTACTTACTTATGGTTTCTCAACTTTTGAGAGGCTTTTTATTTCATGATTTGTGAGACATCTTCCTCTGTAGAGACTTATATTACAGAGGAAGAGCAGGTATGGTTTTAAAAGTACCAGAAAGCTCTTGATAATAGTCATAAAACTGCTGAGCAAAGAGGCCTAGATGGAAACTCATTAACTTGACAATTCAGAAATGTAGAGCCGATATCATAGTTAAATGAAATATTAGAAGTATTCCTATTAAAACTGGTCAGAAGTCACATACCTGAATTGTCCTTTTATTCCCAGCCAGTGCAATTAGACAAGCTAAACAAATGAAGGGTAAGTGTTGGAAAGGAGGGGTGAAAGCTGTTTTTATTTGTATTACACTGTTGAGAAATTCATATTACACTGTGAGAGGTATCACAGTAGTTGAGTCCAGTTGGCTAAGTGGAATAGTTTCTAGAGGGATTTACATGAATTTTGTCAGTAAGCAGACTGGCATGAACCACTAGTACAACTTGGCCTTATTTCTCACACTTCACAGAGGGGCAGGAATTGGGGGTCTCGGCATAACTGTGGAGGGACCGTCCGAGTCAAAGATAAACTGCAGAGACAACAAAGATGGCAGCTGCAGTGCCGAGTATGTTCCCTTTGCTCCGGGAGATTATGACGTGAATATCACATACGGAGGTGCCCACATTCCTGGTAAGCTGTCCTTCTGGGGGGAACCCAAAGGAGAACTGATTTTTGCATGAAAGCAGGTTTGATTTACCTTATCTCTCTGAACAGGAAAAAACGTCTCATGTTTGCAGTAGCTATAAAGGGAGAATTTTCCTTTGGGCTGCATTTCCAAGAATATTTCAATTCCCAAGAGGACCCATAATAGGGCAAAATACATTGGCTTAGAGTTTTTACTGAAAATTTAGTTTTGACTGAACAACATGGTTGTTCACATGTTGAAGGACAAAGTTGAAAATTTCCAGTTTATTTTGTGGTTAGTTCTTATACACATCTTGTTTTCTTTCTTCCGTTGACAGTCCTGGTAGCTGATAAAGACACACAAACTCAAATTTTTATACATCAATTTCTATTTAATGATGTAATACGGATACTTACTATGAAAAATAAGAATGATTTAATAATAATTTCCTGTCCATTACATGATATTTCTGTATTTCATATTGTAACAACCAAAAATGTCTCCAGATGTTCTCATAAATCCGCTAGGGGACAACATCACCTGTAGTTGAGAACCACTGCTATAAATGATTCAGACATTTTAAAAAATGACTTATATAGTGAAGAGCTCTCTAACTTTCATGCTCCAGCCAAGGAATCTTCATAGATTCTAGTTCTGTTTATTTAATGAAGTGGTTGCCACCCAGCACCCATCCAGAAGGGTAGGTGAGTGTGTATGGTGTGGACACAAGACTTTGGGCTCCAGGGTTGCTCTTAGTCAGCTTATCGCAGGTGGCTCTAGAGGTGAAGAACCCACCTGTCAATGCAGGAGATATTAGAGGTGCAGGTTCAATCCCTGGGCCGGGAAGATCCTGTGGAAGAGGGCATGGCAACCCACTCCAGTATTCTTGCCTGGAGAATCCCACGGACAGAGGACCTGGTGGGCTACCATCCATAGTGTCACAAAGAGTTGGACACTACTGAGCGACTTAGCACACCTTGTCTCCGGTGTTGTGAGAGCAGGAGAAACCTTGGGTGGGTCATTTGTTCTGAAGGCCATAAGCCAGGACAGGACTGCAAGGAAGGGGATGCCGGGAGCCAACACACGAGACCCTACCCCTAAAAAGGCCACGGGGAGAAAAAATGATGGGCAAGGCGAATCAGGTTTTCAGGGGTTTTCGAAAAAGTCAGCTCACGAGACCCTACCCCTAATAAGGCTGTAAGGGAGAAAACCTGACGGGCAAGGCGAATCAGGTTTTCAGGGGTTTTCGAAAAGGCCAGCTCACGAGATCCCACCCATGACAAGGTCACGAGAGGAGAAAGCCTGACAGGCAAGGCAGATCAGGTTTTCAGGGATTTCGAAAAGCTGCCCCCGGTTCTCACCTTAAAGATGATATCTGTCTTTCTGATGCCTGCCTCAATGGACTCTGACACAGGCAGGAAGGCCTTCCCCAATCTCTTCCCAAATAAGAATCAATTTAGGACTTTAATCAATAAGTTTCCCAGGTGGTGTATTTAATCAATAAGTTTCCCAGGTGGTGGTATTTTATGAGATTATTCAGGGTGAAAGGAGTGTTTTAATTTAAACTCCTTTGCTGGTAGTTTGTTAGCCAAATGCATTTATGTGCTTGGTACTAATATGCATTATTGCTTATAATATCCTAATCATAAAATAGCATAAAGAACCTGATTATATAAAAGCCCTAATAGATATAGAGCCCTTTTAAGGGATAAAGGAGTCCTATTAGAAAACATAAGAAAAATTATTCTATAGGTGGTTATTGGGTTGTGATTTGCTTGCTGTGTTTTGCTTGCTGTGTTATGATTGCTGTATTTTTGCCTTTAATGTGCTAAGGTTGTGTTATAAAAACCATTGTTAATATAGTTAAAGATCTAGAGAAATAAGAACTTAGCCCTAGTGTGGTAACAATGAGATGGTTGTTAATTGTCAGTCAGGAGTGCTAGGCAAAAGCTGCCTCACCAAAGTCACAGAGTCAGTATGGCGTAAACTTCTTAGATAAAACGCAACTGACAACTTTTGCAGAAAGATTAATTTTTGTATTAACAAGAATATAATTCTACTCTGTACTATTTCCCTATGACCCTGTTACCTTTCAGTTAAGGTCACCATAAAAACGGAAAATAGGTTTACAATCACCTGACCTGCATGAAATGTTAGTAGCCTCAAGGCCAGAAGATCATGTGCTAAAAATTACTATAGAATTAGAAAGCAAAAAAAATCCTGCTCTTCCTAAAAATCAAAATGATGTAATGCTAACCCTGTGTAATCATGAGTAAGCATCTTGTACCTTGAAAACGTTCTGTGAAAGGGTATAAAACGGGTTGTCAAAAAGTAAAACACAGACTTGGCCCTATCAAGGCTAGTCTCACGTGTCTTCTCTCTCACTCGCCGACGCGGTTCATCCTGAGGGTACCCCCTGGATCCTGCCAAGGCTGGACCCCGGCAAGGGGACAGGCTGAGCGCCCTACATTTGGATTTCTGGAATGACTTCCAGGATGGTGGAATGTCCACTGACTGCTTGCCGGTTATCATATGCAAACATGCAGACACACCCATAATCACTCCTTTTGCATACTGATTGGGAGGGAAGTATTGACATTCTACTCAGATGTTTGTTGAAGCCTTCAATTCAGCTCAGTCGCTCAGTTGTGTCTGCCTGTTTGCAAAACCCTATGGACTGAAGCATGCCAAGCTTCCTTGTCCATCACCAACCCCAGAGCTTGCTCAAACTCATGCCCATTGAGTCGGTGATGCCATTGTTGAAGCCTTAATTCATATAAAATGACATTTCTCCTCAAACTTGTCCTTACAGCTCTTTCAATATAGATTTTTTAATTTCTATAATCACTTGCCAAGGAGAATTCAGCCACAGACAAGACAAAGCTCCTGCGGTTTGTGAGCTTTTTGTCTAGTGTTTACAAAGAGAGCCGGGCTTGAGATTATACAGAGCAAGGGAACCTTTTGGAGCTTTGCAAGTGTGCAGTTCTTGGGATGGGAGAGTATGGGTGGATGGCTGTCACCAGGGGCATGACCTGGTGACTCCCACTGGGGAGACGGCAGTGGGGATGAGCATCTCCTGGTTTTGATGGCAACAAAACTATTTTGACTTTCTTGAGAAGGCCTGCTGGATGCCATCAGCTTCAGAATTCCCCTTGCAGAATCGGGTGAGAGGTTGGGCCCCTATGGCTGACTCATGAGCTAGAATTAAATGGCCAAGTTGGAGCATAACACCAGCAAGAGTCCTGATTGGAATTTTCTCATCGGACATAGATGGTGCCTCTTTTTTTTTTAGTTTAAAATTTTCAGGCTCTGTTGCCTCCCAGAGCCAAATGCCAACTTCTAGACCCCAGAATTTTCCCAGACAGAATCATTCAATAAAGCATTGGTTGGTTGTCTTAGTGTCAGGCTTCACAGTGAAAAGAATGCAGAGTTTCTGCCATGAAACATTCAACACCCTGGTTCTAATTTACTTTCATAGGAATTCTGGTTGGTTAAATATTAGTATGGTTTTGGCTGGCGTGACACAAACAAGGTATCTGTCTTACCCACAATGGCATATTGGTTTCCTCTGATGGGCCAGCTGGGGTCTGTTGGTGGTGACGGTTTCCACCACTGGATTGACTAGAATGAGTGCATCAGGGAGAAAGGCCGTTGTGATTGATTGGTCATGTCTGCCTGGATCACAGAGCAGGAGAGTGGCGTAGATTGCTTGGTATCTACCACTCTAGGTCTGAAGTTACCTTGTTGGTTCTTGGCTACTCTCCTGCTATTCACACCACTTCCACGGGAGGCGAACTTGGTGGCTGGCTTTAAAGTCTGTTCATTGCCATCGCATTGAATTCCTCAGCTGTATTTAAAATAAAGCTCCTTTTTGTTTCCAGCATGGAGCATGGTGCTTGTCTTTGCCAGGGTCAGCCATTTACTTCAGTTAGCCGAAAAACCAGATGCCACTGAAGCCTGGCTATTATTAAAAAAAACAAAACCAGAGCCTTGGTTCTTTGTGTGGTCTTTGTTATTTACCACCCTTGATTCTACAAAGTACAAACGTTGTGTGGTGCAAAGCAGAGAAGTTCACATCATTAACTTCGCCAGGCGTCTCGGGGAGCATGAGGGCTCCTATGAGGGGAATGTCGCTCCTTGGTGATGGACTTGACAGCCTGAGGTGTGGTGCTGGGGACAGCGCGGGTCCTGTCTCTGGCTGACCTCTGGGGAGGTCTTTCTTGGTCCTCCTTGGTAGAGGAGTCCCTAAAGGCTTCTAGCCTAGCTCTTGTTTCTGTATTTAGTGTTTTACTCAAATCTCAACCTCCCTGCCTTTTGGAAGTTTCAGTAGTCTTTTTTTTTTTTAATAAAAAAATTATTTTTCTTTATTTATTTGGCTGCGCCAGGCCTTAGTTGTGGCATGGGTCCGGATTCATTACCTGCAGAGTCTACTGATACCTTCTACACATCCCCAGTCTGTGTTACAGATGATGGTCTAGTGACTTGTTTACCTAAATCTTAGAGCGCTGTTCAGTACTCTGGACCTAGCACCTGGCACCATGTCTGCACATAGTAGGTGCACATGGATGCACACAGCAAGACGGGAGCTGATACAGTGAGAGCCTAAGTGTGGGGCAGCAGGGTGGTTCTGGGTGCACACAAGCTCTCCAGTCACTAAGGGGGGTGTACTTAGAATCCCACGACCTCTTTTCTAGGCAGCCCCTTCAGGGTTCCTGTGAAGGATGTTGTGGACCCCAGCAAGGTCAAGATCGTTGGCCCTGGGCTGGGCTCCGGTGTCCGAGCTCGCGTCTTGCAGTCCTTCACGGTGGACAGCAGCAAGGCTGGCCTGGCCCCTCTGGAAGTGAGGGTCATGGGTCCACGAGGTAGGTACACACCCTTCCTTCCTGTCAATGCTCTCCTGCCCAGGACAGAGGCAGCCTGATCCCGAGCAGGCTGCTTATGAGTTTAGTCATGAACTTAAATTTCTTAAATTACTCTGTCACTCTGTGTGCTAGCTAAACAGTGGGAGTTCATGCTTAAAAAGTAGGCAGGCCTGTTATTTTTCTAGCAGCCTATCTTTCCCCTCATTTAATAATGTAACCCTAAATGTCTTTTTAAAATTTTATGTATATATTTTTTCTGAAGTAGTGACATGAAGCAAGCAGTATTTGGGCTCTCCCATGTGAAATTATCGGAACTGCATAAGTATGTTTTGGTATTTGTGGGTGAGCGGGTGGGTCTGGATTTGGGCAAGTGATGGAGGTGGAGGCATTAACTCTCTTCAGGTTGCCTTGGTGCTCATGTGGGATCACAGTCCAGCCTTTTGGAAAGGACCAATACTTAGCCCCTGTGGTACACCACCTTGTCGTTGTCCCAGCTCCCAAGAGAGGAGTCTCTTGGGGAATGGGCTTCCTTGGCAGTTTGACCTGCCCTTTTGCTGCCTGGAAAGCAATTTGGGTTGGGTGTGGCCAGCAGGCCCTTTTGGGACAAGTGCGGATGTGTGTTGAAATTTACCTTTTTCGGTAGGTAATCACATTTCCTCTCCCAGCATATAAAAATGTGCCGTTCTCTGCCTCATCTCTTGAGTTATCTGGATTTTCCCTCAATGATGTGTTCTTGGCTTCACAGAAGTGGTGAATAAGGGCTTCCTACTTTGAAGAGGAACTTTCTCCTTAATGGGGTTCAGCAGGAGGTTATGCCCTTTGAAGCTCAGTGCAGAAGTGGTTTTGGGGAAATGAAGTCATAGGACTGGAATTTGATTCCACCGACTTACTGAGCTTCAAGACCTCTGCACATGCGTGTGTGTGTGTATGTGTGTGGGTGTGGGTGTGTGTGAGAGAGAGAGAGAGTGAGGAAGAGGAAGGAAGAAAGAGGGAAAAGCTTTATTTAGACATCTACCTTTATTACAGAGGACACCGAAATAACAGCCTTTTAATTTTAGCTAATCAGAGGATTTCCTGGTCAAGGCGCAGCCCCTTGAAAGCCATTTCAGGGTTCTTTAAACGTGACTGGAAGGGTGACGTTATGGAGACAGGTTTGCATTTTCCCACTGGCTGCTGCTCTGATGTATGGAACCTGAATGCCTCTTGCTGGCCTTGCCTCTGAAATTGCCCTGGGCCTGCCTCATCTACTTCATGAGTATGGCATGCTTTGATTAGGCCCCCCTTCAGTTGACCCTTTCTTGAGACTCTTGACTAGAACTGGGATCTAGAATCTACCAACCTAATGCATGCCTTGACTATGATTTAATGTACTCTTCACTTGCCCTGCATGCTACACCCAGCATGCTGGCGCCATAGTGGTTTTTGCTCAAAGGTGGATACAAGTCTTGACTGGCTGGCCCGTTGGTTACCTTTTGCGGTTCGGAGTTCTGGATTCTTTGGCCTTCTTTCGGCTGTAGACTGAAATTGCCACATCCCAAGCATGCCTGACCAGCTTGAAAGGATAGCATGTCTGCAGCATGTGCCCTCCATCAACAAGTGCAGGCAGTCTCCTTAATTATACTCTCGGTCCAACTGAGTGTACTTGAGCCAACAAAAAGCTAAAGGTGTCTCTTAGGGTCATGATTGCCTTTATGCAACCATGAATTGACCATCCTGTCTCCTGTGATTTCTTAGACCTCTGATTACGGCCTGCTTGCCTGTGTGTTACTCAGTGGAAACTCATAGCTCTCAGAGATGAATGTAATATTTTCTTAACTCAGCCCAGGGTGGAGTGAAGGGCAGACCAGGCAGTTCCAACAGCCCTGTCATCTGTTTTTAGGCCTGGTGGAGCCAGTGAACGTGGTGGACAATGGTGATGGCACACATACAGTGACCTACACCCCATCCCAGGAGGGACCTTACGTGGTCTCTGTTAAATACGCTGATGAAGAGATCCCTCGTAGGTAAGCTCCTGACCCTTAGAGAAGGGGTTCAAGTCAATCTCAAAACCTCCTCTCTAGTGATTAACTCTGCTCTGGTGCCCTATCCATCTATTCATCTATCCATGTATCTATCCATCTAGCTATCCTTCTATCCATTCATCTATCCATGTATCCATCCATCTATCCATGTATCCATCCATCATCCACCCATCCATGTACCCATCTGTGTATCTATCCATATATCCATCTACCCATCCATTTGTTTATCCATGTATCCATCCATCCATCCATCCATTCATGTATCCATCCATCCATCCATCCATCCATCCATCCATCCATCCATCCAGTCAGCATCGCTAACCTGCATGCCCCACACAAGTGTTAAAATACACTAGCCATGGTGTTTGTGTCTCCTCCTCTCTTGGTGCCCCCTTACATTTATTCCTTTCAGCCACCTTTAATGTAAAGATGAGCTGAAATTAAAAAGTGCATTAGTTCATCAAAGTCTTCTTTCTGGTGCGAATTGTTTTCTAATCAGGGCAAAGATTTTTTTACTTTTTTACTAATTGAGAATTTGGTTGACAATAGCATTGTCAAGAGATGTTGTTCATATTAATACAAAGAATGTTATATAAGCTCTTCATCTTGCAGAACAGTCTACAAAGAATTTTTTTTAGCATACTTAAAATTTGAATTTTCACCTATACTCCTAATATACATATTTTACATAAAGCTCTAGCTCCATGAAAATGTATAAATCATAAGTTACATTTGTAGTATTATTAATACTTGATTAATAGATTTTGAATCATCTAAAACACACTAAAATATAGAATATAAGAGGACCGGATAATATTGAAAGCATCAGTTTTAATATTTTTTCTTTCCATTTTGGTGACCATTGTGTTAGCAAAACAAAAGTGGGTTACATGTGTTTAACCCCATGTTTGCCAAACTATTATGGATATTAGTTGGTATCCCATGGAACTCAGTAAGGGAAAGCTGATTTGCTATATGATGGTTGCATGGTTGTAAATTTCTCTGGATTTAAGGCTCTGGAGTCCTAAATGCTTTAGAAATCCCCCACTCAATCCCAGTCTCTGTGTGAGAGAGGTCAGATGTAGCTGGACTGAAGTGTATCCATACTGACTTGGGATGTGCATATGTCTGTCAAGTCCCTTTAAGGTCAAGGTCCTTCCCACATACGATGCCAGCAAAGTGACTGCCAGTGGCCCTGGCCTCAGTACCTATGGTGTGCCTGCCAGCCTGCCTGTGGAGTTTGCGATCGATGCCAGAGATGCTGGGGAAGGCCTGCTTGCTGTTCAGATAACGGTAATTTTGAGTGATTTTTCTGGAGCCAAACTGCATTAGTAAGATCTAATTTCCCAGTCAGGGATAAGAATCAGATTTTAACAACCAGTTCCTGATCTCATGAAAATGTTTGTCAGATTTCCCCACTAGAGAGTCAGTAATTGTGCAGGGGAACAAACATGCTCGCCTGAGAAATCTAAGGGTTTAACTCTAGGTACCACTCTTTGGTGAATCTCCCTATTATAACTGCTCCTAAATTTTAAATTTCTGAATGTTTAAAATTACTCGTTGGATTAATTAGGACTAAGTTCTGCTGTATATCACAGTAAACCCCGTGGCTAAACGCATTCATAGTTCTCTCTTGTTAGAGAGGTTTGCAGGCCAGGTAAAGGCCCTGGGTGCTGTGTGACTTAGGAAGGAAGTAGGCACCACCTCTCTGCTCCTCTGTTCTAGCGTGTGACTTCTGTCCCTGAGTTCTCCTTGTGAACCTTGAGGCTGCTGGTATGCTGGCCAGCCAACCCACTTGGCAAGCAAGAAGGAGGAGGAGAGGCAGAAGGGACCTTCCAACGCAATCAGCTCTCTTAAGCAGCCCAATTAGAAGTCCCTCCTAAGACTTCCACCCTCTTCTCGTGTGCTGGACGTTTGTCACGAGTCATGGCTATACTTAGTGGCCAAGGATACTAGGAAGTGGCGTCTCATGTTCTGGGAACAGCACACCTAGCTAAGAATTAGAATCCTGTTAGTAAAGAGAGAAGGGGGAGTGAAGGTGCTGGTGTGGATGCAGGAGCCTCTGCCCCCTTGCCTCCTTACATTTCAGTGGATTTGGAGATAGAACTCTTTGTTCCTTTGACAGAAAAATCACTAAAATTAGCCATGTCCATCACAGATCTGTGACCCTCTGCTTTCCACCACTCGCAAAATGTGTTAAACCAGAAATTCTTTCCCCACATTAATTAATGAGCAAAATGTGTCAAGGTTTTTCTTGAATGATTAGATGACAACATCCTAAATAGCATTTCTCTATGATCCACAGGACCAAGAGGGGAAACCCAAAAGAGCCATTGTCCACGATAATAAAGATGGCACGTACGCTGTCACTTACATCCCAGACAAGACTGGACGGTATATGATTGGGGTCACCTACGGCGGGGATGACATCCCATTGTCTCCCTACCGCATCCGGGCCACACAGACGGGTGATGCCAGCAAGTGCCTGGCCACAGGTGAGTGCGCTCAAGGACTTTGGCATCACAAAGCCAGCGCATGCCATCTCATCACTGTGTGATCCGGGCAAGATGCTCAGCTTCTCTCAGCCTCAGTCAGGCTTAGACGGAAGGCCTTTCTGGAAAACATTTAAGTTCACGAAGTTCTTCCAAGGATCAGAGACTTTCACAGGGCTATTACAGAGAGATCAGATGAGGTCAGACGTGAGAAGTGATTAGCACAGTGCCTGACACGTGGAAACTATTATAATTACTTTCAAAGTGGGTGATTTGTTGAGATTTCAACTGTGATGGTAGCTCCCATTAAAAAACATCAAATGTATGCCTTTCATAAGTAGATTGTTTAGTTTTAGAGATTTACTCAAGAGCATTTCAGGCCAGCACTAGAGAAACCCATTAGAGGACCTAGCTTTTTCCTCAGTACTCAGGACTATGTTTGAGTGTCTCAGGAATTTTCTAGGAATATTTAAGCATCATAGTTCCTTCCATTTCTAAGACACAACCATTTCAGTATTATGGGCAACTCTGATGCTGCTTCAAGCAGATTTCAAACCATAAATCTCCATCTCTGAAAGGAAACAGATTTGCTTCTCTTTAAATAAAACTTTACAGAGGTCTACCCTAGATGTTTCCTATTTCTCTCATCTTATTCTGAAAGGAGAAATGCTTCTTGCTTTTAGGTTGTAAAAGCCAAACTTTGGCAAGGTTATAAATTNCTGCTTCAAGCAGATTTCAAACCATAAATCTCCATCTCTGAAAGGAAACAGATTTGCTTCTCTTTAAATAAAACTTTACAGAGGTCTACCCTAGATGTTTCCTATTTCTCTCATCTTATTCTGAATGGAGAAATGCTTCTTGCTTTTAGGTTGTAAAAGCCAAACTTTGGCAAGGTTATAAATTGTTCATATTGGCTCAGCACCCACCACAAAACTGAGAAATTCTGTAACATTGATCAGTCTGCCCCCTCTTAGGTCTATGCTGTTCCAGGGACAGCTGGATTGTGTTTTGGTAACCTGTTGTTGTTGTTCAGTTGCTAAATTGTGTCCGACTCTTTTTGACCCCATGGACTGCAGATGCCAGGCTTCTCTGTCCTTCACTATCTCCTGGAGTTTATGCAAACTCATGTCCATTGAGTCAGTGATGCCATCCAACCATCTCATCCTCTGTTGTCCCCTTCTCCTCCTGCCCTCAATCTTTGCCAGCATCAGAGTCTTTTCCTTGCCATCCAACCATCTCATCCTCTGTCGTCCCCTTCTCCTCCTGCCTTCAATCTTTCCCAGCATCAGGGTCTTTTCCATTGCATTGGCCCTTCGCATCAGGTGGCCAAAGTATTGGAGCTTCAGCTTTAGCATCAGTCCTTCCAATGAATATTCAGGATTGACTTCCTTTAGGATTGCCTTGTTTGATCTTGCTGGTTAAGGGACTCTGAAGAGGTGGGGACTTCCTCTTGGCTTTCCAGGCTCTTCTGCCTCCCCCAGCTGAGGCAGGAGACTGCTCAGCCTGGGGTCTCATTTGGCCCCTCCTCTTAGCCTGCCATTCAGGGCCAGACTGTCACCTTCCCTCCACTGCTCACTGTCTCCATGTGATTATCACTCCCTGCTGCTCCCACACACTTTGGTTTCTTTTTCCAGGGTGCCTTCAGTTCATACTTTTGCACTCCCTGGTCTGTGGATCATCAGTAAAGGGGTGCCATAGATGAGGGGAGGCAGACACTGGTCATCATTTGGAGGCAAAGGTTGTGAGTCTTCCTTAGCTTAGAGTGCCCATCCTTCAGAATTCCCCTTTCTCAGGAATGCCTCTGTCAATGGGGCAACACTGGGATGTATCTTTGAGCTTTCACCTAGATGTGCTGTAGGATGCTTCTCTGAAGAATAATCATTGACTGCTTTTTGTTGTTGCACCACACTGCTCTTGGGGTCTTAGTTCCCCAAACAGGGATGGAACCCATGTCCCGGGCAGTGAAAATGAGGAATCCTAAGCACTGGACTGCTAGGGAATCCCTGGTTATTATCATTATTATTATTTTTTGTGACTTACTCCTCCCTCGGTGTTTCCACTGCAGACTGAACTGTCATTCTTAGTGTCCAGCCTGCCTCCATCTGCCCAGTTAGATTTTGAGCATCTTGAGAGCTGAGACTTTGGTGTGCTCCCCTTTGTATGTATCTGGCACTTAAATGCCCAGGATGTGTTTGCTGATGAAAGTCAGCCTTCATCCCCATACCCTGGAATGCCAGCAAAGTGGGTTTAACATACAGTTGTCACTCAGAACTCACAGATGCTCCTTATTTAGTTAATAAGTGATGGATAGAATGCTTCCTGGAGAAACATCTTCCCTGGGGCATCTCTAGGCCATCCCTCTGCAAAGCAGCAGCTGAGGGTCTGACGTTCATTCACAGATACAACAAACGTGTGCAGTTTGTTCTTGGGCCTCTAGGGCAGATGTCTGTGGTCAAAGCTCCCACACTTTCCTCCTAAACTTTTCTCCAGGGCCTGGAATCGCCTCTACTGTGAAAACCGGCGAGGAAGTGGGCTTTGTGGTCGATGCCAAGACCGCCGGAAAGGGCAAAGTGACCTGCACAGTTTTGACCCCAGACGGCACTGAGGCTGAGGCCGATGTCATCGAGAATGAGGATGGCACCTATGACATCTTCTACACAGCTGCCAAGCCGGGCACCTACGTCATCTATGTGCGCTTTGGTGGCGTCGATATTCCCAACAGTCCCTTCACTGTCATGGTAAGGAAACTACCTTCTCTAGAGTTTGTAGTTGTTAGCACAGCCAGTAACAGCTGCTGATTGTTAAACCTGGACTGAGACTTCCTGGGCCAGTTTGGTTTTTTTTTGTTTTTTTTTTTTCTGTTAAAAAATTTTTTTTTTCCTTAAGCAATCAGGATCTTGCAATAATCTGTAGAGACCTAAGGATACTTTGTCTCTAAGTGATTTTAGGGAATCATATTGGCGATCAAAGTATCCATCATGCTACTGGGTCTTAGGCCATGTCCTGGCCTAAGCCCAGTTCAGAAAAATTACATTTTGACCCAAAAAATGTCCATAAGTAAAACATTACAGTTTTTCCTTCTGCTGGTTCTTCCTCCTTTCCTCCCCCGGAGGAGAGAGGCTCCCATGCTCTTGATATTACAGACTTGTCTCTAATGTACCAGGACTCAAAGTACCTCCAGTTGTGTTTTGGAAAGATTCAGAACTTTGATGGTAAGAGGGAAGTAGCTTGTCTTTTGAAGCTAGGAACATCTGCGATAAAAGGAAGGCATTATGCAAATCCTCTGGGCCAGAGAATGGCTAGACCCTTTAATTTTCAAGTCTGAGTGACATTTAGATCTTCCTTTGATTACTTAGGTTCTTACACAAGGAAAAGGGGTTAGAAACCTTAGGAGAAGTCCTTCATTTCACCCCTAAAACTAAGCATTGTTGGCCCTGTTACAAATGCCACATAGGAGCAGGGATCAGGCTGAGTCTGCTGAACTCAGACTGCCCACTCTGCACTGTCACCGAGCACTGTCCTCACTGATGTCCTTTGATGTAACGGGAGCAGACCACGAAGTTCACAGACCTCAGTTGGCCTGGCCGCATGCATGGCCTCCAAAGCTCCTTCTAATGATTTGACTTTACACAGCAACAGAGAAGGGCATGAAGACCATTGCAGTAGAAGGTCACGTCTGTCTCCCACCCTATAAACCAGCAGTACCTTTATTCTTCTCCATAGACATTTGCTTATCTATAAACATTGTGCCCGAGACGTGGAGCCCTTTTATGTCTCAAGGATGGAGATACTTGTCAGCGGTTGACACTGTTGACTTGGGAGTGTTTTCCTCCTTCAGGAGAGAAAGAGATGCAGCTAGAGAGTTTGTGTCCTAATTTACAGAGAAGTCCCAGTTGTAGCTTTAAGGATCTGTTTTAGCCCACAGGAGTTTTTTCTGGTTGGTTAGATTGGGCAGAGGTTGCCATCCTATTAGAGTAATGAGCTGGGGAAAAGAGACCACATTTAGAGGGTGGGAATGAGGAAATCCGGAAGGGCACACCAAGGACTGTTCTAGCAGATGAGTCAGAAACCTGAAGTGGGGGCCTCCAAGCTCTTTAGGAAGAATGTCCCTTCAGCCCTGGGATGCACACAAAGCAAGACTACTTTGTGTAAATGCTTTTCACCCCTGCCAACGACTGCCAAAGGCAGAAGAGGGTGACACTCAGGGCACACGATTTAGGTCTTCATTCTTTGAACTTCCTCCAGCCTTTCCTGGATGGGGTGACTTTTTGTTAATTGGCCTCTCGTGGGTAGTTTCCCTGCCTTTCCCTCCAGGCTTGGGGCCAAAGGGACAGGAGCATCCAGTACTTTCTTTGTAGGCAATATGTGCCGGAGCCCCAGCAGGCTGGTTCTTTTCAATACATCACACAGAGGTGCACAGCAAGGCATGGGTTTTGCAGCTTCTCTGCCTGTTGCCGTTGAGGAGTCATTCATCAAAGGCTACGGCACAACCATTGAAAAGATGTTACCCGCGGAGGTGTCCTGGGCTCGCCCCCAGTCTGAGATGGTCCGGGAATCGGGGAATAGGGCTGTTTCAAATGTTGAAGTTTGCCAAGCTGCCTTTGTAAGTGAAGCACCTTTCTGACATGCCAGAATTCACAGGAAAGACCAAACATGGGCACAGAAGTTTTCTTCCATAGGGGAGGATTTCTAGTTCTTTTTTTATTTATGTTTTGACTGTACCATATGGCATGTGGTCTTCGTTCCCTGACCAGAGATGGAACCTGTGCCCCATGCAGTGGAAGCATAGAGTCTTAACCGCTGGACCACCGGGAAGGTCTTGCCAGTCCTTTTACTGTAGTAGAAGAGGGAACTGAGAAGGGGCCGTCCCTTAAGTCTCTGGTTTTGAAAAAATGAATTTATAAAAACTTTTAGAACGTTGACTACTATTGACACATACCAAGTAACACGAGTCCCCGTTCCCGATCTCATGCTACAGGGGTGGCCAGTGTTAGGTTTTTTTTTTAACTTGTACAAGAAGCATATCAGTTTCAGGACTTTCCTGGCAGTCCAGAGGTTAATCCTTCATCCTTCATCCTTCCAATGCAGGGGCCACAGGTTCAACCCCTGGTCAGGAAACTAAGATCCCACATGCCATGTGGCATGGCCGAATTAACAACAACAACAAAAATACATCAGGGACTTCCCTGATGATCTAGTAGTTAGGACGCTGTGCTTCCAATGCAGGAGCTATGGGTTTGAACCCTGGCCAAGGTATTAAGATCCCACATACTGCATGGCCAAATAAATAATTAAAAAAAAAAAAAAAGACAAAATATCAAAAACAACACACCAGTTTACACCGTGCACATTGCTTTGCATCTTGCTTCCTTCACTCAATGTGCTGTAAATGCCCTTCTATATTAATTGATCAGACACAATCATCTCTTCAGAGTGGCTACACTGGGGTCCACTGTGCACACTTACATAATTTCCTTAACCAACTCCTTTACAGATGGACATTTGGGTTGTTTTAGCCTGTCCCGACAATGAATAGCACCAGTAAAATCCCTTGCATACATCACATACCTATGGACTCTCCTGCTAGTATTTCTATAATTCTGCTTCCTAGAAGTGGGGTCACGGGTTCAGGGGTCAGGTGGATTTTACATTCAAAGAGAGGAGGCCAGCTGGCTGTCCACAAAAGGAGGGAAGAATATGGGCTCCCGCTGCAGTGAGTGGCTCCCTGCTGGGCAGGATAGATGGGGGTGGAGGGAAGACCTTGGGTGGTAGAATCTACTGAGTAGTGATGTCCCTCCAGTGTGATTCCCAACTAATTTGCATTTGCCACTGACCAGGCCACAGATGGGGAAGTCGCAGCTGTGAAGGAGGCACCGGTAAATGCATGTCCCCCTGGATTCAGGCCCTGGGTACACTTTTGGTTTTTGTTTTTATGTTTTCCCTTTTCCACGTCTGTGTTTACTCACCCTTCATTTTAGAAAAGCTACAGCCTGCTTTTGGGGGATTGCTTAAGCCCTCTGGGTGTCCTGGTCATTGGTTTGTCCCCACTGATCAGCCCATCACCATGGCCCCCGCTTTCTCTCTAATGAGACCCACCCGTGTCATCGTCTGCGCTCCACGAATCGCCCGCCACCATGTCTGTGATCACGCTCGGTGCAGTTGGTCTCCACATTTAAAGAGAAAGACGGACAGCTGTCCTCAGCCCTCCTGCTGACTCTCAAAGCCGCCACTTGCACATCGGGTTTCTGTTGAGGGAGAAAGCCACTGCTGCTCCTTTCTGCCACTTAAAACGCACCTTCTTTTCCAGGCCACCAGCAACTAAACCTTTCCAGGTGGAACCTCTTGGGACTCACAGACATTGCTGTCTCTCACTTTTCCACTTTCCCTGTGGGCACTGCTGGGAATTTCACAAGCAAACAGCCTAGGGATTTTTAGCAATTGGTCAGCATGACTCCTCCAATCCAGCCCTCAGGTGCTGTCCACTCTGACCCCAGAGCCAGTTAGACAAAGCCCACAATGCATGGGCAGCCATATCCTTGAATCCTGGCTGGACGAGCTTGCAAAATTCCCAGTTGCTCTAACCCGCCCCCTGCAGCTTCCCCAGCCCACACTGGGGAAGTGTTGCCCACTTTACCCAGTGACCGCTGCTTCCTGTTTCTAGGTAACAGAAGAGGCCTATGTCCCAGTGAGCAACATGAACGGCCTGGGGTTTAAGCCTTTCGACTTGGTCATTCCATTTGCAGTCAGGAAAGGAGAAATCACCGGTAAGCACTATTGGGAAAGCCCTCTTGTCCTCACTGGCTCTCACTAGCTATCCATACGGTGCTCAGGAGCTGGTTCCACCTGTTCCCCAGACCTGGGGTTCAGAACCCAGCATCCCTGGCTGTAGGGAGTTGGTCCATGAGCCCCGGAGATCGCAAAATGTTCTGTGTATTTATGTGTGTTTCTGAAGAGTGGGTTCATTTATAACTTGCATGCTGAAGAAAGGACTAGAAATTGTCTATAGGGGGAGAGCCACTGTGTGATATCTCTCTTGATTGTCAGCTTCCTCTTCCCCCGCCTTTTCCTGCCTTTTCTTACTCTTCCACTCTTCCAGATGTGACATTTCCCTGAGGTCTGTTGTGTAAGAGTTACTTCTCCTTGCCTTCTTTCAATGCCTGCTTCTTTCTGACTTGATGCTTTACTGATCTGATTGGTCATGTGGTCTTCTCAAGTCCTGTTTAAGCTTCTGATGGCTGTCAGTTCAAAAGACCCTTTGCTTGTGGGTTGCCTGCTGCATTTTGTGGAAACACAAGAGAACAGAATGAAGGCAGGTATGTCTCTGCTTCCTGTTACGGAGCTTGGTGTTTTACGCAGCAGTGAGTGTTCTTGGGTCTGAGAACCTTTGTTGTGAAGGTCGCCTGTGCCTCTGTGCTCGGCTCCTGGCGGGACAGTCTTTGGTGGGGTCACTGTCCTATCTCCATGTGCTCCAACAGGAGAGGTTCACATGCCTTCCGGGAAGACAGCCACGCCCGAGATTGTGGACAACAAGGATGGCACGGTCACGGTCAGATACGCCCCCACGGAGGTTGGCCTCCATGAGATGCACATCAAGTACATGGGTAGCCACATTCCTGGTGAGTCGGGTTCCGCACCCCTGCCGCCCAGCCCTGCAGGCCTCCAGGAGTCAGGGAGTAAAACCCTGGGAGGCTGTCGTCAGTCGTTCAGTCAGATGCCGTGCAGTTCTTGGTGGCAGACTTGGGGATGCAGTGTGGGCCTCCCTGCAGAACCAAGCAGCCTGTGACCCCAGCAGATCCGGCTAATTTCCAGCAGGGACGGTGCAGCCGAATGTCCCGGGTCACAGTGCAGGCCCTTCAGTCTGGGATTGTTTGTCTTTATCACTGTGCCTAGCATGGCCAAGGGGTGAAGCAGGGAGAAAAAATGTGAGACTTGTCGAGGGACTTTCCAGCCTGGCCTGCAGAGCCCGAGGCAGCATCAGGGTTTGGGACAGGAGGAGAGGTTGTGAGAAGAGGATATGTTGTTTTATTGTCACTCTGCCCTTGACAAGGAAAGCCAGCTCAAATTTCACATCCATCCACTAGCACATGTGTGCTGTGCTCAGATGGGTCCGGATTTTTGTGACGTGTTGGACTGTAACCCACCAGACTCCTCTGTCCATGAGGATTTTCCAAGCAAAAATACTGGAGTGGTTTGCCACACCCTCCTCCAGGAGATCTTCCCAGCCTGGGGATGGAACCTCCTGCGTCTCCTGCATTGCAGGCAGATTCTTTACCCTTGAGCCACTGGGGAAGTCCAGCACAGGATTACTTTCTTTTTCTTTAAATTGTTTAAATAGTTGTTTATTTCTTAGTGTAATATTTTAAATATGTACCCTAGCCAAATAGTTTAAAACAGTGTGGAGGAAGGTTTCCTTCCCACCCCTATCCCCTATCTACCCTCTCTTTGAACCTGACCGTTACTGATTTTTTACGTTAGATTTTCCAAATAAGTTTTAAGACTCTTCGAGAGATGCGAATACAGATTTTTAATCCCTCTTTGTTTTGTAAACAGTAGTGTTCACTACTCATTATTCTGACCTTACTCTTTTCACCTAACATTATAGCCTGGAGAGCTTTGCATGTCTGAATAGTAAGAGTGTGTTCATGGTGTCCCACCGTTCAGGTGAACATCACGTGTACACCCGCTCGAGGACCCAGTAGAGTTCTTTCCTGCCTTTTGCAACCACTAGTCCTGCTGCAGTGGATAGCTTTTCACATCCGTCCTCTCATACCTACAGGGTGTGTCTCAGAGATTGGGTCCTCAGGGGAGTATTCGGAGGATGCAGGCACAGCTGTCTGTCTGACAGGTCTCGGCAAAGCTCTTCCTGTTCACACATCCACCCACCATGTCACAGAGCACCTGCTTTTCCACCAATTTGCCAGTGGAATATGCCGTCAAATTTCTAGATCTTCACCAAATGGATAGTTAGAAAACAGTATCGCTTTGTTTGCATTTCTCCTATGAGTGAGCTTGAGCAACTTTCTATATGGCTAAGTATTATATCTGTTTCTTTTTCTTTGAACTAGACATTTGTATCCTTGGCTCAATTTTTCTGTTCAATTATTGACCTTTGTCGTATCAGTTTCTGAGGGCAATTTAAATATTGGGGAGATTAGCCCTTTGTTATAGGAGTTGCAAATATTTCTCCCAGTTTGATGTTTGATTTAGTTTATGTGTAAGGATAATATTTGTTCAAAGGAACAGTGTATTTATCTGCTTCTATTTAAATATTCTGAAGATGCAGATACAGAAAAAGTAAAAAAATGTCTTCCTACCATATTCCTTCTACTTCCACAACTGTCTCTCTATGCCAACAAATAAACATGCAATTTTGTTCTCTTTTGGACTGGGAAAATGATATTACATAAGGGTCTATTATAATGGGTATATATTACTATATGGACTGTAGCCCACCAGGCTCCTCTGTCCATGAGATTCTCCAGGCAAGAATACTGGAGTGGAGTGCCATGCCCTCCTCCAGGGCATCTTCCTGCCCCAGGAATCAAATCCAAATCTCTTATGACTCCTGCATTGGCAGACAGGTTCTTTACCACTAGTGCCGTATTACTATATAGGGTATTATTATATAGATATTATAGTGAGTATTAATATTATATAGGGTATTAATATTATTAATATAGCAATTATCCTTTTTATTTTTGTCTTCTACTTTTACCAAGTATTTAATTAATCATAATTAACCATAAAAGAATAAAAATTTCCCATTTAAAAGTCTTTCCTTCTCCAGCATACCAAAAAAATTATATAAGTTTTAGGAAGAATTGTTAAATTTTAATTTTTTCCCTTTTGCTAGTTCCCTGCCTTGATCCAGTTAATATTAAAATACTCAAAAAAACCCAGTCATCTTTCAACGTGGTGAACAAGTATTTTCATTGCAAATGAAGTATGTCTTATAAATAATTAAACGGTAGTAAAAACACCTTTTTCTCTTTTTAATGTAACACATATGGATAATCTCTTGAGTTAGTACACATAGATCTCCCTCATTATTTTTAATGACCTACAAGTCCAGTGTTTATTTAACCAACCCCCAATCATTGGACTGTGGCGTCTTTTCCTAATTTTCATCTGACCACTCTGAAAATGGAAGTGCTTGTTCAGGGTTGGAGGTTGGAGTAGGTGGGCCAGAGGACCACAGTGAGAAGGATTCCTGGGGCTGAGTGCACAAATTTTGAAAGCCAGAAGCAAATGTCCTTCCGAAAGTCCCTCCCAGTCACACTGCATGTAGTGGGGCTCATTCCCACTCTGTGGAGCTGTTCCCTCCAGCTCAGGACTGTTTGTCTCCTGTGATCACTGAAGGGTCCATAGTGAGTAGCCCCTCCTTGGGTGTCCTAGGATGGTGAGCCCCGAAGTCTCCTCTTGCTTCTGCCCTGCCCAGGACACGCCTACCCTGCTGTTAGTTGAATCATCCCTCCATGAGTCCCAACATTGTGTGTGTTCTTTGCAAACCCAGAGAGCCCGCTCCAGTTCTATGTGAACTACCCCAACAGTGGGAGCGTGTCTGCGTACGGCCCGGGCCTGGTGTACGGAGTGGCCAACAAAACCGCCACCTTCACCATCGTCACCGAGGACGCAGGAGAAGGTACTGTAGTTCTCGGCTGTCTGCTTTCACTTGGAGAGTTTAGGGAATGCAGTTCCGTGGAAGCCTTTAAAAATGAGGCTCCTGAATGGTAGACTCTATCTTGTCTTTTCTCTCATATGAATCTCTTATTAGAGCTCCTCTGTCTTTTACCCAAAACAGAAATTTTAAAGTCCTTTGTGTTCTGATTAAAGTCACAGTCATACTATGAAGTGTTGTCTGTGACTTGCCTGAAATCTAAGTGTATTTTGGTACGTAACATTTTTCTTTTTTTTTGTACCTATACATGTATCCCCAGGGCCACATGAATGATTTAGCAGTTTATTCTAGATAAAGCTCTATGCCTGTGCCCATTGTCATCACAGACATTTCTAATGTGTGGTTTTAATGGGATCTTCTCGGTGGCATCCAGCCCCAATCAGCAGCGATGTTTCTGTGTGTGACACTCTCTCCCGTATGTGTGCTTGGCTAGTGGGGTTCCGTCCCTTCCTCGTCCCACCCATCTGGAAGAACAGAACTTGAGGGTCACTTGCAGGAAGAATTCCGAGGGTGGAGTGTGCTCCCCATGGCACTTTTCACTGTGTCAATCACTTTATTCTGACCTACCCGCCTTGCCTGTGGCTCCCATGGCTAGTGTTGGTCTGTCTGTCCTAGCATCAGGGCTGTCCCAGAGGAGTGCTGATCCCCTTTGAAACAAAGAAACCCTCTCCCTGATGGTCTCCCCCTCCCTCTCCTCCCATTCACAGGTGGCCTGGACTTGGCTATCGAGGGACCCTCAAAGGCCGAAATCAGCTGTATTGACAACAAAGATGGGACGTGCACGGTGACCTACCTGCCCACCTTGCCGGGCGACTACAGCATTCTGGTCAAGTACAATGACAAACACATCCCTGGCAGCCCCTTCACAGCCAAGATCACAGGTAGAGTCGCCGGGCTTTCTGCTCCAGTAAGGACCTCTCCCCTCAGACCCAGAGCAGCAGGCTGGGCATCTGTCTGAGATCAAGTCTCATAGCAACTCCTTGGGAACAAACTAGGGGTGCAAGGCCAACACTGGATGGACTAAATTCCTCCTTCAGCCAGCAATCCCGGGAAAAGCAAGCAACCATTTTTCAGGCACTTTTTTTTTTTTTTACGCACTTATTTGTGCCAGTCTGACTTCAGGGTCCAAAAAAGAAGCCCTCAAAGAGAGGCACTCAAATAATATGTACTGCATGAGTGGATGAGCTCAAAGATGCTTATCAACATCACTCTTAGATTTTTGTCTCCCTTTTAGTGATGGGGAAACTGAGGGTCGGAGAGACAGTGACTTAGCTAGGTTCACCGGTATTCTGGGATTCAGGTGGAGACTGTCTGACTCAGAGCTCTGCTCCTGACTCCCACTGTGCTCTGTGTTCAAATCCTGCTCTCAATGGGATATAAACATAGTCTGTGTGGACCCAGGTCTCTAGTTCCTGCCAGCTACTAGTCGTCCCTGTAACCAGGCATAAGTAGCAATCATTCTTTCTTGGTTAGGTCTGCTCCTTGTCCGGGGCACTTTTTTTTTCCCACTTAACTTTGCTTAACTAATTCTTGCCTGTCCACCTGTAAATGGTGTGTGATGTTAGGACTCTGGAGAGTTAGGGTGACCATGTGTAACCGAGCTATGTTGGGGATGGTGTTTCTCAGACGACAACAGACGGTGCTCTCAGGTGAAGCTGGGCTCAGCCGCCGACTTCTTGCTCGACATCAGCGAGACTGACCTCAGCACCTTGACGGCCAGCATCAAGGCCCCGTCCGGTCGTGACGAGCCTTGTCTCCTGAAGAGGCTGCCCAACAATCACATTGGTGAGCCCAGGCTGCCATCTTGAGTGGGAGATGGGGATTCCCGCCATGTCAGGGATCCCAGCCCTTTTGTGGGAGATTGGTAGCATCCTGGAATATGATGTGATAAACCCTCTGGGTCATGTGCATGGTCAGAATCCAAGCACTTCCACCTTGTGATGCTAACAACCCTCTTGGACATTGCTAGAAAGTCAAGAAAGAAGTCCTGTTTCCATTCTTTCAAGCTTGTCTCCCTTCTGCTTCCTCCCCTTTACATCACCCTCCCACCTTACAAACAATCTGTGCTCCGGTCCAGGCATCTCCTTCATCCCCCGGGAGGTGGGTGAACATCTGGTCAGCATCAAGAAGAACGGCAACCATGTGGCCAACAGCCCCGTATCCATCATGGTGGTCCAGTCGGAGATCGGGGATGCCCGCAGAGCCAAAGTCTATGGCCGTGGCCTGTCAGAAGGCCGGACTTTCGAGATGTCTGACTTCATTGTGGACACAAGAGATGCAGGTGTGTGTGGGAGTGGACCCAAGGGAAGAGGCCCAGTCCTTTGGAATGGGCTTCTTTTTGCTCAGATTGTTTTGCCTTTTTATCCTGCCAGCTTTCTTTTCTTTCTGAGCATCCTCAAGCTATCGATCTTTAGATGTGGTTATCACTGCAGCCCAGGGTTAGCCGTGAGCTGTTTCATTATCGATACTCCCACCATTGTTCTCAGCTTCCCAGGGTCTCCTTGCTTCATCCTAAGCTAAGAATGTTGGGCCAGCTGGCCAAGGTCATGTTTAGCTGAGCAGGACTTTCAAGGAAATGAGGAATTTCTTCCTGTTTGCTCTTGGATGGTCTGGATTAGCTTGGCACACTCCAAGCTACTCCACCTTCCAGAGTCATGATCTTCTGCCTTCATGAGTGACAGGCCGCTTCACTGACTGGACAGAGTCACATTCCCCAGGGAAGGAGCTGGAGAATTTCTGGTCCTGATAGGCTGATGTTCTCTGTTGATTCCTCAAGTTCTTAAAGCTTTAGATTTGCTGTCTTAGCGGTTCCCTGGCAGGACAGCCAAGGCATCTAGGAGCAGTTGGAAATGTCAGATTCTCAGGCCTGCAGCTGATAATAAACCTCCAGGCAGTGCATGCCTTTCTTGGAGGCAGGAGGGGTATGTATCTTCTCCAGTGGGTTCTGCAGGACAGGTGGTCGGTGGGATGTTAATAGATAGCCTTGAGAAAAAAGTATGGTCAAGGCCATATTCAGCCAGGTTATTTATTTCACTGCAGGAACCTGTAATTGACTCTTCTGCCCAGGGCTGTCCAACAGGGCCACTGTTACTGTCTTTTCTGCTGTCTGGAGCATTTGCTGGGATGGGGGTCCTTTCTGCATTCATCAAGCTCCCCTTCGTGATGAGTTGCTGTCATAGCGGCCCCGGGCAACTGTGTTGCAGGTTATGGAGGCATCTCCTTGGCGGTGGAAGGCCCTAGCAAGGTGGACATCCAGACCGAGGACCTGGAGGACGGCACCTGCAAGGTCTCCTACTTCCCCACCGTGCCTGGCGTTTACATCGTCTCCACCAAGTTCGCTGACGAGCACGTGCCTGGTATGTGTGGTCCCCTCTGCTCTCTGCATTCCGTGCTTGGTTTTCTGTAAACTGTGTGTGGGCCCTGGGCCGCTCTCAAGGGCTGTCTCGGTTTTTGCAGGGAGTCCGTTCACCGTGAAAATCAGCGGGGAGGGAAGAGTCAAGGAGAGCATCACCCGTACCAGCCGAGCCCCGTCTGTGGCCACTGTTGGCAGCATCTGTGACCTGAACCTGAAAATCCCAGGTGAGCCTGAGGGGCTCGTGGGTCCAGGCAGTGGGCGCCACTGGGTGTCCGGGCTTGGCCCAGAAGGTACTGTCCGTGTTTGCTGTGGGGGACTACTTTTTGAAAGTGAAAGTGAAGTTGCTTAGTTGTGTCTGACTCTTTGTGACCCCGTGGACTGTAGCCTCCCAGGCTCCTCCATCCATGGGATTCTTCAGGCAAGAATACTGGAGTGGGTTACCCTTTCCTACTTTTTGAATTTAATTTTGTTTATTTACTTGTTTTCACAGAGGCCTATCCATGAAAAGTAAATCTACTTACTTTTCCTTCTTCCAGGTGAAAATAGCTTTATCACATCCCTTGGGGGAGAAACAGATAAGCTTTGAGAATTCACTGGACTGGACTAGCAGTGGGCAAGTGACCCTACTGATATTCATATTTGCAAAGAGGTGTCAGCCCAGTGACATCCTTCTGATTCCCATTTGTCCCTTTCATTCCTAAAATTGGAATGAGGGCTGGGATGCAAGGCTGGGTGGGTGGCTGGGCCACAGCTAGCCCTTTGCCCAAATTAGCCAGTCAGCAGCCTTAGTCTGTCTGAAATGTGGCCCAGTTTCTTTCTATTAAGCAGTGGCTGTGTAAGTCACTTGAGGCTCCTCTGGCATGTGCGATGTGGAGTTGTAGATTTTATGGAGACAGAAAATCTAAACAGTCTTCAGATGAAGCTCATGTTGTGATGAACTTCTGGCTTCTAGATAAAACTCCACAGTGTCTCCCGTCTTTCCTAACTTGTCCCATGTCCATTTGCTCTGCCTTCACAGCAGTACTTGATGGTTTCTTCCTTTTTGGATGTCGGTAAAAACCTCATTACTGTAGTGTCCAGACTAAGAGTCCTTAAAGAGAGATGCATGGATTATGATCATAAAAATTCATGTGCCAGACTTCCCTAGTAGTCCACTGGTTAAGACTCTAAACTTCCACTGCAGAGAGGGTGTGCTGGTTCAATCCCTGGTTGGGGATTAAAACACTGGTAATAAACCTCACTATGTGGTCAAAAAAAAGAAAAAGAGTTCATGTGTTCACAACCGGGGGAAGTAAGTGTCACCTGGTATCCCACCATTCATGGAGACTGTGGTTCATGTTTGAGGTCCAGAGCTGGACCTAGGGTGCCTCCAGCCTCCTAGACAGACAGGCTCCATCTCTGGTCACACTGATGCACTTCTTGCTCACTATATTATGGGCATCTCTCCACACTAAAATACACGTCCCCATCATCTTTGATTGGCTGCCTGACAGTCCGTCTCACCTCTAGGTACATGCATCATCATTTCAGGTATTCTCATCTCCATCCCTGACTTCTTTAGTCAGTGCCCTGTGACATCTGTCATCACAGTGGACTGATGCCCAGGAATGGGATTGCTGGGCCCACACATTTCAGATGCTGCTATGCCTCGGCGGCCAGTCCTCCGGAAAACAAATTGGTGTTTCTCCATTTCCCCACCGGTACTGAGTAGCAATTTCTCACATTGATGGAAAGAAAGTTTGCAGTTCCATTTCTCCAGTCACTAGGCAGATGAACTGTGTTTTCATTTCTTCACTTTCCTTATTTGGGGAATTATGTGTCCTGTTCCCTTTGCCTGTCTGTGTCTTCTCTTTGTGTGATGAGGACGGTTACCCTTTCTCTCAAGTCTCGTCTGACTCTTGACTCCTTCCTCTTTGCAGTGCTCCCTGATAACTGGTGAAGACTCACCTTCCCCCTCCTTTCCTAAAGCATCCCCTCTCGTCAACTAGAGGGGAGCAGAGGTCCTGCAGACCCAGGCCGTGTGGGCTGGCCTCCCCTCAACCTCCTTCCTGCCTCCTCAGGGCTCAGAGTCATGAGCTGCTACCTGGAGCCCTTAGGGCTGGAGGGTGCGGTTTTGTGTTATCCTCGGTGATGGCATTACTTGGTCACCTGGCTTGCGGCGCGCCTGTCTCCACCACGTCATGCAAGCACAGTCGCCGGCATGGCTGAGCACATCGTGCGGAACAGACACGGTCTGCTTCCTAGCACTGGGGACCCAAGGTGCCGTGTTTCTGGAAGCATGGCTTCTGGTCTTCAGTTTGCTCAAAGCTTCGCTCACGCGTGGTTTTCCCTTTGCCACTGGGACCGACCCAAGTTCACTTTCTCCTCTAAATGCATTTAGATTTGTTACCTAGCATTTGTCAATGCTTCTCGACAGTGCTTTTTCTGTTCTTACCTATGGAAAAGAGCCCCTGTAAGCATGCCGATAGCCCCATGTCACATTGGCTTAGAAACATCTATAGCCATCATCGTTGTTATTTACACACTGTGACTATCAGCTCAGGCTCTGGTTTGAAAGCTCTGTGTGGAATTAACTGAGTTAATTCTGACAGAATTAACTCATTAACTCAGCTCCAGCCAGGAGGGCTGTGCAAGCGCTTGTCAGTGCCCCCAGAACGTTCTCTGCAGTGGGTGGCCGGAAGGGCCATGCTGTCTCCATGCTGACAAGCACCCAGGGGTTTGAGGGAGACAGGAGGGCAGGCATCCAGCCTGGATGAGAGGAAGCCTGAGCACCCCCACCCCTGGGCTGCACTCACTTCGCCTTCTGCCGCTTGCCCTGCGTGTCCTGTCCCACCTCGGGCCCTCACCCCGACCCTCCTCTGTTTCTGCCTGCCCCCTTTCAGAAATCGACAGCAGTGACATGTCGGCCCACGTCACCAGCCCCTCTGGCCGCGTGACCGAGGCGGAGATTGTGCCGGTGGGGAAGAACTCGCACTGCGTCCGGTTCGTGCCCCAGGAGATGGGCGTTCACACCGTCAGCGTCAAGTACCGCGGCCAGCACGTCACCGGCAGCCCCTTCCAGTTCACCGTGGGGCCGCTGGGCGAGGGCGGTGCCCACAAGGTCCGGGCAGGCGGCCCTGGCCTGGAGCGAGGAGAAGCCGGAGTTCCGGGTGAGCGTTCTGGGCAGCTTTCTTTTTGTTTGAGGAGACTGAACTCAGCCCGGTGGCGTGAGCACCCTGCACCCTTCACCCTGTTCTGAAAGGAAGACTTTGTGTGCATGATTCTGACTGGTGGCATGAAGGGGCTTTCTTTAAAACAAGGCTTCTGTGGCTAAACACATTTGGGAGTTGCTTGCTAACCCAAAACTAAACAAGTGTCTCCCCGAGGGACTTCTTGGAGTCTGTAATTTAAGGGTGAGTGTTGTGAGTGTCTCAGAAAGGATCAGGGTCATAAAACTGTTTCCAGAGCATCTTGCAGGTATGGAACATGCTGGAATTCTTTGAAACTGATGGCAGTGGTCTCTTGCAGTGGTGCTTGCTGGGTGGGAAAATCTGTGGAAAGCACAATCTCTTCTTGTTCTGGCTCGGTTTGCATGTATTCAGAAGACGCTCTGATGCCATGAACTTTGTGTAGTCATGGATGGTACTTAGCACACATTTGCAGTGCCCCTTGCTTGGGCTCTGCTTGGGATTAGACAAAGAGGAAAGCACTGGGAACAAACGAAACCCAGCACCAGGACTCAGTCACTGACCAGATGTTTCTCTGTCTCAGCGGAGTTCAGCATCTGGACCCGGGAGGCAGGCGCCGGGGGCCTCTCCATTGCTGTGGAGGGCCCCAGTAAGGCTGAGATTACATTCGATGACCATAAAAACGGATCTTGTGGTGTGTCTTATATTGCCCAGGAACCTGGTAGGTACTCAGGGCCCAGTGGAGGACATTATCCTTGTTTGGGGATGGTTGGTTGTAAGGAATAGAAACCCACCGGGCTAGCACCAGTAGAAAAGGAGCTTTTCTGTATGGGCACATGGGAATGTCTCCTAGAAATCCAGTTGTGGTGTATCCCGCAAGGCCTGAAGGGGCAGGAAATCTTGTTCTCCTCGTCTCTTGGCCTCTCTCTTGGCCTCACACTGTGTACTCTGTTCAGCTGGTTCATTGTCCCCCCTGAGCAGCCTCTCTGGACCCGCCTTGACCAGAGGCTGGCGTGTCTGCCCCGGAAGAGGGGCCTCAGCATCTGAGCTCCCTTGAGCAAGGGTCTCAACCTTTCCTGTGCCACGGATTCTTCTGGCATCTGGTGAAGCCCCTGGGGACCATCTCGGGAAATACCTTTAAACACATGAAATAAATTACTTTGGATCATTAAATAAATCAATTAAAGTACTGTTTTCAAAATCTTTTTAAAGGGACAGATAAGTAACGTAGCAACGTATATAGGTTTTCATGAATACGTTAAATCATATGACTTTGTGATTGTCTGTCAACTGCCGTAGTTTCTAAGTGGTAAGGAGTGTAACTGCTTTGTCAGGATACATATAAAACTGAAAAGTGATTGTTTTTTGGTGACAAAAATCGCAATTCTTAATGCACTGTGGGTTCTTGTCAGCATTTCTAGAGGAAGGCAATGCTAAATTACAGTTAGAGGTTAGTAGAAATAAAGATACAGTTTTCTCCCATTCAAGTTTGGTGGATCTGCTGAGTCCTGTGTAGCGGCCCTATTGGGCCCAGGTTAAGATCCCCGCCCTTCCTCCTTAACTGGATTCTCTTCTCTAGTCATCACTCTGCTTCTGCCCCTGTTCTCACAGTTTCTGTCCTACTCTTCATTGCTCAGGATCAATAATGGGATCCTAGTTACATGAGGCCCTTCTTATTCTTAAGTATATCATTTTTGATACAACACTTGGTCATAAGCCTCTCCTTTGGAAAGAAATTGGGCATACACGCCAGATACTAATGTGTGTATGGGTTCACATATACACAGGCAAAGCACAAAAGATACACTTCAGTGCTTTAGTCTTTGAAATTGCTAAACACAGTATCTAAGATGGGAAAAAAAAAAGAATACATGCCCTCATTCAACTAAGAAAATCGCATTGGCCTGGTGTGAGCCGGGTGACCCTGTCTGAACCAGTCAGTCACAGCCATGGGCGGGGGCGTGCTGTGGGCAGTGAGGGGATCTCTCTTCTTCCCAGAACCAGGCAGCTGCTCTGGGACTGCGCTCCCGGAACCTCTGACATGGTGGGACTCCCCTCTCCCCACAGGTAACTACGAGGTGTCCATCAAGTTCAATGACGAGCACATTCCCGAAAGTCCCTACCTGGTACCAGTGATCGCGCCCTCGGACGATGCCCGCCGCCTCACTGTTCTGAGCCTTCAGGTGAGACGCAAGGAAACATCCATCTCCTTGGCCACAGCCTGACCAGTGAGGCCCTGGACTCCCACGGCCCCTTCAATCTCTGACTCTGTGCCAAGGGCCCTGGCGCATTTTGGCCACAGATGCCGCCAGTCGTAGGGGAGCTTTCCTGGGGCAGAGTCACATTTAGGACAGGAGACTGTTGGGGCAAGCAAAAAGCAGCCACAGTCAACAAAACTCCTTAGCATTTGGGAATGGGTTTGTTTTCTAAATATTTATCCAAGAGAGACAAAGAAGGCCTGTTAATCATTGGTTAAGGGATAAGGAGGGCTTTTAAAACAAAACAAACACAAAACTAACAGTTCTGTGATGTTCAGCTTGCTATCATTGGCTTCCTTTTCCTTGAGAAAGTCAATTGTGATTTATTTTATGAGGCTGATTTGTTTATAATAAGTGTGTGCAAGCCACTGTGTTAAGAATTGTACCGGTGTTACTTCCCAGTCCTTGCAACAGCCTGGTGAATAGGTTTTTCTTGACCCTCCTTTTAAAGATAGAAAAACTGAGGTGCAGAGAAGATACAGTTCCTAGGAACCAGCTGGGTGAGGCTCCAGAACCTTGCTCTTAATAGCCGCCACGTTAATGCCGGTCCTGGCATTGTGGCAGGTGGTTATGTAGCCCGACCTATTAGAATGGCAGGAAGTGCTGTTTCTCGCCCTGGCTTAAAGAGGGCACGCCATTCAAGGTTGGATTAGAGTCTTCAGCAAACTAAGAACATTGGGGATGCCTTTGGGTCTTAGGACACTGAAGATAACTAGCTGTCTGAGTCAGCTATAGCAATCTGGCTGTGAAATAACACCAGAATCCCAAAAGATGATTTCTGGTTAAAGGGATTTCTCTAGAACCATCAGCGGCCCCTGGGTCTTGAAAATAATGGATGGATGAAAACTCATCCTTGTATTTCAGATTGATGATCGGTATCTTTGGACCTGGGTCCATGCACTTGGTTAATCATTGGTTAAGGGATAAGGAGGGCTTTTAAAATAAAACAAACACAAAACTAACAGTTCTGTGATGTTCAGCTTGCTATCATTGGCTTCCTTTTCCTTGAGAAAGTCAATTGTGATTTATTTTATGAGGCTGATTTGTTTATAATAAGTGTGTGCAAGCCACTGTGTTAAGAATTGTACCGGTGTTACTTCCCAGTCCTTGCAACAGCCTGGTGAATAGGTTTTTCTTGACCCTCCTTTTAAAGATAGAAAAACTGAGGTGCAGAGAAGATACAGTTCCTAGGAACCAGCTGGGTGAGGCTCCAGAACCTTGCTCTTAATAGCCGCCATGTTAATGCCGGTCCTGGCATTGTGGCAGGTGGTTATGTAGCCCGACCTATTAGAATGGCAGGAAGTGCTGTTTCTCGCCCTGGCTTAAAGAGGGCACGCCATTCAAGGTTGGATTAGAGTCTTCAGCAAACTAAGAACATTGGGGATGCCTTTGGGTCTTAGGACACTGAAGATAACTAGCTGTCTGAGTCAGCTATAGCAATCTGGCTGTGAAATAACACCAGAATCCCAAAAGATGATTTCTGGTTAAAGGGATTTCTCTAGAACCATCAGCGGCCCCTGGGTCTTGAAAATAATGGATGGATGAAAACTCATCCTTGTATTTCAGATTGATGATCGGTATCTTTGGACCTGGGTCCATGCACTTGGTTAATATTTGAGAGTCTGACTCTTTCTGAAGGGAAGCTGGTACTGCTAGTTGTCCCAAACATTAGGGAACCCAAACAGAACCCCAACCAGAGTCACAGTCTACAGATTGAAGCGGCCTCTGGCGAGTACCAAGGGTGCTGACTGGTCATGGCAGTGCAGATGTTTTTCTTGTGTTTCATTTAAAGGCTTCTTAACAGAAGTCGCTTCTGTGGCCAGCTTAACTAAAACCTACGGAGGGAGATAAACCCAGCATTTGTTGAGGGGCTCAGAGCTGCCTTCATGCATCTCGAAGATTTCTTTTGGATCTTCCGAGGTGTTTATCTCCCTCTTGAGGATTTAGTGGCAAGCGGATTCAGGTAATGTAAATGCTTCCATCCAAAAGGAGCGGATGTGGAGTAGTCACCTCCAAGAGACTTCTGTCAAATCTTCTTATGACAGCTTGGTCATGAAATATTGAAATAAGTGTGCAGCCGGCTGGTGTGTCCATTAAGCTTTTGTAACCAGCTGCAACAACAGGAGGGACTTATATGTCAAGTTGGTCCCCTGTTCTCCCCTTGTTACTTGATGCCAAGGGATATGTAAAGTATTTTCTGGAGGTTTACTAGCAGGCTACATGCAACATCTGGGGCTGGTTAGGAAAGACAGGCTTGTTTTTGTCTTGCGTTTGAGACTTTTTAGAAAATTGGAGTCGGCTGGCATTCTGTAGGGGAGGCGGTTGGATGGGGGTGGTCTGGTGATCAAAGACTGTAATTTTGGGTTCAGTCCTCCCTTGTCTGTAACCTCTAGGGCAGCTTTGTCTAGTAGAATGTTCTGCAACAGTGGGAATGTCCCATATCTCCAGGGGCAGCCATGAGCCACTTGCAGCTCTTGGACACTTGAAATGTGGCTAGTGTAACTGAGAGACTGAATTTTACAGTTGAAGTGGTTTCAGTTTATATATATATTTATATATATATTTCAGTTTATATATATATATATATATATTTCAGTTTATATTTATATATATAAAACCACATGTGACTAGTGACTACTAATCTAGATGGCACTGCTTTAGCACCTTGCCAAGATGTAATCCTTGGACCAGCAGCCTCAGCATTGCATGGGGACTTACTGGAAACCTGGAATCCCAGGCTCCAGCCCAGACCTACTGAATCAGAATCTGCATTTTCACAAGACCCTCGGGTGCCGCGGTAGCACGTTGAGCGTGAGCCATGCTGCTTGAGAGTTATCATCTGAGTAGCCATCTGACCAAATTTACGTCAAAACTGCTGCCTTGTAAAGTTTTGCTCTTCAGGACTGGCGAATCTTGAAATATCTCAAGCATCTGAACTTCTAATCCCTTTTTCCCAGCGGAGGATACAGTTTCCAGGAGAAACCATGGAGAGTAAAACTCATCCAGAAAGAGCAAAAGCTATACTTCTCCCATGTTTTCTTGGGGGGTGGGGGGGGTGTGGGGGGACACTGAAAACTTCTAAATGTGTGTTAATATATAAGGAGAAGCTGACATTTCTGTTTTAAAACTATCCGATATATGGGCCAGGCCCTATGCTGAGTGCGTTGAATGCACTACTTCGTTTAATCCTTGCACCAGCTCTTTGAGGTAGATTTTAGTTATCATGCCCATTTTTACAGATGAGGAAACTATGGCTCAGAGAGGTTCAGCAGTAGTTACATACCTTGGAAATGGCAGCAACCTCAGGTCCTGCTGATTTTTAACTACTGTGCAGTATTGCTTGAAAGGAAAATCCTGGATAGCCCTTTACAGATTTATTAAAAGTTCTCTCCATCTCCACCCATGAGATTTAAAAAAACCTTGTTCATGTTAGTGACTGCATGGTTTTATCAGCTGCTAGGTTACTCCTAAAACTGGGGTGGAGAATGGAAGGGTTTTTTTGTTCTTTCTTTTTTTTTTTTGGTGGTTGCTGGGGGTGGATCTGAAAGATCCTGGGTTTTCTGGCCTGTATAGGTTTGTTTGGGATGCTGAAACTAATCCTGCTGACCAGGATGTCTGGAGTCTCCAAACCCAGGAACCATGTCTCAGTCAAGATGGTTTAGATACAAGACTGTGCAGATGTTTATCTCTGCTTTCTTATATTTAATGCTGGAAATGTGGAATTACTCACCTGCTCTTTTGTTGCCAGATAGTATTATGTAATAAAACATGTTCTAGGCCTATTTGCATGAGAACTGTCCCTCCAAGAATCCTGGGTCGGGGTGGTATGTGTTGCGAAGCAAGAACGCCAAGGGCTGTAACGTGTCTCATGTGTTGACTTCTTAGGAATCGGGATTAAAAGTTAATCAGCCAGCCTCCTTTGCTATAAGGTTGAACGGGGCAAAAGGCAAGATCGATGCAAAGGTGCACAGCCCCTCTGGAGCTGTGGAGGAATGCCACGTGTCTGAACTGGAGCCAGGTAAGTGCCGGCGCCCTCACCCAGGAATGTTTCTGCAAGTGACTCCCCCTGACGGAGGAGTCTTCAGATTCCCTTTGCTACTGCCAGACGCTGTTTACAAATGAGGATATAGACATTTGCTAGGGACAGGCTTTGAGATATAACACCCCTTCTTTTTTTTTTTTTAAACAAATATGTTTTTCTTTTCAGCTGTTTTTCAGATTCTTTCACATGACATTCATTGTGATGTTCTCATCTTTTAAGTAAATATCACAGATTTTTACTGTTGACCTTATGAAATGAATAAGTACACTTTGACCTCTGTTTACTCTGAAGGGAAGGTTGATTGATGTAAATGATAATCTGCAGTATTCCCTGGTGGTCTAGGGGTTAGGGCTCTGCGCTCTCACTGCTGAGGGCCTGGGTTCAGTCCTTGGTTGGGGAACTATAACCCTGCAAGCTTTGCTGCCAAAAGAAAAAAGAGAGAGATAATCTGAGTCCTCAGTAGGACTTAATAGCATGGGATTTTCTTGCTTGCCACCTTGGTGTATGGAACTGTGTGATGTCATTCAGCTTTAACAAGACCATTTTGCTGTGAACATATATGAAGTGTCAAGAGTTGACAGGAAGGTAAGACTAAGGAAGACATGGCTCCTGCTCTTCAAGGAGGAACACAGACTGTAAGGAGTACCTAGAGAGAGTGAGCCAGAAAAATGCAGTGCCCTGGTGAGGACCCCTGCTGATGACCAACAGCACAGGAGATTTGAGAATCTAATGGTAACGATGATCAGAGCAGGAGAGGAAGAGGGTTTCTGCCTTGATGAGGTCAGGAGGTCTTCTCAGAGGAGGTAACATTAAGTGTGGGCCCTGATGCCTGAGGACAGGCCCTGCGACCACTGCCCTTATTGAGTGTTTGCTGGGTACCCTGGTCAGATCATGGTTTGAGTCTGACCACATTAGAAAGAATGCTTTGGTTCATCTGAAAGACATGGTCATGAGCTGATGCTCCCAGAGTGGTCCATGTGAGAAAACGGCGTTAATCAGCAGCGTTTGAAATGCAGAGGAGGGACTTGAGGCCAGAGTGCAATTGGCCATAAGGAATGAAAGTGAACCCAGGAAGGTTACATGTAGCTTGGCGATAGGTTAGAAAGACGATGATTCAGTTAGGAAAACTCAGGACAGTGACCATGGGTGGACGAGGGTTGGTCGAGGCCTTATTACATAGTTTAATATTTTATTTTTTGAAGGGTTTTCCAGTGTCTGCAAGATATCCAAGAGGGAATGTTTAATAGATCTTTAAGCATTGTCCTCAGCCCCAGGCAGTATTTGAAGCCCTAGGTGTGTCTGAGACCACTAGCCTGCCACAGTCAAGATGCTATTGGTGACAAATTACAGAACACCCATGTCAAACCAACTCACATAATAAAGGGGGTCCATTACACGCATTAAAGAGATCTGTTCAGGATCTAAGATGGGTTTCAGGGACAATTTAATTCAGCCATGCAGCTACTTTCCCCATGGCCCCAAACATCTCTGCTCTTCTGATCTGTGGGCCTCATTTTGCAACAGCCTTCCTCTTGGTGGCAAGATAGCTGCAGCAGCACACAACACTAATCAAGGGAAACATCCTCTCCTCAAGAGTCTTTCTGTGTGCTAATTGGCTTGGGCTTGGGGGAAAGGGGATTTCTCCCCTCCCTCTTCCCCACTAGCTTGACCCAATCGAGGACCATGCCTGGGCGTGGGATCAGTTTCCCTTGAAACACATTGGCTTTCTGAGAGGAGGAGTGGGTCCCAGCTGGGGACTGGTGGGGGCTGGTGCAGTGCTGAAGGATATATGGGTGGCAGTCCAGAAGAGACTGGAAGAGGGTTTGGGTGGAACTTTGAGCAACAGAAGTTCTAAAGCGAGTGGAGGGTACAAGGAGCTAGGGAGCGGCCGAGACGGACTCAAGGAGAAGAGACTCTGCCTCCGGACTGAGAGCCCGTCAGGAAAGAAGGGGGCTGTCGAGGGGTGCGTGATGGGAGGATATCCTAGTTGCCCATTTCAGCTAACGGATCCTCTTGCCAAGATCCTCTTGGTCACATGCTGTGACCCAAAGGCAGAGTGAGAAATCTGGCTGTTGCCCTGTGGGGCAGCTGCTAGCTTGGAGCTTACTTAAGGAGCATTAATGTGTGATGAAACCATTTTTCCTCCCTTCAAGTGGCCAAGTGGAGAAACTTTGCCAGAAGTGAGCTTTCCATAAAAGAAGCGTCCCTCTGAGGCTGAGGCCACAGGGGATTAAACACTGCATTCTAGACCTGGATGCATTTCCCGCAGGGCAGCCTAGAAACATGCCAATAGGCCCATCTGGTTTAGATCACCAACACTGGGTGCCAGGCTTGTGGTAGAACCGTGGTCTTATTAGTAACCTCAGGTGGGCCCTCCCAGGTTGGCCTCCTGTCCCCTGTCCCCACCCATCAGGGTTGTGTCCACGGGCCCCATTTTACTCTCTGCCTTTGCTCATTCTCCCAGACAAGTATGCTGTTCGCTTCATCCCCCACGAGAATGGTGTCCACACAATCGACGTCAAGTTCAACGGGAGCCACGTGGTTGGAAGTCCCTTCAAAGTGCGCGTCGGGGAGCCTGGACAAGCGGGGAACCCCGCCCTGGTGTCGGCCTATGGCGCAGGGCTTGAGGGGGGCTCCACAGGTAACACCCTGCCTCTACTTCTCGTCTGCAATGAGCTGACCCCAGGGAAGAGCAGATGGGGCTCTGCAAGGCCTGGGAAGCCAGCTGCCCGCTCTCCCCAGGGAAACTGCAGTCACCTGTCTCCCTTTGCCAGGTCCTTTTAGGATCAGGACACTGATAGGCAATTCAACACACCATCCTTCATTCTGAGGATGCGCAGAGTTTGTAATGCATGTAACGGGCCTCTGAGGAGGTCCCCTACCTCCAACTCCCTTAGTGGTCCCTGGGCTCCTAGAAACATATCGAATCCGTAGTAAGACCTGTCTCGGCCAGGCTCCTTCTTATTCTGATCCTAACAGAGAAGGGGAAAATCCCAAAACAGTCAAATTCATCTTTAACCCTTGATACAAATAGGACACGTTAGCTTGTAAAAAATATGGGCAGGGAGGAAATAAGTAAAGTTCCATCTTGCTTCTCCCCCCTCCCTCCCTCTGGGCCCAGGAGGAAGGATGGCTAACACATCAAGGGAGGACCTTCAGATCGTCTTTCTGTTGGTCTTCAGTCTTAGCCACTTGGCTGCTTAGCTAGTCAGTTCATTGAAGAAGCGGACACGGAGTTTTGCTTTTATTAAGTACCTATGGTCTTAGTGCTGTTTGCCGTGTGGTACAGCTTGCTGTTGTCACCTGACATCCTAAGGAACTTTCCACGTCAAGACCTACAGATCTGCCCACCTCATGGTGGCTGCAGTTAGTGTCCATGCCGTGAACACAGAGGTGGGCGTCAGCCGAGTCCAGTGCGTCACTATTATGCAAGGTGCCAGGGTGGGTTTCTCTGCAGGCATGGATCCGCTGGGGTGTGGCTGGTGTCTGGGTGTTACTTTGGGCTCCCTTAGGAAGGCAGCCCAGTTTCTTGAGTGCCTTGGGTGTGCACATTCTGCTCTTAGTGTTCCCTGGGTGGGTGAGTGAGACAGAGCGGACGCCCCTCACCCATGGGCGAGGGGATAAGCAGCTGTGGTTGCTTGGCAACCAGCCCTGAGGCAGAAGCATCCTAAGGGCCCGAGGGACCTGCCTGGGTGCAGGAGTGACTGACCAGCTGGCTAGCCAAACCAAGACTCTGGGCCAAAACAGTGGCCTCAGCAGTACTTCCCATGGGGTCTGTGTGAGGACTCCCCATCTCCCCAGGCCCATCCAGTCTTGGCTGCACACCGAGCTCTGAGCCAGCAGCTTGCCCTTTGCAAGAGGCACAGGACTGCTTTGCCCTGGGACATGTCTGTTTCACAGATGAGCAATGTGGGGCTTAGAAAGGTTGAGCTGCTCCCCATCACTGCTTAGCTTGGAAGGGCAGAACTGGAACCTGTCCAGGTTCACAGCCTCGAGGCCTGTTCCCTTACCCACTTAGTTCTGCTGCTTTCCTAAGTGGCTGACTCGCCCCGAGGCAGCAGCTAACACCCCTGGCCCGCTTTGTGGGGTGTCCTACACCAGGACCCCTGTTTTCCCAGCTGCCTTGAAAGGTCCCCAGGCAGCAGCAGTTGCAGGCATTTCGCTGATGAGGCGGGGTCCTCCTGGCACCTGGAGCCCCAGCAGGCCTCAGTCCAGGCCCCACAGCGGCCACTGCGGTCTCCTCTGTTGCCAGCAGCCACCTCATCCCCTGCTGGATCTACCCTGCAGTGCTGGGGCCTCTGGTGCTTCCTCTTGGCTGTTCGCACACAGGCCTTCTCAGAGCCCCAGCAGGCCTCAGTCCAGGCCCCACAGCGGCCACTGCGGTCTCCTCCGTTGCCAGCAGCCACCTCATCCCCTGCTGGATCTACCCTGCAGTGCTGGGGCCTCTGGTGCTTCCTCTTGGCTGTTCGCACACAGGCCTTCTCAGGAGCTCGGGTTTCAGACTGCTTTGCAGGCCCTGGATGCTGCTGAGGGAGGGAGCTGGTCTTCCAGGGAGACTCCCAGCCGGGAGCAGGAGGTACAGAGCACGGCTGTCTCAAGCCCTGTGTAAATATTGCTCTTGTCAAGGGGAAGGCGTCTTGTTTTTCTAGCCCTCCCGCTCCCAGGCCTTTTCCCAAATCTCCATCCCCAGCTTACACAGCTGCAGTGTGTGTGGAATGAAAAGGTGTCTGTGTACGGCTGCCGCAGGGCCCGCATCCTGACCCTCGGCACAGAGCGGGCTTCCCTGTGTTTTTATGGGTGGGTTTGCTGTATCTCTTGGCTCAAGCTTTGAATGCTCCATTCTACAGGTTTTGAAGCACGGGAATGTGGAGAATTTGGGGTGGGACTCTTCTCTGCAGAGGGGCTGAGAAGGCCAGCAATTACACCGGGGAGTTCCAGGCTTCTCTGCTTGGAAGAGCCATTTTCTTGATGAAATGCTCCCGGAACCCCACTGTGCACCCCACTATGAGCACAGCCTTGGCCCAGCACCTTTCACCCACCTTCAGGATGTAGTGGGGCTGCATCAAACTCACAGGGTCTCATCTGTACACACATGGGGATGCAGGGGGACACTGGAGAAAGCCCGAGAACAGCAACAGAGACCCAGTGCAGCCAAGAAATTAATTAAAAAAAAAAAAAGAGCAGCAGTAATTTTGGACTTCATAAAACAAACAGAAAAAGCAAATATTACACTAGAAAAATAATGCGTAACAGGGCCATGCCCACAGATGTCCTGGGTCCTGGTTCTAGCTGGAGGCAGTGGTGAGAAGGAATGCCTGTGTGTGCATTTTCTTTCTCCCATCCACTCTCGGGTGAGTGCACTAGCTCTGGGTTAGACAGACCTTCTGTTTAAACCCCAGTTCAGTCAGTCCCCAGCTGTGTGACTTGGAATGAGTGGTCTGACCTCTCTGAGCCTCCACTTTCATCCTAGTAAAATGGGAAGAATAAGGGACCCCACCTGATAGGTTGCTCTTGGCCTGTAATTCCTTATTTCTCTTTTTGCACCTCATCTTCCTTTCTGGGCCCTCACAATCGTGATGAACTGATACTTCTCAGGGATGGAGCAAGAGCAAGGCCAGGTCTTTTCATCTTCACTTTAAAAGTATCTTTTTTTCTCTTGTCACTTGCAGCTACTTCCTGGAAATCCTGTCCCTTGTTTGCACAGCCTCCTGCCTTTACCTGCAAGGCCTTGCTTCAGCAGCGCCTGCTGTGAGGGCTTCTGAAAGGCACATTTGAGATAGTTGAGGGGAACAGGATGGGAGGGGGAGGGTTGCTGGGACAGGAGCCTCAGGAGTTTCCAGAAACAGCTGGGTTGTGTTTGGGGTTGCGTGATAGCAGTTCCTTTGTTTTATTGATAACCAGAACAATAATTCTTTCTCTGGCCTCGGAGCTATAATTAAACCAAAATAGTTCCCAGCTGGGGCGGGGTCCGGGGCTCTGGGAAGAACACAGCCCTGCATGGGCATGCTATGCCGAGGGTGCCCCATAGAGGGCGCTGCAGCGGGTGTCTGGGCGCTACCTCTTCCTGCTCCGAACTGGAAAGGGCTCTGGAGGCTGGGGGCTTTTGCAGGGCCTTGGGCTCAGGCAGGAATGCCACTGTGATGGTTGGCTGGCACCCTCTCTTGGCCCAGCTTTCCTTCTATCACAAGGCAGGATATCTGTGCAGGGGGCCCTCGTGTACCAGGCAGGTAGGAAGTAGAATGTCCTAGAGCGGGGTTAGGGCGTCCGAGGCAGCCCGGAGACAGGCCGGGGCTCCGGAGGCACGCAGACGTGCTCCGATACCAGCTTTGCCACTTCTCCTGTAGCTCCGAGTGGCATGTGGTTGAACTTCCCTGAGCCTCAGTGTTGTTTGCTAAAGAGGAATCACGGCATGTAGCGCTGGGCACGGGATCAGGAGTCGGAGTGGTGTGAGTGGTAATTAGCAGAGCTGCGGCCTGGTCGCCTTCTTGTTGCTGGTGTTCAGGGCACAGTGCAGGGGGCCGGCAGACCCCGGAAAGACGGCTGGGCGGTCTACAGGATGGTGTCTGGGGCGGGGAGCCTGAGGAGGAAAGGGGCAGCTCTGGGCTGCCTGGGCTTCTCCAAGTTTACCCGGAGCAGAGAGAAAAGGTCAGAGGGGCCTACGCTCGCCCCACCCCTGGAGGCAGAGCCGCCTCCGGGGGCTGAAAGCACTTCGGGCTTCTCAGCCTCAGCCCCGGCTCGTGCCCAGAGGAGGACAGGGGGTGGGCTGAGAACAGAAGGTCAGCCACACTCCTGCCTGGGCCTTGGAAAGGGGTCACCATTCCCCAGGGCCTGAAGTTCTCTGTGCCAGGAACTCAAAGCTAGCACAGGTGGGTTCCCACACCACCAAGATGACCCCTCTGTGAGGGGACCCCTGTGTGCCCCGCCACTGCTTCAGGGCCCCCAGAACACTCCCCAGACCCCACCACCACCACCACCAATCCCTCCAAGCCATTCATGTGATCTTCATTCCCGCTTCCTTTCTTCCAGGTATCCAGTCAGAGTTTTTCATCAATACCACCCGAGCAGGGCCAGGGACATTATCCGTCACCATTGAAGGGCCGTCCAAAGTTAAAATGGATTGCCAGGAAACCCCCGAAGGGTACAAGGTCATGTACACTCCCATGGCTCCTGGAAACTACCTGATTGGCGTCAAATATGGCGGGCCCAACCACATCGTGGGCAGCCCGTTCAAGGCCAAAGTGACAGGTAACAACCAAATGACTTTGAGGTTAATGTTCCCCGTGTTAGCAGGGGAAGTGGTCTTGTTACAGTATCGGCAGAGCTAACTGCTAGTTGAAACTGGATGATTTTAGATACATTGACTCTGCCTTGAATCTTGGAGTAAAGAAGTAATAGGACATGTCAGCGGGGACTGCAGTTTCAAAACTTGCAGAATGAGCCGGGAGAGCAGGGGTGTAGAGCATGTTAGGTCTCTAACAGAAAAGGAGTGCTTACGTATTTGAAATCGTATGTATTTGTTTAGATCGGGGCCTGAAAAATCCCCTCATTTCTAACCTTCACTTTTAAAAGAATCAAAAGTGTTTTTTTAAAAATAAATTTATAAAAACATGCCTTCTTCAGAACACTGAAAAAAGTACCAAACAGTAAAAACCACCCCTCAGCCCACCACGCAAGAGAACCACCATAAATATTGTGGTGAATTCCTTCAACGTGTCTCTTTCTGCTTGGTTCACTGTCATATAAGTAGTATAGTTCATTGCAGAAAATTACATTAAAAATAAATTAACTTAAAATGTTGAAATTCCCTGACAGTCTAATGTTTAAGACTCCGTACTCCCACTGCCGGTGAGCTCAGGCTCACTCTCTCGTCGGGGACTATAAGATTCCACATGCCGTGGGGCATTGCCCAACCCCCCCAAAAAAAAAAAATTCAAAGAAAAGAAATCCTTTCTAATATGTAGAGCGAATCGTTTTTGATATTTTGTTAGTGTTCTCCCACACTTCTACACAGCTTAGAAATATTTTACAAAAATGGAAGATGTCCATTCCATAGGATGGCATGTGGTTATATGGGAGGGATTTCCAGATCAAGGATTTCCATCAAGTCAACCAGACTTCCCAATATTCCCAGAAAGCCAGATCTTAAGTTGTGTGGGGCAGGACCCTAGAACTCGATAGAAGACAGTAGGCAGGTTGAGATGGGTAAGTTGTAGCATTTAGATCCAGGTGTTAGGTGTGTGAGGGAGAGGTGTGGTGGCTTTTGGATCCCGGTGTTGGGGAGTTGGGGCTCTCCTGGGATTTCTGCTCAGGACACTTGCCTTGTCTGACCAGTCACATCCGTTTCCTCCCTCCCATGTCCCAGGTCAGCGTCTGGTCAGCCCCGGCTCAGCCAACGAGACCTCCTCCATCCTGGTGGAGTCGGTGACCAGGTCCTCGACGGAGACCCGCTACAGCGCCATCCCCAAGGCATCCTCAGATGCTAGCAAGGTGACCTCCAAGGGCGCAGGGCTCTCGAAGGCCTTCCTGGGCCAGAAGAGCTCCTTCCTGGTGGACTGCAGCAAAGCCGGTAGGCTGCCTGGCCCTGCCCGGGGAAGGGAGGGTGTGGGGGCCACCCTCTGTGTCATATGTTCATTATCTTATTCTGCGCTGAGTATTTTTAAATGATCTGCCTCTTGATTTTTTTCAAATGACCTCAAGGTACATAGGAAAGGTTTCATTATCCCCATTACACTGAATCAGTAACCTGGCCTGTTCTCTGCCACTAATTACTTTAACTGCAATCTAACTTGGGTGTTTATTTGGGTGTCAATGTGATTTAGTTGCCTAGGTCCTGGCACCTGGCACATCTGGCTGGAAACCTGGCTCCACCACTTACTTATTTCTCCCTCCCTCCCCAGTGCTTATTAGCCACGTGCCCTTGGGAAAGTTACTCAATGTCTTTCTGAAAGTCAGTTTACTCTTCTCTAAAATGGGAATAATGATATTCCTGAAGGTTCTCAAAAGAATAAATGAGATTAGAGTAGCCAGCGCTTACATAGCCTTTTTACTATATGCTAAGGGCTTCACATATAACAATTCCTCTAAACCTCACCAGTAGCCCAGGAGGTCTCTCTCTCTTTTTAAAAACACTTTCACCCTCTGTTTACAGTTGGGGGAGCTAAGGCAGAGAAAGGTGAGGCTCCACGTCCAAGGTAACCCACCTAGGAAGCAGCCGGGCAGGGATTTGAACTTGTATGAGTCCCCTGCTCTCCCACCTCTCACTGGCCCCAAGCATCACATCCGAGAAGTGTAGGCAGTAACCGCGACCTTTCCTTTGACTCCCGTCTCCCCTCCTCTTCCTCTGCCTTCTTGGGTGCATCCTCGTGACGTCACCACCTTCCTCTGCCCCCCAACCCCCACCCGCAGGTTCGAACATGCTGCTGATCGGGGTCCACGGACCCACCACCCCCTGCGAAGAAGTCTCCATGAAGCACGTGGGCAATCAGCAGTACAACGTGACCTACGTGGTCAAGGAGCGGGGGGACTACGTCCTGGCCGTGAAGTGGGGAGAGGAACACATTCCCGGCAGCCCGTTCCACGTCACCGTGCCTTAAAACGCTTCCCGTTGGCCCAGCAGCCGTGCTGGCCGCTGCTTCTGTTGCTCATCTGTTCACTCGTTTTATACAAAGTCCTCCGGCCTGTTTGTGGGGCTGAAAACCCCATCCTCAAAACATTGCCTCTTTTATTTTTTTTCCCCCTCCCTTTTAGTACAGAAAGAAGTCCTAAACTTGACTCTTTAGGGACATGTTGGGGAGTAAGGAAGTGAAAATTGATGCAATAGGCCTGGCCAATCAGACCTCTTGTGGCACAGATCACCCTCTCCAGTCAGAACCGGAACTGACCAGGCTCGTATTTTTAAGAAATGAAATTAGCTAGTCAGTTGACAAAACAAGGCTGGGAGGAGGGGCAGGGAAAAAGAGGAGACGTAGTTTATGCTGTCATTTGGAGAAGGAGATGACCATGTCATGTGAATGATGCAATAGGCCTGGCCAATCAGACCTCTTGTGGCACAGTTCACCCTCTCCAGTCAGAACCGGAACTGACCAGGCTCGTATTTTTAAGAAATGAAATTAGCTAGTCAGTTGACAAAACAAGGCTGGGAGGAGGGGCAGGGAAAAAGAGGAGACGTAGTTTATGCTGTCATTTGGAGAAGGAGATGACCGTGTCATGTGAGCAAGGGGAACTAGGTGGACACCTTTGTTTTAACACTACTACCGCCCCCCACCGCCCCCACGGGCAGAGTCCGAGGTGACGGACTGGCCTAAACGGCTTCCTGGTGCCTCTGCCCTCATCCTGCTGCTTATTTCCCTGCAGGGTCCTTGCGTGTGACCATCTTGACAGCCAAGTCTTTGCTTTGGTTTTCAAAGTCCACTTCCATCACCAGGTCTGAGTGATGAGCAGTCCCCAACTTGCCAAAGATTCCCCGCTCTGCCCCGCCCCGCCTTTTTTTAAACCAACACGAGTCCCTGTTCTTAGCCCGTGCTCCAGCCATTGGTCTGTCTGTTGAGTTTCCAGCACATCCAGAGAGACCGCGTACGGGTCTGAGGGTTAGCGGAGGCCTCATGCACCACCAAACGCTCCACACTCACCCCCAGTCGGCCCCAGCGTGGCCTTTTTCTGGAAAATAATTATAGAAGGAAACCTCTGCCGACCTTTGGCCTGAAAGTCAAGGAATGATGGGAGGGAAGGACCACAGCTCATTCACCATTTGCAGAAACAAGGAAAACCTATTTGGCCCCAAGGACATGCCACCCGAGGCTATTGGGAAAGCAAGGGGCAGCTGCAAAATTCCGAAAATGGGGTATAAGGCATTTTGCATGCCTTCTTGCACACCTGCTTTGGAATAAAAATGAGAGTGTTGGGGGGTTGCTGGCTGACTGCAGGGCCCGGATATGCGGTGTGATCTGGGCAGGCAGTCCTTTCAGACTGGCTGCTGAGCCCTCACGAGGTGGCTGCTGTCATCTCGAGGCAATCAAGGGGGGCAAGGGGCCAAGGGGGCAAACCCCCCCGAGGTGCAGCAGCTGGGGGTGTGTGTCGGCAAAGCCTACCTGTTAGAAACTGGAACTGCCCGAAGCCTGATGTGGAAGGACCACAGGCCTCGTGAACCGGGACGTGGAAGTGAAACTGGAACCAAATGCCGACTGTAAATTGTATCTTATAACTTATTAAATACGATGTTTGCTCCGTAAGCTCCCCGGGTGTTCTTGGATGGTGTCCTTTCCTAAGTGGTTTGAGGCTCTGACCCACCCTCCCAAACCCTGGCCAAAAGGATGCAGATTAAGCCACTTGTCTCGACAGGGAATTTCATCTCTTTTCGCTGGGGGATGTTCTATTTCTCCGCAGGCCCTGGGGAGTAGTTTATCAGGGTGAGGTGCCCTGGCACCAACACAGCCTCCTGGGGAAGTTTGCTACGGTTTGCCCTGGTTAAGAGTCCCAGATATGAAACCCACTGAGGGGAAGGCTGTGGTTTTATAAGAGAGAGAGAGAGCCTTTTTCCTGATGAGCTGTGAAACCCTCACTGTAGGGAATGTATTCAGGCAAGAAGTGGTGTCACCTGTCACTCCTTGGGACAGCAGGGTTTGGAGTTGGTGGTGAGTCTTCCCTAGCTCTGCTCCTCCTTGCTGCTCAAGAAGCTTCTCCTTGCCGTGTGCTTACGACGCCCTTAGCCCCTGCCTCCTGCTGCAGCAGTGCTGTGATACGATTTTATGGCGAGGATGCTAACTCAGGTGCTGTGGTAACATGTTTGCCGTCTCGAGGCTCACTGGGGGCGGATTCTGGCCCCTGCCTTTTGTCCCCAGAGTGGGAGCTCTACTTCCCTTCTTATCCTGCTGTGGGAGCAGAGACACAGCAGGAACCCAGGATCCCTCCCTCTCCCCTGGGGACCAGCAGGTGCCATGATGACCCATTCTGGACCCCCAGCCCTGCACTGGGGGCAGGGTGGTGGAGAGGAAGGCTTCTTTTGGTGTGTATCCTTCCCGATGCCCAGCGGTGATGCGTGTGTACCTCTGAGAGGTGGGAGGAGGGCTGGAGGGATGGAGAGTCCTGCTGCCCATCGTTCTGGAGAGAGCAGCCTTGTCTGTGGGCCTGTGCCGTGAACGTCTGTTCCTGGACTCCAGGACATCCGTGGGCTTTGTGGAATGCAGGCTGTCTCCAGTGGATCTGGAGAGGCCACGGTAGGCTGCGTTTGCCCAAAGAGATCCCACCCTGTTGAAGCCTGGCTGGTTTCTGGGGAGGCAGCATTTGTAAATTAACAGCTGGACTTTAGCATCAAGTAACCTGGGGATTACGTCCTGGCTCGGCCACTCGCTGGCAACGTGGCTTGGGGAAGCTGCTTCACCTCTCAGAGTGTGGCCCCCACCCCCCAGAAGAGGNATGGGAAGATAATGGGGAAATCCACTCTAAGATGAATCTTCAGAAAGATCTCACAACACATCCATCTCCCAACTGAGCTGCCGGGAGAGGGGCTGCATGTGTTTTGAGGAGACTCAGCTGCCCGAGGTGAAGTGGAAGGGGTACCTCACAGGGGGAAGCACGATGTGTGGAGAAACTTTATCATGGGGGCTATTAGCACAGGCTGGCAGATTCAGATCTGTGACCTCCGGCCGATCACACACACTCACAGGAAACAGTGCCTCCCTTATCTTCTCCGGTGACATGGGGTAATGGGACCTACTCCTTAGAGTGTTCTTAGGATTAACCAACAAGATGCCGTAGAGAATATCACTGACAAGGTTCACAACATTATTATTACTCGCTCAGTGCCTAAATGATTCTTCTGCTCTGAGAGCTTAATTCCAGGAGAAGCTACTTTAAAGGCACAAGTGCTGAGTCCTAGGAGAGGCCCTTGGACAAAGTTACAGGCTGGGGATTAGGGTTGGGTCATCAGCGGGAGTGGACAGCATGGGTCCCTGGTGGCCTGGGGGTATGGCCAGAAGGCGGGGTGGAGACTCAGGTGCACCTGTGACCCTGCTCACAGAGACCAGAGGCAGGCCTGGGGGCTGCCCCCACACTTCTAGGGTGGGTGGTGGCTTTTATTTATATTTTAATACTTATTTGGTTTCACCAGGTCTTAGTTGTGGCATGTGAACTCTTAGTTGAGACATATGGGATCTAGTTCCCTGACCAGGGATAGAACCTGGGCCCTCTGCATTGGGAGCACAGAGTCTTAGCCACTGGACCACCAGGGAAGTCCCTGTTGGTGGCTTACAGACGAGTTTCAAAATCTATAGTAAGAAAAATATAAGTAACAATGCTAAGCACTGTTAGGATCACCTGCAATTTTTTACAGGGGAGTGTGCCCGGACTCAGAAAGGACAGTGATGATCAAGGCTGTGTTAAAACTCCGGAAGTCTAAACTAAAACTTGGGGTCCTGAAGCTGTTCCAAGGGGCCTCGCCCAGGTTGGACACCTTAACACGGGAACAGAATCGGGAGGCGGGTCGCCTTGTGGGTGGTTGGCTGTCCTTGGGCCCACTGAAAGGCAGCTCTTTAGGGGTGCCTCTCTGCACCCTCCCATGGAGGGGGGAGGCCTGTCTGCTGGGTGAGAGGACAGCTGCCTGGGCTGTTGTCACCTCGCTGACCACCAGGGGTGGCCTCAGACACTCAAACTGCGGCACCATGGGGAGCCCTGGTGGTGGGGAAGGCACAGGATCCCCGAAGCTCCAAGGGAGAAGGATGTCTGCCTCCACCCTCTTGTGCTCTGAGCACCTGGCCTAACCAGTCTGTGGGTGGGGGCGGTCTGGTCCACGGATGCTTCCTTGAGTTCTCCACCCCACCACCGTTTGACCCCAGGGTCTTGGCAACCCCAGGCCCCTAACTCTAGACTTTCCTCCCTCCATCCTCACTTAACCTGCCTTGTGGCAAGAGAGTTGCCATGAACCGGTGTTCATGGTTCAGTTCTCAATCAAAGGACACCTCCTCCAGGAAGACTACCCAGACACCCCCCTAATTCCCTGCCTGCCCTTCTATCCATCTGGTTATGTATCTGTCTCCCCTGGATGGAGAAACACTGAGGGTAGGAAGCCTGTGGGCTCTGGCCCTTCTCATCTACCTTTATACCTGGCTGGGTGCCTGGCACAGGGTCAAGAGAAAGTGAATGTTTGTTGAATGAATAAACGAAAGCACACCCAGCAGAGCAGAAAGGCGAGTGGCCCCAGGGCACTGTGGGTAAACTCTCTGGGACAGGGAGGCAGAGTGTGAGGATCCAGGAGGCTGACTTCACGGTCCTGCTGGTGGGTCCTCTGCCCCATCCTGCCTCTGCCTCGCTCACGATGCCTGTCTCACAGGAGGGTCTGTAACGGAGCTGTGGGTTTTGGAGTCAGTCCCAGTGCGACCATTTAACAGTGCTGAGCATCACTTTTCTCACCTGGAAAAATGGCATAAGAGAACCTATTAAGAAGTCCCTGAGTAGGGTTACTCAGTGAAGCCCCCAGCCCAGGCCTGGCGCACATGGGCAGTGTGCCCAGGGCACAGTATTTCTTCAGGCCTCCCTTTGCCCACCTGAAGAGGAGGCTATGAGAGCCCCAGTAATCAAGTGGGTGGCTTAAGGCGCATGGAGCTCAGACTAGCAGCTGGCACCTAGCAGGTGCTTGTTAGTCATCAGCTGACATGTCCTCTGTGCCAGGCGCTGTTTGCCCCGTTGTTCACACACTGTCCTAATGTCCCTGTCTGAACACTGAAGGTCCCACCATCACCTCGCTGCACAGATGAGGCCGTGTAGCTGTCAGGCGGCAGAGCTGTGTGAGGGGCTGGCTCCCGGCCAGTGTCCAGAGTCTCCTGGAGTGGAGACTGGACCTCTCTTTTAGACTCCCCTGGGTGCCTGGCACGCAGTTAGGGGTACACTTGGGTATGCCAGATAGAAGAGAGGCTGTGGAACCCTATATGCCACCGGGGATCCTCTGGGTATGAAGGGCAAAGGCGCCGGCCCTGGTTCCTTTCGGGGAGAAGGTGGCCCCCACCCAGGCAGCCCCGGGGGCGGGGCTTGCCAGCAGGACCTCGGCAACTCAGACCTCATTGGCTGCACGTATCCCTGGAGACGAGGCCCCGGGGTGCGAACACAGGCTGCAGAAGGTTTCCTCCGCCCCGGCCCCTCCCCCACACCGCCATGAAGGATCTGTTCACCTCCCAGAAGCAAGCCTGCTGGCAGGAGCACATCCGCAAGGAGACTGCGGCTCGGGTGGCCTGGAACCTCAAGCACGGCCACAAGCACCCAGAGGGAGCCTTGCCCAGGAAGCGGCCTCAGAAGGCCCCCTTCCGGTCGGTCCTGGAAGCGGGGCCATCGCAGGCCACCAGCGCCCCTGACAGCAAGGAGGTACCTGCTGGATGGCCAGAGACCAGGGGGCTCCAGGGTCAGCTGTCCAGGGGAGTGGGTGTCCAGGGCCCTGCGCCCAAGGTAGACAGAGGCTGGCAGGCCCAAAAACCAACTCGGGGGCCTGCAGATCAGACCAAACCCGTGGGCTCAGGGATGAGGCAGGTCCCCCCCAGCACCCTGCAGCTGCTCTTCCAAGGCGTCTCCCACGACGGCCAAGGCCGGGCCTCGTACCTCCGGGAGCGGTATCAGCAGAAGCCCGAGGAGAAGTTTCTGTACCCGATAGTGTCATCCTGGGAGTACGGCTGGCACATGGGTAAGGGCCACCACCCTCTTGCCATTTCAGGCCTTGGCAGGCGGGCCCAGCCTTGGCCCTCATCACATTCCTCTGGCTCACTATGCTCTGAGCGGGGCTCCAGATTTCTCACACTCTGCTCTTTATTCTGCCCTCCCTCAGCTAACTTTCAGATGTCACCTCCTCCGAGAAGTCTTCCAGGAGTCCTCCAGGCAGATAAGCCCATCTTTGTGCACTCATAGCTTTCTGAGTTTACACAAGCACCATCGCCATTCCTTGAGTATCCCTCTAGCCTGGTGAGGCCTTGAGGTTCCAGGGCTTCTTAGTTAAGGTCATTAATGCCCTCCCAGCTCCCAGGTTGGGGCTGGCACTCAGGAACTGTGGGCAAAATGAATATGAACTAGGGAATGAGGCTTTGATTTGGAATTAAGAAGTGTGAGTTCAAATCCTAGCTTCATGACTTTCATGTTGTGTAAGCTCAAGCAAGAACCTTAACTTCTCTGGGCCTCAGTTACCACATCCAAAAAATGGGGACAAACAAGTACTGCCCTTCCTTTGTCACAGAGTCTTGGGGGAAATCTGGTGGGAGAGCACCTTGAAGGAGTTAGCTCTCAGAAAGCTGCATGAGGTGGGAAGGACACACATTCCTTCTGCAAGTAATCCTGGTAGAATCTTGTTCAGAACAGCCAGTAGGGGGAGATGTGGAGCCACTGAATCCCAGCTCTGCCCCAAAATGAGTCAGCGAACCAACAGCCATAGAGCTATGCAGGTTGATATTATCAGACTGGGTTTGAATTCTGGTTCATTCATTTGTTCATTCATTCAACAGATGTTTACTGAGCACCTCGTATATGCTCCTCTTTTTGTCCTGGAGTGTCTGGCAGAGAGGCAGACAGACATGGCCCCTCACAGAGGGCTCGTGACAGACAGATGAAGTAGAGTCAGGCAGTGGTCCCTGCTACACAACTGTGCTTTTCAATCTTTATTGTCATCTGGGGAATCACCTGGGGATCTTGTTAAAATGTGGGTTGTGATCTTTCAGTGAATTTCAGGGATGGGGCGAGATTCTGCATTTCTAACCAGCTCCCGGATGACACTGATGTTATCGGTTCGGTCCATGGGTCACAATTGAGGCTTTAAGAAGTGGTAAATCAGGAGACAGAGATAGAGGCGAAGGGGCTGCTCGATAGTACACAAGGTGGCCAGCGAAGGCCTGCTGGAACGGCATGTTTGAGTAGAGTCCCAGGCCAAATCTCCTCCATCAGATTCTTCTGAGAAGGGCCTGACTCCCTCTGTCTACGGAGCGAGATAGGCATCACACAGGGCTTCCCTGTTCCTCCCTTCTGCTAGGCCCATGGGTCCATGCCCACTGCCTCTGAAGCCCCTGTCAAGCACAGGGTTGCCGATGGAGCAGATTAAAATACAAACTGCCCAGTTGCATTTGTGTTTCAGATAAGCAATAACCTTTTAGTGTAAGTAGGCCACAAGCATGGCATGGGACATACTTATCCTGAAAAAAGGATCCGTGAAACTCAGATGTAATTGGACACCCTGCATTTTATCCAGCAACCCAAGCACTGGGGTCAGAGGAGCTGATTCTGAATGACCCCCTGGGTACAAGGGCAGTACAGGTTCAGGACAGAGTTTAGTTTTCCCTCATAGTGTTCTGTTGAAGCCACAGTTGCTTCCAGAATCTCTGGAACATTCTGTTTAAGCTGTGTCTGGCCTCATGCCCCTAAGCCAACCGGTTCATAGGCCAGAAGGGGAACAGGTGGACAGACTTCTGCTGACCCCTTCTCCCCTCCCCAACAGTTACAGACAGGAGCTGCGTCTTCCCAGTGGGCGTAAACAGCCATGGAACAGAGGGGTTGAAGGCACTGTCTGGGCCCCAGCTGGGTCAGCCCTAAGTGACTTTTACACATAGAGAGCACTCGTCTAGTGCCTGGCACATAGTAAATGCGCAAGAAGTGGTTACTGGTGTTATTTTTATTATTAATTCAACAGGCAGGATTTGCAGCCAGTAGGCATTTGGGGAGCTAGTTCAGCCTTGGGCAGGACCCTGGAGTGTTTGCCGGGGAGCACTGGAGTGAGAGGGGAGTCGCTGGACAAGGGGAGAAATGTGATGGGGGGAAGTGAACCTGGGGTAGGGATGCTATCAAAATAGTTAAAAACTAGAGAACCCTACGGAGAAGACAATGGCAACCCTCTCCAGTACTCTGGAAAAACCCATGGACAGAGGAGCCTGGTGGGCTGCAGTCCATGGGGTTGCTAAGAGTCAGACACAACTGAGTGACTTCATTTTCACTTTTCACTTTCACTTTTCACTTTCATGCATTAGAGAAGGAAATGGCAACCCACTCCAGTGTTCTTGCCTGGAGAATCCCAGGGACGGTGGAGCCCGATGAGCTGCCGTCTATGGGGTCGCACAGAGTCGGACACGACTGAAGTGACTTAGCAGCAGCAGCAGCAGCAGAGAGCCCTAGGTGCCATCCATCAGGGCAGATCCTGGCCATGGGGCCAGAGCAGGGTGTTGAGTTTCCTATGCTTTGCCAGGCATACCGTTTAGTTAGTAGATTCTAAGGAAGGGGAGGGGGGCCTTTGATAGGGGTCAGGGGCTACTAACTGCATGGGAGCCTTTCACTGTCCAGCACCCAGAGCCGCTGGGGCTGTGTGCTGTGCTGGGCTGGCAGGAGGTGTGGTGGCCCCAGCTCCACCAGGCCCTTGTTGCATTCCAGGGGAAGCCATGAAGGACACCAAGCCGCCAACTTATGCCAGGTTCCAGCCTATCACAAAGAGCTTTTACATCAAAAGTAACATCTTCCATGTCTCACGGCGAACAGACCAGCTGATGTGAATGAGCTGGGGGTTCAGAAGCTGCTCCTTCCTTTTCCGATGGTCCACGTGGACCCTGCAGGGCAGAGACGCTGCCAGCACCACCCACCCCCTCTCTGTTCTGTCCGAGCAGGGGAGGGGCACGGGTCTACTCTAAGGTGGGATTCAGGGGGCCCCACCTGCTGCCACCTGTCTGCCCTCAGAGACCCTAGCTATTTGCAGAGCTCCCCACCCCTGCCATCACCATTGCCAGCCAAGCCACTCCTGGGAGGCAAACAATGGAACCTCTAAGTGTTTCAGCAGCAGACCTGGGGCAGGGGAGGGGGCTCTTTCAGTTCTCAAGGTGCTAAGTGGAGCCGGGTATGGGGGGCACCTCCCTGGCCTTACTCTACATTCTGTTGAAGGGACCCGGAGCAGAACTGCTGAGTCCCAGGGGAGCCCACAGTTTAGGGAGGAAGTCGTTTCCCTGTTTACCTTCTGCACACACCGCCCTCCCCCCACCCCACCCCGAGAACCTGTAAGGATCAGGGTTGCCTCACTGCTATAACAAACGGCCCTGAATCCCAGTTGCTCAAACTTACTGACAAAATAAAGATATATTTCTTACAGCACAGTGCAATCTGAGGTTCAGCGGGTCACCCACCACAAGGTGATCTGGGGACCCAGGCTTCCCCCATCTATCTGGTGGGTCTGCCATCTCCAAGAGCCTCAGAGTCCTCGCCTGAATCCCCTAAACCCAACTGGGGGATGAGGGAAGACAGACTGAAGGACAGGAGAGAACACGCCCACTCTAGACTACCCTGGCCCGGAGCTGACGAACGTTCTATCAGTTCTATCAGTGAAAACAAATCACATGACTTGCAGAGAAGGCTGGGAGTGTTGTGTGACCAGGAGAAGAGAAGAAAGGGTCCCCAAACATGTAGCCCATCTCTGCCAGAGCCCAGAGGGCCCTGCGGCTGCTCTGGGGTGTATTTGAGTTCCGCTACTACTGAGTATGGACTCCACGTGTAGATTGGCAGTTGTTTCCCAGGAGTATTTGGACCTGCACCCTCTTCAAGCGAAGTTCCCAGAAAGACCACTAGGTGGTGCTGTTGGATCACATGGGTAGTTAACACGGTTGGCCCCGGAAACCTGTTTTCTCGGCTTGCCTTCTGCCATCCATTTGTTGTGTGGCCTTGGACTGCAATTTTCACTATTGTTAAAACACCAGGGGTTGGGCTTCCTAGGTGGCTCAGTGGTAAAGAATCCACCTGTCAAGCAGGAGATGCGGGTTCAATCCCTGAGTAGGGAAGATGCCCTGGAGAAGGAAATGGCAACCCACTCCGGGGTTCCTGCCTGGGAAATCTGATGGATAAAGGAGCCTGGCAGGTTGCAGTACTCGAGGTGCCAAAGAGTCAGACACGACCTGGTGACTTAACAACAGCAACAATGTGGAGTTAGACTAGAGTAGAGGAAACACGAACTTTGGGGGTGTACTTACTTGATTGGACGTCTGACTCCACCGAGGTCACAACCTCTGTGGGTACTTAGGGTACTTCTGCCTTCACGAATCTCTTCCATAAAAAAATTAATAAAAATTATATTTTACAACACTTGTACAAATACATTTATATTAATAGTAAATGCAAAAAAGTCTGTCTTCAACCTAAATTTTGGATTTCTTTTCCTCCTTATTCCGAAACAAAACATTCCTGAAAACATGTAGCCCATCTCTGCCAGAGCCCAGAGGGCCCTGCGGCTGCTCTGGGGTGTATTTGAGTTCCGCTACTACTGAGTATGGACTCCACGTGTAGATTGGCAGTTGTTTCCCAGGAGTATTTGGACCTGCACCCTCTTCAAGCGAAGTTCCCAGAAAGACCACTAGGTGGTGCTGTTGGATCACATGGGTAGTTAACACGGTTGGCCCCGGAAACCTGTTTTCTCGGCTTGCCTTCTGCCATCCATTTGTTGTGTGGCCTTGGACTGCAATTTTCACTATTGTTAAAACACCAGGGGTTGGGCTTCCTAGGTGGCTCAGTGGTAAAGAATCCACCTGTCAAGCAGGAGATGCGGGTTCAATCCCTGAGTAGGGAAGATGCCCTGGAGAAGGAAATGGCAACCCACTCCGGGGTTCCTGCCTGGGAAATCTGATGGATAAAGGAGCCTGGCAGGTTGCAGTACTCGAGGTGCCAAAGAGTCGGACACGACCTGGTGACTTAACAACAGCAACAATGTGGAGTTAGACTACAGTAGAGGAAACACGAACTTTGGGGGTGTACTTACTTGATTGGACTTCTGACTCCACCGAGGTCACAACCTCTGTGGGTTCTTAGGGTGGTACTTCTGCCTTCACGAATCTCTTCCATAAAAAAATTAATAAAAATTATATTTTACAACACTTGTACAAATACATTTATATTAATAGTAAATGCAAAAAAGTCTGTCTTCAACCTAAATTTTGGATTTCTTTTCCTCCTTATTCCGAAACAAGACATTCCTGTGGCCTCTAAACATATTGTGGCCCTTGGCCCTGTACCTACTTTGTCTCATGAGGGAGACACGACCTCCATGACTCACCGGCTGTGTGACAATGGGCAAGTTGTTTAACTTGTCTGGACCTGAGTTTCCTCCTCTATAAAATGGAGATGACAACAGAACTCATATTATTAGTGCTGTTATTTCTTAGGAGCACCAATGGTATTTCTTAAAAACAGCCTGGCACAGAGTAAGCTTTGGCAAGATGGCAAGTGCTGCTGCCATTATTATGATTATCTTTAAAGACACTTTTAGGGACTCGCCTGATGGTCCAGTGGCTAAGACTCCGCTCCCAATGCAGGGGGCCTGGCTTCCATCCTTGGTCAGGGAGCTAGATCCCGCATGCCGCAACTAAAGAGGCTGAGTGCGGCAAGGAAGATCAAAGATCTCAGATGCCACAGCGAAGACCTGGTGCAGCCAAATACATGCTTTTAAAATTCTGTCCCCCACCCCCGCCCCCGGCCTACCCGAATAGTGACGTTTTCAGCTCTAACTTTGATGAAATTATTAAAATATCTCAAACAAGCAAGAATCGTAAATAGGACGGAAAAATAATACGAAACTTCCAGGGTATTTGATGGGGAAGTAAAAGAGGTTCCTAGAGAAAAAAGGCTCAGCAGAAGAACTTTTTGCAAGTGACCAACACATATTTTCTCGTCATCAGGGAACTCGGATGAGGTAGGAACCTGGGCTTGTAACAATCAGCAGAAACCGTGGCCGCCTGGGGCATGGGTGCCAGGTGGGTCTACGCGAGGTCGGGTAAGGAGCTGGGCGGGGGGGGGTGCGTGCTTGCGAACGTGCGTGCGTGGGCCGGCGTGGTGCGTGCGTGGGCCGGCGTGGTGCGTGCGGGCTGACGTGCATGCCCCTGAGAGCGACTAGAGCGCTCCTCTCAGCGAGCGGAGGTTGGCGTGGAGTTTGGAAGTGTTTGAAATCCTTAAAGAGTGAGGGACTTTGTTCTCAAAGGTTAGAGGGGCAAAGAGGGGACAGCACTTTGGGCAGAGGGAACGGCGTTACAAAGACCTGAGGCAGGAAGGTGGGGGGCACGTTTGAGGAACCACCATGAAGTTTACCTTTAGCTGGGTTTTAAGCTTTTAGTTCTTCTGTCTCTGATGCCGTCCTATTTTATTTGTCCATGCCAAACCACGGTTGAACCTGCTCCCTGGGGAGTGCAGGTGTTGGGGCCTAACCACTGGACCTCCAGGGAATTCCTGCCATTCTATTTTATATCCCTCACATGTTCTTTGAGAAACTACATTACACTGGAAGGCCCTGCTAGTTTTCTGTTTAATCCCTAGCTAGTACCAGCGAAAATTATTCCCTAATTTTGTAAATTAGATATTTCCATCTGGGAGGGTTTCTAAAAGAAAAATTATAACAATTTTCCTACCCAGTGTCTCCTGGCTTTTGCTTGGAATACATATATTTTTTAAAGGAGAACTCTGTAAAGACTACTGCATTTTACTCCAGGATGGTACTGTAGTACCCCCTGAGTTTAACTAACCAACAACAGTGTATTAAGCAGTGACTAAGAAGACATAGCTCTGCCCTTATAGAGGTAGTAGGTTGGGGACGGAGAACAGACATTGGACAGGTGATGAGGTATAGGAACGGAACACACAGGGCACCATGGGAAGATGTAACTGCAGATCCCAAAATAGATTGGGGAGAGTTGGCCAGAGAAGGCCTCCCTGAATGAACAAGGTTTAAGCTGAGTTTCGAGGAATGAGAAGGTTATTAAGTGAAGGGGGAGAAGAACAATACAGGAGGAAGGAAACAGCATGTGAAAAGTCTCACTCATGGGGAGAGCATGATCAAGGAGCTAAGTGGTGTGACTACAGAATGTACACGGTTGAAAGTGGAGTTGGAAAGGTAAGTGAAAGCCAAGAACTACTTTGTGAGAGCTTTGTGGGCCGTGGTGAAGAATTGGTAACTGACACAGGTGTGACCCCTCTCGCCCACACACCCCCCTGCCCTTGTACTTTTTCTCCTTTTGGGAGGGAAGAGAGATGTGACCTCCAGTTTGTCATTCTTTTTCCCCCTGGTTTTGCCTCTGTCCTTTACACTTGCCTTGTGCAACCCGAGGCAGAGATGGGAGCCAGGGTGGCTGAACTGGAGAAGCTCCCTTCTGCATCCCCCTTCCTGCCCCCTCCAACCCACAGGGACAAGATGAAGGGCATGTTTGTTTGAGGTAAGAAAGGAGTGTGGATGAGGATAAGAAGATAGCAAGGACTGGAAGTAGGGACATCTCCATTTCTCAAGACTCAAATATGCCAAAATACTTGCTGTGGTGAATGAAAAAGAATTGGAAACTTGGCCTGATTCCTTGTATGGCAGAAATTCATTCTAAATAACTGAGAGCCTTAAATAACTGGGTACGTAAACCCAAAGGCTTGACTGGCTTACCCTTTAATGAAACAAGTCTTATTAATAAAAATACCCCCTCCATTTGTTGAGGGCTTTTGAGGTGGTTGGGCACATAGTGTTTAAGTGTATTATCTTATTTAAACTTCCTCCAGGAGGTTGATTCTTTTTTAACTCCATTTTATACATAAGGAGACTGAAGGATGGTGAGCTGCTCAAGGTCCCCCAGTTAGTAAGTGATGGTGTACATCGTGGTACAACTCCTATCATCTAGGAGGGTATAGGAGTGTGGATGAAAAAGTTGGTCCCCAATAAATAATGAAAGAAAAATCTGGTCCTCATATCACCTAGGCCATTCAGAAAATGAAAGTCACTCAGTCGTGTCCGATTCTTTGTGACCCCATGGACTACACAGCGCATGGAATTCTTCAGGCTAGAATACTGGAGTGAGTAGCTGTTCCCTTCTCCAGGGGGTCTTCCCATCAAGGGATCAAACCCAGGTCTCCCACATTTCAGGCAGATTCTTCACCAGCTGAGCCACCAGGGAAGCCCTCATATCACCTAGGAGCTTATTAAAAATTCAGGTTCCACGGCCTCACCCCAGACCTACTGAGACAGACTCTGAGGGTGCTGGACCCTGGGGAATCGGCATGGTAACTGGTTCCCTATGATTTCAAACCCTCTGGACAAAGCCAAAGCTGGATGAGTACATAGGACCAGGGTATACCCCACTCCCCCAAAAGTCACAGGAACTCCTTGTCCCAGCCAGGCCAAATGAGCCAGGACAATGGGAGGAGGTCTGGGGTTTGTTCAGTTGCGGCCAGTGAGAAGCTGCACTTCATCCCCTCTTGCTTGGCAGAGTTTGCCCATAATGGGAGCTGGCAGATGCCTGTGGCCCCAGTAAGTTGCTCCAGTGCAGGGACAGAGAGATGTCTTATCACCAGAGAGGCTGCAGGGTGGCAAACCAGGTCGGAGACATGGACAGACTCAGGTAGTGTCTGGCTCACTCCCCCTGCCTGCCCCGTTCGGCACAGGACTCTCTTCCCAGCCACGTTGCTGACCTTTGGGACAAAGGGATGACCCTTTGCTCAGCAATGAGCTCATTTTTTAATTGCTTGCTTGACCATTTTGCACCTTGGAAACTGGAAGTTTTCCTGGGACTGTGAACACTGCTCATAAGGCCTCACAGAAGCTTTGTAGCCTTGCCACCACTGGTTCAAGCAGGCCCTCTGAGGTTCATTGGTTTGGAGAAATCAGGGCATGTTTAAAGCAGGGCACTTTCGATTTTATTCTCTCAGCCATTTGTAACCAAATCTCAAATATCTGGCTTACAGTCTCTCATTCTTATATCAAAAGTCACATCGCCTTCAATATCATTAGGAAAATCAGCAAAAAGTGGGACTGCACATATAGTATGCCAGGCTCTATTTCTCAAGATTACACGCGGTGCTTATTTATGCAGAGTCTCTCAGGTGGAATGTGTCAGCTGGTAAGAGGGGCCCCTTCTGAGACAGGAAACCAGAGATGGAGGGCTGGGCACAGCGTCCCTTGTCGTTGCTTCTTTCTTGGTACTGCTTACAGATTTACTGCTGCTCGTGTACTACTCAAAGAAACAATACAAGGGAAGACAAAGCAAAACAAACCAAAATGGTCACCATGGATATTGGTAAAATGGTACCTTGCTGCTGGACTCCTGCAAGTCTCCAGCTGCGGAAAGAAAACAGGATCCTCCAGTCCCACCAGGCCCCCCCAGGGCCCAAATAGTGGCCTTGGTGAACATACAGTGAGGTCTGCGTTCTAGTAGGAGTATGTACATGGGGTTTGCTAAGCCCAGGAGGAGGGAGAGCTTGGGGCATGCAGGGAAGGGGCAGTCCTGTCGGGCTACAGTCCGTGGTGGGCAAAGGTAAGGCTGACATGATAAACCAGGAAACAGAGAGCTTCCTGGGCATCCAGACACCCTGGGTGCTCTCCATGTGGTGACAGGAGCTCCTGAAGGAGTTAAAAATGGGGTGGGGATGGGGCTGGGCTGTGATCAGATTGGAATTTCCAAGGATGATACTGGTGATCGCTGGGCTAGCTGAGTTGGAAGACTGTTTGGAGGCAGGGAGATCAGTGGGAATGGCCTCACCTTGCATCCCTGCAAGATGTGATGGTGGCCTGACCTCACACAGGAGGGCCAGGTCCTAAAGCAGTTCATTGCCCAAATCATGGGGTACTGTTGAGGCCTTGGTGTTTTGGCCTTTAGGGTTGTTTCCTGTGGAACAGGATGGTCAAGACAAAGCCGATGCTCCTCTTCGTGTGGCCTCTCGGCCGTTTGAGCAGTGACACCTGGTGGGGTCAGGATGTGAAGCCCCCAGTTTCCTTTCTAGACATTCAGGGGAGGTTTGAGCTCAAGAGAGAGAATAAAAGACACTCTTCCCAGTTTGGCTTAAGATGAAGTAGATTCAGGTTGAAAAATGGAAGCATTTGGGCCAGTCTTGTTCTCTGAGCACAGGGAACAGTTCATACCTGTTGGAGCTGCTTTATTTAGAGGCAAGAAATAGTTAATAAAATGGCACCCTTGTATCTAGGCATGACTGGCCTTTTTTTTCTTCTTTGAAGAGACAGATGTTTTCCTGTTGGTGAAGGCCCTCGAAGACTGAAGTTTAAATTCAACCGGAAAGTGGTCACTGACATCCAGGGCCTGTAAAGAGAAAAGGAAGATAGATTTGGAAATTAGGAGACACTTTGATTTTAGTGACAAATGAATTCAAGCTGAGGGAGGCTGAGGATGAAATTCCCCAAGTCACCCAAAGGAACACACACTGGGAACATCATCCCTGGACCAGTTCAGTCAGAAATTGAGGCAGGTCTTCAGGTCATGGAATCATCGGCTTTGAGACTCACGGTCCAGTGGCCCAGAGTCAGGTCTCCATTGGTGACCTAAACCATCACGGGGTGACACCAACCCCTCTGCCCAGGACAGTGGCACAGAAGGATGAGATGACAGCTGTACCTTCTTTTCAGACAACCTGTAAGCTCTCTGGAAGTCAAAGGTGTGGTTTGATTGAGGAACAACAGAGTTGACAATCTCTTGTCCTCTAAGCACGATCCTGGAAAAGGAGAGGGAAAAGAATCACATTAATCCACACTGTGGTTTTCTGAGATCAGACCAGGCTTCTTGCTTGACCTCTGGAATGACTGAACTGCTTGGCCCTTTCACATGGAATTTGAAAGTCCAGTCCTGGTTTTAGCTTGTGCTGAAGCTGAGAGCAGGCCACCCCCAAAATAGGCCAAAGGCATATGATTATTTTGAATTAAAATTACCTAAGAAACAGCTAATGCAGGAGGAACACTCCTTTCTGTCTCCTTGAAAGCAGGAAATAAATCTCCCCTGTGAAAGGTACACTCCCTGCATCTGGAGGTAGAAGGAAGGACAGGCACCCTTATCTCCAGAAATAGGGAATTCAGGCGAACACTTCTGTGTAAACAAACTTTGTTACTTCTTTAATTGACTACCCCAAGCCAAAACTCTGTTTAAAGTCTTCACTAATTGAGCACCCAAACCTGAGTTTTCTGTCCTGTCAATTCCTTGCAAATTTGTTGTTCTTTGTCTAAAAATTATAAAAACCTTCTGTTTTGACCACTGTAAAAAAAATTTAGTTTTATTGGAGTGTATTTGATTTACAGTGTTGTGTTAATTTCAGGTATATAGCAAAATGATTCAGTTATACATATATTCATTCCTTTTTAGATTCTTGTCTCATAGAGGTTATCACACAATACTGAGTAGAGTTCCCTGTACTATACAGTAGTTCCTCATTGGTTATCTGTCTTACAGTAGTGTGTGTGTTCATTCCAAGCACTTGATCTATCCCTGTCTCCCATGTTTCCCCTTTGGTAACAATAAGTTTGTTTTAGAGATCTGTAAGTCTTTCTATTTTGTGGATAAGTTCATTTGTATCTTTATTTTTTTTACTTAGATTCCACATATGAGTGATATCATATGATATTTGTCTTTGGTTTACTTCACTTAATATGATAATCTTTAGGTCCACCCATGTTGCTGCAAATGGCATTATTTCACAGTATATGGCTGAGTAATATTCCACTGTGTGTATATATATATATATATATATATGGCACGTCTTCTTTACGCATTCCTCTGACGATGGACATTTAGGTTGCTTCCATGACGTGGCTATTGTAAACAATGCTTCAATGAATATTGGAGTGCGTGTATCCTTTAGGATTATGGTTTTCTCTGGCTATATGCCCAGGAATGGAATTGTTGGATCATATGTTAGTTCTATCTGTAGTTTTTTAGGGAATACTGTTCATAGTGGTTGTACCAATTTACATTCCCACCGACAGTGGAGGAGAGTTCCCTTTTCTCAATACGCTCTCCAACATTTATTATTTGTAGACTTTTTGATCATGGCCATTTTGACCCTTGTGAAGTGATACTTCATTGTAGTTTTGGCTTGCATTCCTTTGATAATTAGTGATGTTGAGCATCTTTTCATGTG